CCTTTTTTCCTTTTCTTCACCGTACCTTTGTCCCTTTACTCTTTTTCCGCCTCATGTTGACTTTGTCACTATCCCCCAGGAATCGTTCATCGTACCCACCTCCATTCCAACCTGCAGACCGATTGGCCTATCCATCTCAATTCCCATTTCTTCCATCCCTTTCATTTCTCATCCGCCCCGTCTTGTTCCTTTCACTTGTTTTGCTTGTTCCGACTCATTCATCCTTGCTTACTTGTCTGCTTCGGGGGTTTCCATACATGGCGTTCACATTCTGTTTTCGACAACATTCTTCTATAGCTTCGTCCTCCCTTCACCTTTGCCCTCATCCTCATTTATTTTTGTATTCGCAGGCGTGTGAGGAGCTTTTCTTTTTTTTCCTTTTATCCCTTTTTTTTTCGAAAAATTATGATGTCTTGCTTCCCTTCTACCCTTTTCTCCCTCTTGTGCTTTCATATTGGGAAATTATTTTATTTTATTCCTTTTTTTCCTTTCCCTTTCAATGAAGTGCATTATCAATCTGCGGGTGTGATGTGTTGCGAATCTTGACCCGATTTATTTGGGTTTAACTCTACTCCGTTTTTTTTCCATTTTTTTCCATCTATTATGAATGTGGCGGTGCATTGGTCATGTGGCTTTTTTCTACTCTGCTTTAGGGTATAGGAGGGGTTGCGGGGATGGGTTAATGTGATAATCGATTGGTTGGTTGATTTGATTCCTTCAAGGCTTAGCCGCAAATGAGTGAGTGAGTGAGTGAGTGAGTGAGTGAATGAATGGATGGATGGCCGAGTGTCATATCATGTGGCCCGGACAAAGGAGGGGAGGGAAGTGGAAGCCTTTTAACCGGGGTTTGACGTTTCTCGCATTTTCGGTCCCGAGTGATTGTGCGTGATGTAGGACGCGGTGGTACGGTATAGTAGTGAGATGTGATACTTTTTTTTAAAAAAAATTCCTTTGAAAAAGAGGGGGTGGGGGAAGAGAAAAAAAACTGAAGTATTCATATCATACCCAGTCGTTCCCCTTGCAAACCAATTCCGTCCTATAAAATTAACCGTACAGCACCATCCTGAAAATTACCAATCCATTATCAGTACTATCGTAACATAAAAAATGTCATTATCCCCCTCCCCCCATCCCTGATCCCTCCGTTGAATGGACCGGGTCGATTAATTAAACTCGACTATACACCCCATGCCCCCTCATACCCTCCGCCGGCACCGGCACCGAGATCAACGGTGCTCTAGCCCTAGCCCTCGATCGCCTCTTCCGGCACTTTACAAACAAGACGATAGAAACGATGATAAGCGCAAGACCGCCAAAGGCGCCGGCCGTCGCGCTAATAATCACCGTAACGTTCGGGCTCGGACTCTGGTCGAAGATGTCCACCACCTTCGATTGCGAGGGTTTAGGTGCTGAAGTGGCGCTGGCCGTGGTCAGGGTTGATTGTAGGGAGGAGGTCTCGGGCGATGTAGGGAGGATGTCGCTTGGCAGGTCTGTACTGGTGGGCACGGGGGGTTGGGTTGTCGAGGCGAAAAAGTCGGAGGTGGATTCCTGGGTGACTGTGCTCGCGGGGGTTGGGGTTGGGGTGACGGGGATGGGGGCAGAAGGTTCGGATGAGAATGATGCGACGGAGGCGGTTGGTGATGTCGTTGGAGTCCCGCTCGCGGCAGCACCGCCGAAGGTGGAGCCCGGGATCGAGAGATCGAATGGAGGACTGTAATCGAAGGTATTGGTCGCGTCGTCAATGATCTTGAAGCCGTATCTATCGCCTTTTGGCATTGATCCGCTGTCCTGCAGCGAACTTGGGATGCTCCATATAAAGGTTCCATCGTTGTTGATGGATGCTAGGCGCCAAGTCAGCTGCCAATACCTCGGCATGAATTTCAATTCGGACACTTGCCAGCGATCGGTCCGAGGTCTACTAGGTTACTGGGAGGCCCTTTGAGGAGTTTTATTGTGACCGTCCCTTTGGAGGTGGGCTATATACCAGTTTGCAAGATCAGCCGAAGAGCCTTGACTACAGCGAGCAAAGCAAGAGACTTAAGCATACAGTCCAAGTGATGGTGAGGGGCACGTTAGCATCCAAGGAACCACCGAGTGGGTATGTGATTGCATTCTCCCCGTTGGCCCCCTGTGCGAAGGCCCCGATCGCGCCTGTTAGGACAGATAGTGTTACTGGAAGTAGTGATAGATAACGCATCTTGGATTTTGTTTTTAAAGGAATGGACGCCAAAAGCGAAGGAAATGATTACGGAAGGAAAGAAAGAAAAGAAGATTAGCCGGCGATTCAAGGGAGTGGCCAGGAAACAAATATGAGGGGAGACGAAAAGGGATCAAAGAGGGGGGGACAGTGTGGTTTTATTCCATTGTCGTAGCCTATGGTCTCTGTAATCCTGCTATTCTCAGCCCTGTTGATTGAAGTTGCGTTCAACCACATGGGGAAGGGGGGGAGGCCTGGGGACATGAATTTGTCCAGATGCAGCCGGTGGGTGATACCATGGCCGTAACTTAGGGGTCACAATATGCAGATCCGGAATGGGTTTGGGAGCGGACTAGCAACTTTACTCGAGTACTGTACGAGTACTCGAGTACTCGTACAGTGCTAGTACAGCGGAGTACCAGGTACCGGTATTCCGAAAGTCTGAAGGATGATTGACCTGTGCGACATGGGAAGGGTCGTCTGCAGGGGAAAGCAGGTACAGTACCGTACTGTACATATTCTGCGTAAATCAGCAACAATCCCCCCGTGGTTCACGCCCACAACTCGCCTCTATATTCTCAATGGTGCGCAGTGGATTAATGTACTCGAGGACCGATGCGGTTGTGCCTGGTGCTCCTTGCCAACCCTGTCGAGTGCTCGACCAATCAGCAAGTCTGAGATCCTTACTTGTGGACATATACTTGGATGGAAGGGGGGGAGAATGTTTCAACCCCCAATCCCGGTAAGCTGGGGAAAATGACGAGGCACCGATATTGCTGCTGAGCACAGTACTTGTACCGGTACTGTGCGCGTACACGAGTACAAACCCACCAGCGAAGGTTGCTGTGCGTGCCCGCACTACCGGTAAGTTGGAAATCTGATGAACGAGTCAGCCTTTTGCAGTTCCAGAAACACCATTGCAGCATCTATTTTCAATGGGCGTTGCTGCCTTACCACTTGATGGACCCCTACAATACATGCTATCCCGCCGAATCCCGCAATTGGGTGCGAAACGCTGGATACCAGACCCAAAATGACAAGTGCTTTGGTGTCAGAAAATGTGATACCGGTAGAATGCGAGCGCCATGACTGCAGGGTCACTTCGATGACCTGCCTTTTGCTCCCAAGCCACGCACGTTTATCGCGAGGGTCAAACCATGTATGGTGTTGGTGGTCAGTGCTTACTCTAGGGGGGTCATGGAATACTGTACTCGAGTACTAGTACCTGGTACAGAGGTACCGGTATTGTGTGCAATTGTTGGATGCGGAAAGTTCCAGGCTTTTTGACCCCTGTGTGCGATCAAGACTCGAGAGGACGCGACCGGGTACAAGTATCACTAACCCCGTGGCTGGACACCACTCGAGTGCTGCGCTCCAGCAACTGTGATTCGCTCCCGAGCAGGTCTCGAACGGTACGCCTACACAGCGTACGATACAACACGATATGATACGGTGCTGCGAACTTGCCAATCAAAAATATATGAGGAGGACTCGGAAAGGAGAAGCGAAGGATCGAGGGGGGCTACGCTATGGGAATCGGGAAGGGGAGGCGAGGCATCGGGGTCGACGACGACACTCACGGATTACACAGCGAGCCTGGTCCCGGATCCCAGAGGAGAAGCGCCAGGTTACCCGACATCGAAAAGACTTTGGGGTGCAAATGGCCACGGTTTGCTGGCAGCTGGCACTGTGCTCGAGGACTTGTATCGTCCTGTACTGCACCGTATCAGGCCCTATTCCCGTGATCTACCGTACTCGAGCACGAGTACAGCACCGCCCGTTTACGATGCACGAACGCGCGGTCCGGTTCGATCACAACTGCCGTATCAAACTATCGAAGTGTCGGTCGAGGACGAAGCTCGATTGGCGACGACGCGTCGAGCCTTCAGCACCTTCCTCTTGGTCGTGGGGCACCGGCGGGGGGGAACAAAGGAATAGTGCCATTTATCGCACAGAATCTGCACTCCTTGCGGGCCGTCTGAAATCTACCGACTCTTCGGCCCCGGAACGTTGGTCGCCGCTTTGTGCTAGAATGGTGCGAGTACAGTACAGTACTCTGCTGTCAGCACCGAGCAGGCAAGTGGCGGAATGTTCGAGAAGAACACCCGAAATACACGTGCCACGGATCGCAGGGGTAAACTTGCCAGTTCCTGGAGGTACAGTACTGCACCGTACGGTGCGGTACGAGTACGAGTACTGTACCATCGCTCAGAACTATGACCTCTCTCGCACGGAGCGGAGAGCCATTCGCTTGACGGCTTGGGTTGGTGGATTTTATCGCGACGATGATTGGGAGATGGATAAATGGGAAAGGCCGAGATCCACTATCGCCATCAATTCTCCCTTCTTTCTTTCCTTCTTTCCTTCTTTTTCTTCTCTATTCCTGACCCGGCCATTGAGGCAGGTGCTCTCCACGTCGGAAATTGGAACGTCGCTCAAGTGGGCTCATAGATCAAGAGTTTATCACACCCTAGAGATTGGCGTTTACTGTACCGTACTCGAGCACAGCCCACTGTGTTTTTTTGTTTTTTTTGTTCAAAACGATATTATATTCTTATCGTAAGTGAGCGAGATACATCATACCAAAAGCGATAGGGCGTGGGATGGTAGAGAGAAAGTATGCTAAAACCAAACCCTGGCTAGGTTCACTGCTCAAACGAATCGAGACCCTGCTATATATATACGAGTGCAGCATGTGTCGTGTACCATCGTCAGTCGTGCCCCGCTGTCCTGGATTTCACTCTCGGATCCTTCGCTGACCCGGGCAGTTTTCCCATAGAGATACCGTGCACCTCACTGCCCCGGATTTTATGCATGTTTCCGGATCGGATGGAGATTTAAAACTTGTACGGTAGCACATGCTCACGTGGAGAATATATTCGGTGTCGAGCATTTTCACCCCATCCTGACCCCGAAACCTGACCACGGCTGTTTTGGGAAGTTGGGGAGTGTCGATTTCAGGGCGCTTCCGTCGTGGACGGCAGAGGTCGTCTTCTCCTGCAAAGGTGTTAGGCCGAGCTTCCGCAATGTTGTTGTTGCGCCCCTGTTCCCCTGTTCCCCTGGTGACGTACCGTATGAGAGATCTGCGCGCGGCACAACGAGGAGGGCTCGGTGACAGGAGCAGAAAATCGTATTTCATACTGCCGAACTTTGTTGCTCGATTGTCACTCGGTTTTTCAATTTCCTTCCTTCCTAAACGGGATTTTGTCCACCGCTTCTCTCCTCCGGATGTTTCGCTGTCCCGGATAGCCGACTCAGGATTTTGACCATCTAAGACCGTAGCTTGCCGTCTGTGCGGGGCGATAGCGTAATGGCTGTGGTGCGAGTAAATGGCCAGTTTACCCCTTGCAATGGATGGCATTTCAAAAGTTTTCTTAGGATTTGCATCCAAGATGAGCTCTGTGCTTTGGCGAGGTTTGGTGGGTTATTTATTTCTGTACGGAATTGTTACCGACTCCTAGAAGCGCTAACGTCAGCAGCAGCAGAGTACTGCACTGTACTCTATCATACCGTGGTACGGTAGAAGCTCTGCGGGAAAAGGTCTCTTCATCCTGACTAGCTTATTTTTAGAATTGGGAGTGTAGGCTTGCCCGGGTCAACCCCGGTGTTGGCGGGTAAATATTCCTAAGGATCAATCTAAGAAGAGATATCATTGGAAACCTGGAGTGGCTTCACCTCCAATCAGCTGTCACTTAAAATACCGAACTCGGTTGGATGGTGATCAAGGTGCTATGATACTTCCCCACGGGGCTAATCAAAACTGTTTAACTAGGTCCTGGATCAACCGGCCGAACCAAGTTTCCTATTGCGCCAGTGGTATTCTTTTTTTGTTCTTTTCAGGAAACCATATGGATCGTGAGATATTTATCCAAGACACAACCCAGATTGGATCGAGAGGACAGCAAACAAATTTATCCAATTGACGCACTCTACCCCAGAAATCCCCATGCGTTGAGGAACCCTTCTACACACAACCGCCGTTCCTTTTGGATCCGAAGTTTGCCGCTCATCGCCCTAGGTCCCTCAGTTAATGCGATGGGAATCCGAATTGTAGTTGGGGGAAATGGGTGCCCGTGTCCCAGGCCAGTTCCCCCTCCCCCCTCCCACGCTCCTTTCAGGTCGCGAACGCTGTGTGATATTAGGACCAAAGGGGGGTTGCTGAGGGTTTAGTTTTGGACCTTGGATTTGCGCCGCCGCCGTAAGTTAGAGTTCGTAGTCGGTATGATAGAAGAGCTCACGGTCCTTTTATGTCCCGCGCGGTGCGCGTAGGAAGTGGCTATGGTGGTGAACGTTCAACTGGCACTATTATACGACCCGCGCGGTGGCCGGCTGTCGTCACCCTCCCTCCCCGAGCCGGTGAAAAAAATCCTGAACGAAAAGAAACGTGAGCCCAGCTGTGAGATATCACACCAGCGGGTAGTTTGTGTATGGGAATCTTTAGAACCTCCAACTCACAACAAAAAAGTACCCCCCAACATCGTTTATCACTTCCCTATTGACCATGAAACTTGACGGATATGATGACACCCTCTGGCTCCGGTAAATACACCACTCCTCACACGTCAGAAAGGTCTGCCGGGAGGATGGTAAGACTGTAATCACGGAGAATCACTCGGTTTATTCATCCCGGGGGGATATCTCGTTGAATGGGCTCTGTTTCCACTGTTCATCCTTTTTTTATTCTGTCCTGTTACCCCTCCATCGCCGCCTGCCGCGTCAGATCAGTTGGAAAGTTCCCAGATCATGAACAGGTCTTTGTACCGCGATACCCGTCCCTCGAGGTTGATTACATTACTACTGAACGCGGGGTCAAACTCGGGTTCCTGAGGAATGTCACTTGTCCTGAACCAATTTCTGATCGTTATTACAGTGTGCAATATCATACGCAGCCATCCTGAGATATCTATCGGTGGTGCTTTGTTAGTGTAGGATATCGTCACATGAATATCATACAAATCCACTCCTACATAACTTACAGTATTTTCTATCTCGGTCGTTGAGTTCAATCAGTGCCAAGAAAATGGCGGTCGGAGACGATGTTTCTTTTCCTTCTCCCCCTTGTGGCTGAGCGACCAGTTGCACAGATCACGTGATTATGCATTCTATATTCCATTCTGGTGCTATTCTGCTGGTATGATACGATATCGTACGATAATACCGGTACATATGATTTGCCTGCTCATGCGAGTACCGGTAGTCTAGGCAACCGATGCCTGTTGTTCAAAGCCCCGTTTCGGAAAAGTATACCGTAGATCGTCGCGGTTGTTATCGAGCCTACTCGTAGACTACCGGTATGCACTTCGCTCACTGCGCCGCAGCCACAACTAGCATTGCCACGCCGTTATTTTTTTTTTGGTATGATAAAGATAAATCTCTCTTGGCACTGGTTAATGGATGTGATGATGCAGGGATAAGATATCATACCGTATGGTGCAGTAACTTTACAGCGCACTTGCTAGTAAACTACGAAATGTCCCCGGAAGCCGTTGTTGATAAATCTGTTGGAAATCGTGTATCCGATAGACCTTGCATTCCTCCTGAGCTTTTGTTCGAAGTATCGTGTGATACGGTATGATAGTAGGACTCTATATCAGTTTGTGTCCTGTCTTAGGGATACGGGAGAGCGCGACTTTCACAATGGGTATTGGAGTATGGAACTTTGTATCATATGATGGTATGGTATAAGCGCTAGCAGCTTATGGGTGGTCTTTTTTTTTTCCCCTTTATAGAAGAGAGACTCGGCTTTGTTGTGGTCGAATTATTATAGCGTCGATGCATTATAATTTACTAAGTAATACTATGATAAAAAACCTATGATATTGGTCTATACCTCATTTACGGTACCTATCTCCACCACCCCAAGTATGATACGACGCCACAAGAAAATCGCATTGAAAACACCTCGAATACATCCAAGGGGTATGATACTCCCTCATACAGTTTTTGGGTTTTACACGGGTGATTATGTGGCGGTCGTACTGATCTGCCCACGTTTTATTTCATCCATCCATTCACGTGTGTGAGGGTGTGGGGTACAGTACAGTACAGTACCCATGTGGGATGCGGTAAGTTAAGGGCGCGAATCTAGAGATTGTGTCGTACTGTGTTGTGCGGGTATCGTGACCCGTCTCTCTCTCTTAAAATTTGTGCCTCTCTTTGCTTGTTGATCGTCTTTTTAATGTTTTTTTTTAATGTTTTCTTTTGTACTTTGATAGTCTTAATATCAAATGGGTTATTAAGTGCTCTGATGATGGGATATGGTTCGCTAGAGGCCACTGGGGACGATCTGGCTATGGTATCATATGATGCTGTGGTATGATACTATAGATCGCTGGGATAGCGCTCTCTCGAGATGACCTAATTAATTGCTCGTGGGGATGGGGCACATGCATGAGTGTGATGACGGTATGATAGCTAGTTTTTGACCGTCCTGGCCTTCTATATGAATGTACGGTATGATACCACCTTTACCATATGATACCAGCTTCTATCAGCTGTAAGAAAATGTCCTCTATATATATATCCAAAACCTACCCCGCGGGGTATGATAGTGTGTGAGCCCGTCGATATATTCCCCCTCGATACGCGAACATCGGACATGAGTGATATTCTGTGAAAATTTAATGCTTCCTGATGATTGAGCCCTGAACCTTACCTTTCTCCTTTATATGATACCCACGTCCCAACAAACATTCCCCCCTCCACCTCCCTATTATGATACTGCACTATGGTATCATACGGCTTTGTATCCGGCGGACCATCAATAGCCCAACAAACTTCTAGGAACACCGAAGCTGAAAAATCAATCGCCAGGTCTAGCCAAGTCGGCAAAAAAGGGCCCTGGCACGCTAATCTCACTCCCGTATTTACTTGCGGGGTGCATCCGATTCAAGGATCCAAAGAGCCAGGAAACCCGGATGATACTCCACTTACTTATCATAGCCACAAACCTGCATCAGGATCCACGGACAAACTCTCAGCCTAGGGATGTGCGCAAGGCATGACACCGCTGCTCACATCCTCCTTCCATCCATCCACCTGCTCGTGGTGATATATTGTGTTTACGAGACTATCGAAGGCCCAAGACCCTATCATGGCAAGTTAATGGATATCGCTATTACCGTATCTTACCTGCAGTATATCTCCCATATTATGATACATCAGGCAAACACCAATAAGGGGAATCCTCGACAAAATTGTCATGAACCTACGACACACTCTAGCCCTCTCCCCACATTTGCCTTGATGGGAGCTCCGCCCCCCCAGGCCCGCTATACTCGAGATCAGGCATCCAGGAGCACCCTATTATAAGCACGAGGACAGTCAGAGCCTTTCCAAAGGAACAGGTTCTCAGAGCATCGCGAACTCTTGCCTGTCTGCGCTAACTTAGATCCGTCAGAAGCGAGCATCATAAACTATTATTATATCCTCCCCGCCTGGGTGATTACCGGATCGGATGAACCCATAAGGCGATTCATAAATACGATGCCTGTATCGCATATATCCGAAATCTCACATACTGCACAAGAGCGGTAGTGTAGCCGAACGGGACTACCCGGGGGCTAAAGTAGTGTGTGCCCTGACAACCTGTCTCAAGGTTGGGGAGAAAGAGGGAAAAAAATCCCGCACGAGTGAGCATTCATGATATTCCAATCCCAATTCGAATTCTTAACTCCGATGCCATCGGGGAGCCCAGCCGACCAATCAATCAATCAATCAGCCAGTCAGTTCGGTCAGTTCAGTCAGTTCTCCGGTTCAAGCCACGTTAACACATGAAACAACGGCAGAGCCCCAACGAGCCCGACGACAGCAAAACCCATATGTGGCTAATATCTGCTGCGCCATAACAATTTGTAAAGCCACTTAATCTCCACAGGCTATGATACAACGTCACCTGTGACACGTCTTTTCTCTCAATTTTACCGTCGCCTCTGTACTCCCCGAGAAGCCAGCATCGCACAGGAAGAAAGGCAAGACACACTGCCCCCTTCCCCCCACTTCTGGATCCGAATCCGAATCCGAGCGGTCTTGACCACAATTACCCAGCAATCAATCGATGAAACGGAGCGGGAGAAGAAGAAAAAAAAAAAGGGAAAGGAAGTGCAAAGTGTATTTTTCCTTGGTTCTGACTTGAGGAAAGTGTTCTCAGGCAACTCCAGTGAACGAATGGTATCCATGGCATCATAGGGAAACAAAGAAAAAAGAAAAGAGGGGGAAAAATAAAATAAAAATGGATAGATAGATAAGTTAAGGCTCCACCCCACACAACCTTGCCCGCCATTATTCTGTACTCGTTAAATTTACTGTGCTCGTGGAGCTTGTTCTTTTCTCATCCCACCAACATAATAAGCGGATCACCCCCTCACCACCACCACCACCACCACCACCACCACTACTGCCGACTACCGTTGCACTCACTTCATCCCGAAGCGAAGGTCAAAAACCTTTTTTTGCCATTAACCATTAACCACTACCATCATTATCATCATCATCATCATTATTTATATATAGAGAGGAGGAAATGGCGAACTACGATCATGCATCCCTTCTCCCCCTCAGCACCGTTCCCCGGCGAAAGGCCTCCAGGTCGCAACGCGTACTGAGAAATTTGGTCCACCCGCTACGCTCCCGCAAGGAGCGCAAGGAGAGGAAGCTGGATAAGATCCAGAGGGAGAATGTCGAGCGGCAGGCGAATATGGAGGATTTTCTGGAGGGTGGGAGGTATGCTTTTGAACCTCAACTTGGGCTTCGTGTGGTGATGGTTGCTGATTATTATTGTCTTCATTATCTAGGATTTTTTACGAGAGGCAGCGCACTATGAGCTAGAAACATGGGTCTTAATCCACCGATCGATTGGTTGATTGATGGGGACTGTTGACGTTTTTTTTTAAATTCGTTTGTTTGGTGCTAGTAGCGGGTTCCTGGCTGCTGGGGGTGGAGTTTTTTTTTGGGGGGGGCGTTTTTGATTAATTTTTTCTTTTTTCCTTTGGAACTGTAGTGAAGGAGGTCTATTCTCATGATCATGGTTTGCCTTCGTTTAGTTGATGCTCTTCTACGTTATTTAACTTATCACCTTCGCTGTATGTTTTTTTAAAAGAGTCTTTTTTTCTCCTCTTTCCACGTTTACAGCCCTAGAGATGCTGACCCAGTAGGATATCGTGGAATTTCTGTCAGCCCTCAGTCAATTACGACCCCGGTAGCATTCCCCACCCGGGGACGCTGACTACTGCATGCACTTCAGCCCAAGTGACTCTCATCTTCACCCCACGACCACCACAATCGAACAGTATCGGCACCCCATCCGTTAGCCACCCAATCCTCGATCACGGTCTGACAGTCCTGCAAGTTCTTTGCTTTTACCTCGCTCTGACCCCGGAAGCAAAAGGCCACTTTAACCACTGACCTCTGCGACGACACCCACACACCGGCATTGACGCGGGAAACCCCAGCGCAGGGATCACTAACACAATGGGTACCCATAGATCTGGCGAGGTTAGGTGCCGGTAGGTTTCACAAGGGGTACAATAGATACCCGAGTAGAGTTCAACTTGCTGGGGAACGAATAATGATAGGGATGACCTACAAATACGGTACAATACCGGCACTCGAGTATCATACCGGTACGAGTACTCGTCCGTACAAGTACAAGTGCTCCGGGGGTTGGGACCCAGAAGGGACAAGGGTTCTTGTTTTTTTTTGCTTAAAAAAAGAAGGGCCCTTTCCAGACCCTGGTCCCAAAGGGAAAAGTGCTCGCACATTAACGATTACTCATGTCGTGCTCGGGTGTCAAGAGATAAAGTATTACCGGTACGGGTATGGTGCCGTACCACCTAAACGGTTCGTCCGACCTGCGGAGTGGAAGGGCGCGGATGGAAGTACACTTGGCTTCTTTGTCTGTTCTGACGTCTCGTGATCGGGTACACGAGTACGGTACTGTACCTGTATGTGTGTTGGTACGGCAACGTACCGTACTGGTGCGGCATCGTGCCGTGATACCCCGCGAGCTGCGCTCGAGTACGGGTTAACGTGCTCTGGGTGTTCCGCTGCCAGCCAAAAGGTCTGACTGGTTTTGAACCACGATATCTCCATGGAAACTCGAGATATTTCTACTTTATCCCCACTAGTTAATGTGTGGGGGATCGCCTACTCTGTCATCTAGTAGAGCCATAATTCCCACAGGAGTGGTTTCCGAAAGACTTTTGTGGGCTGAAGATGGGCAATATTTTTTAGCAAAGTATGATACTCCCGCTCTATCGCGCTGCAATGGGATGTCGTGGCCCCGTGCCACCAATGGTCCGGGCCTAGGGTGGTACGGTACTTTGGAAAGATGCGGTGCTGTACTGTGCCGGTATTCACAAACTCGAGTCTGGAAGGGCCGTCGTGAGCCATCAACCGTAACTTACTCGTGCTGTCGTGGTTCCCCGCTTCGCGTTCGCAGAAAATCCGGGATTCAAGCTCAGGCTTCTCGGCGGTCCGTTGGCCAACCTTGGGCTGAAGGGTTACTCCTGTCAGAGTAAGATATCGGGGGTTTCGGATCTGATCATGGGGTCGAAAGTTAGGTTACATTGACACTTAAGGTCCTCGTAACCCGTCCTTTGCTTTTCCAACGCCCTATCATCGCCACCGCAATTGCACTTTTTTCGTCAGGTCTGGGCGATTGATCGGGGAAGAATGATTAGGATCGCGGATGATTCACCGTGTTTTTTTTCTTCTTTCGAGAGCCTGTTTCTTGTTTTCACGTGAGGGCCTGAGTGCTGACTGGATCGGATTTTTGGGGTGTTGGGCTGATAAGATGGATTAGATTAGATGAGATTATCGGGTCGGTTGGCCACCGGGGCTAACGCGTCATCCCGTACCTTCCTGAATATTCCCCCGGTTTCCACAGAACCCTCTCCAATCTTCCCCGACCCTCCACAAGCACCCCGCGGCTACCGGTATCTCGGGCATTACGAAAGCTTGCTGCGAAATCAATAACTGGAGAAAATGCCAGAAACTGTGATCGTGGGTATAAATATGCCTTCCTCGAGGCTGCAAGGGTCTCATCATTCTCGAAAATCACAATTCAGATAATCACTGCTTCTTCCTGATTAACATCACGATCAAACACTATCTACTACCATCGTTATATCACCACTGTACAAACTAAACACGCATTCTAGAAGCAAATTCATCATGCCTGCACCAGTATTTCAATACATGTTCCTCCCAGAACTCCGCTACTGTCCCTGTCCCCCGAGAAAGTCGTTTTCTCCCCGCTTTGATGTGCGCGAGACCACAAATGCATACATCGTTGAAGGCGAACTGCCTGGCGTCACCGATAAATCGAATATCTCCCTCGAGTTTACGGATAAGGGCGACTTGATTGTCAGGGGACGAGTCGATCGGTCGAGGACTACGGTTGTGCCTCGGGCACAGTCACAAACACCATCATCACCGTGGCAGGATACGAGCGAGAAGGGAAAGGAGAAGGAGGAAAAAGATGAAGATATGGTCTCAACACCTACTTCTTCTACGCCACCGTCTCCACAATCACTGAAGCCGACGGTCGAAGACGTCCCGGATGAAGACGATTGGATGGGGATTGTGGAGTCATCAACTGAGAAGACAAGAGCTGAGGGGGAAGCTGCCGGGGCTGAGAGGAAGGAACAGCCAAGGGCGAAGGTGGCGAAGAAGGGGGAATGGCCGAAGAGGTTGTTGTCCGAGAGGTCGGTGGGGGGGTTCGCCAGAAGCTTTAGCTTCCCGACGGTTATTGATCACGATGCCGTGACCGCTTCTCTACAACACGGAATCCTGAGAATTGTCGTGCCGAAGAAGGTGTTTAGTGCTGGAAAGAGGATTGAGATCCAGTAGTTGGGGAAATCTATGGATTACTATCCATTATACCACTTGTATTCTTTCACATGTACACGCTCTCTTGGCTCTATCTTGTCTAGTTTGTTTGGTTTGAGACTGCTTTCTCTGGTTCGCTCTGCCCAGAATTTGGCATAAGGGGCATTTTGGGTGCATGTATTTCTGCTGATCAAAGGCTGCACGTTTTTTTGCTTTGCGAAATTGTTATCCCAGTGTATTTATCTTGAGACATAATAATGACTCTTCCTTTTCATCATAGCTTCTGATGTCCAAACTTGAAAGGGTAATAATTTTAAAAACCTCGCCTTACAAGTACCACCGCACCAGCAGATCAATCGTAGTATCTGATCACCACCCACCATTTTTCCAGAACATGACGTCAGCACGACTCGGCCATGTTCTGGCATACTAGAAATCACCAGCAACAACCAACACCCCAAATACCCCAAAACCCGGAAAAACCAACGACAAAAAGAAACCAAAATGCCCACCCCTACCGCATCCCCCCTCCTAACCGCCGCAATGGCCCTCTGCAACACCCTCTCCCAATCCCCGCCCCCTGCACTCCCCACAATCCTGCAACACTTCACCGCAACCGCAACCGCGCACGAACACGGCCTCCCACAACTAACGCCATTCCTCGGGCGTGAGCTCCCGATACCGGAATACTTCACCATACTAGCCGAGAGCCTCTCGTTTCGAAATATGCGGTTTGAGGAGTACATCGTGGACGATGCCAGTAGTAAAGTCTTTGTCAGGGGCACTGGGAGGTTCATCTGGACGGCGACAGGGCAGGCTTGGGATGAGTGCTTTGTGTACTTGTTGGATTTTGTCGAGGATGCAGGTGGTGGGTGGAAGGTGGGGAGGTATCAGGTTTGGGGGGATAGCGGGGCTGGTGAGTCTTTTTTTTCTTCCGTGTCTGAGGATTGGGCTGATGGTGTCGTATGATAGCGTATTTGGCTAGGGTTGGGGAGTTGAAGAGTGTGTTGGGTGGGGGGGAGGAGGGGTCGGTTTAGGGTTGGCTGTGGAATATATCTCGCGGTGGTTCTGGTTATTGTTCTGGAGACGTTGGTTCCGGTATTTTGTGATATCTTTGAGGCGTATTAGCCCATTGAATAACTCACCTGATCTCTGCTTGCGCTCCCGTTGTGTGCCGGAACTGCACACAGCCTCTTCTCGTTGATTGCACAACACGACTGAGGGATCAGTCCATACTACACCGTGAACAACCGAGTGACCGGGAATGACCGTGTTGTGGTGACAACATGCGAGTTACTTGCCTGTCAGCCTGCAGACAAATGCCCAGCTGGGGCAGGGGTGGAGGTGAACTGGTGACTGACGATTTTCCTCCGTTTACCACTGTGCACTTGCACTTGTGCTATTCCTATCCTCCTCTGGGTTACGTCCTGATCCGGTAGCATTATTCAATGTGCCTCACGTCCGGGCTCCAGGTCTACGGAAATCTGTTAGGAGAGGAGGTGGGTGTATGCCCCCGCTTTGTAGTTTTTCCCTCCTGTCTGAGGCCAGACGCGACGTTTCCTTTCAGTATTTGCCATTCGAGCCTTTGATTTGGGGCTGTGGGCTGCTTGTTTGGTGTTCCCGATCGTGGCTTGCCGGGTTAAACTTCGACAATGCTTTTGCCCTGCTCGGTCTAGGGTTGTTCCGAATGGGTGAATCAGGGGCGGTTTCTAGTGTGATGGTAATGACAGCTAACTTGTTCTTCACGGGCGCAAGAAACTGGAATTGGCGATGGGGGGCGTATGCTTGTTTCCACTTTTTTTTGTGGTCATTGAGGGTCTGCGAGGCCCGACACGGAGGTTTTTGGGTTGCAGCGTGGGACTTGTGGGCGATCGCTCCTATGTGAATACCCTAGGGACACGGTGGCCCGTCTGTGGTATGATATCATACAGACCCACAGAATAAGGCCCCCTTTTGCCAAACCACGCTGGGTGCCGTCCGGCAGAGATCCTCACTAGTGGTCACTCGTTCACTAGAGTCTGCTTGGGGGTTCGAATTATAAGTACGCCGGGGGGCGTAACCGCAGACATGTCCCGATTGCGTGGTAGGGCTGTACGACGCATCGTGCATTCGTTACGACGACGATCGCGGGGACAGGGAAAAAATGGGGGGACTGTCCTCTTCCTTTTTGTGCTTTATTTTTATTTTTATCGGACGCTGTCGGTGAGCCATCTGCTCGAGCAAAGTCCTCATGCTTCGACCAGTTTAATTTGTGTCTAACGGTCATTCATAACGCATCACTCGAGGGTGCTGCTGGCCTGGACAAAGATGTGCACTCCAAATGCCAAGAGTCGTACAAGCTGCAGACCTTTTTCAGCTCACGTACCCTTTGAGGATGGTGTGGCGGCGAATTTGGGCACAAATTAATAAAGTGCGGTAAAGTGCGGCAACTTGCTGATATCGTACATATCGGTATGTTAGGAGTGCGGTGTTGGGGGGAAGGGGCAGTTAAGATAATAATTCAGCTTCCCCACCATACCCGCCCCCTCTCTCCCTACACCTCCCCCAACGCTATAGTCCGCACGGTAGCAAGAACACGAGAAGGAAGACGAGATGATAACATCCCTTACCTGCAACGCTTGCTTGGCCCCAATACCCCCCAACGGAACCCGCGTCATCTGCCGCGTCTGCGCAAACTACGACCTTTGCAGCAACTGCCACACCCTCGGCCGCTTATCCGACTCTCACGAGGTGCAGCACGAAACCCTGGTCCTCTATCCACCCGCTAGTATCTCTCGAGACTATCACGTACCTCCGGCTCCTCCACCTCCGCTCCCTCCCCGCTCCAACGATAGTGGGGAGACTAGTCCCCACCCCCACCCACGCCCCGCACTGCTACCGACCCGCATCCCCGCCTCGGCAGGCAAACTCCTATCAACCAACAACACCCCAACAAAGCGCCTAAAGGACCTCTCCGATGCGGTCTTCGCATACGTGAACAGAAACTATCCCACTGCAAACAAACACTTACTAAACCCCAGCCAAGTCTCGTATTTCTACGAACTCATCGAAACCCCGCTCGAGGAGAACTCATTCGGTCAATGGATAAGTGTAGCCGATGCCTTAGGGTGCAGTCTCGATAATATAGACCCCGAGGTGGCACATTTCTATGATCAACTGGCAATCGAGTACTCACTGATTACTCGTGTCATTGAAGGCACCCCGCAGGTGGTGTTGAATGGCATGCCCATGCTTGGCCACCGTGGCTTTAGGCAGCTCCTGGTCTGCGAGATACTGGAAGACCCAGGACGTGCGCATACTTTCTTCGGACGGCTGGTCCGCTTGGGGATAGTCGATGACACTGGGCGGACATTTGACAAAGTGCCCCGGGAAATGTTCCCGGCGGAACCTGATCCCGCGTTCACGGTCAGACTCCTGGAGATCATGGAGGAATCGGGGGTGCGCGCCGAGGCGCTTGTTGGCAGGTTGAGGAGTGAGAACGAGGAGGAGGGCCAGAGTATGGTGGCCCTTGCCGGGCAAGAGAATATCGCGCAGAATGAGGCCGCTCTCGCCCTAGCTCGGGTCGAGCAGGAAAGGGAGAGCCTCGCGATCATCCAGTCAGCCAATGAGCAGATGGCGCTCATGCAGCTTAATGCGCGGCTCCATGAGCAGTTGTGCCATACGATGTCGGGTGCGGGGAGATCCTTTTTTTGATGGGTCGGGACCTTCTCAGTTCATGAAGTAATAATAATCTATGAGATTGCTTTCCTTTTTCCCTTGTTTGCGTTTCTGTCTTTCTTTCTTTCTTTCTTTCTTTTTTTTTTTTTTTTTCCAAGATGAGATTTGTTTGGTTCCATATCTGTACGAACCGTGCCTGCATAAATTATAACGAGCACAGGACTCGATCACTCTACTGTACCAACCTACCGACATGATGCAGCGCGGATGACAGTGTGATAGAGTATTGTACCTGTAGAGGATGACGCCCCCGATTGAGGGTTGCGGCACGACATGGACGGCTGCCTTACTGTACTGTACGCGCGGGATCGGTGCTCTTGACAATTGCTGTAATGTTTTACACCTGTCAAACATTAACACAAACATTAAGGTATAGTAAGGCGGCCAAACACACAGACAAATATTCATCCCGCAGGAGAAACCTTTTTCCCCTCCCCACCCGCCCCCCCCCACACACACACTCTCTCACTCTCATTCACTCCCTTTGAAACCCCCACACATGCATGTGCCTGCCGGGTTTCTACCGTACGGTACTGCGGGCTACGGAAACTGTGTGACGCTATCATACTTGTAAGCATTTACGGTACGGTACGTGAAACGATGATGATGATGATGATGATGAGGTATTATTATTACTATTATTATTATTATTATTATTATTATTATTTCTTGTTGTCATTCTTTTGGAGGAATTGGGCTTCTCCTCTGCTGTATGCCACAAGTACCCGTAGTGAGCAGGAAGAGAAATGGGAAAAGAAATGATAATTAGAAATTTGAAAGTGAAGGGAAAAAAGAGGGAAAAGAAAAAGAAAAAGAAAAAGAAAAAGAAAAAAAAAAAACTAACTACGCATCCAATTGTTGTAGCTTGGGCGGGATACGGTAATGAATCAAAGACATAAGCAACAGTTTCACAGTGGATGCAAGTTCCGAAAACCCCCACTACCGTACTCGTACTAACCTTGTGGTGCTTTCCAGCTAAAGTGAATGGGAAAAGGCAGAAACTTCACGTCAAGAGCAAAAATAAAAATTCTGCAATAATAATGATGGAAAAAATATGGCCATATCATTGTATTTCCCAAGTGATGTAGCAAAGGAAAAGTGGGGTATTAAAACATACAGAGACCTAGAGTAGAGTAAATAATACAGAACTATAGGACCCCACAAGAAATCTCGTTTTCCCTACGGGATTGGAGGAATCAACGAGTTCTTGCGCTTGACGTTGACACCAGCATGAATACCCTTCCTAATTCGCTTCATGGTGAGTGCGGCAATTAAGGCGGCACCGACACCACTCCCATCCTCAGAGGGAACAATCTGGATAGGATCGTTCCTAACGGTTTTTCCCCAGCCAAAGATTTCGCGAAGAGCCTTTGCGCCTCGTTCCTGGAAGTTGGGGTACTTGTTGAATACAGATCCGTCAGCACCAACATGGCAAGATTCAATGTTTTTCATCTTGCAAATGGCCGCAACACCACAGGCGGAAAGGCGAGCGGCACGAGTTCCGATGAGCTCAGCAAGGCGACGGATGAGCTTACGCTCAGGCTCAGTAGTATCAATCTTCAACTTCTTCTCAAAGAGGGCATGAGTTTCCATCAAATTCTCCCAAGGATCACTAGAAACAGTAAGCCCAAGCCCACCAAGCATGCCGGTGAATGACATACCTCTCAATCTCGGCCAAGAAGGATGAATCTAAGGAATACTCAAGCTGAAGAGCACTAATGTCCTGCTTTTCAAAGATTTTAACATCAGGGTTGGAATAAAGGTCGACTAGAGCCAAACGGAAGATTTCTCCTAAGTAAAGGCCGGCAACCATCTTCTCAAACGTTTGCTGTCCTGGACGGGGAGAGCTTTCATCAATATGCCTATCATATGGGGTGCGAGGAAGGACAAAATGCTCATTGTCGAACGCTCCCCATTCACAGTTAATAGCAATCTCGAGATTAGGATCGAGATTCATATGAGCGAGTTTAGGAATACAGCCAATAGTTTCCATATAGGCAGCATTGCAACCGGTACCGAAGATGCAACCAATTCTGGTAGTATTGTCGGTATAAGCGGAAGCGATCAGAGTTCCGGTAGTGTCATTGACCAAAGCGGTGATTTTAATAGGGACCCCCTGAACGGCCGTAATCAGTATAAATTAAGAAGCCAACTATGGAATGAATCCCTACCTTTCTCTCAAGAGCAGCTTCGAACATGGGAACAACGTCATGGCCTTCAACACCTTCAATGTCAAAACCTTTAGTCCAACGCTGCAAGATACCATGATCAATGGCGTTCTGCTCGCACGGGTAGGAAAAAGTAAAACCAAGATGTAGTTCCTTCAAATCCTTGATATCTTCACACTCGTGATTGGCGATCAAGAACTGCTTTACGCACTCGGCAATGTAATCAAAAAGCTGGTCACCGGTGCCAGATTTGATCTCTTCTGGAAGGCGATACTTGGACTGATAGATGTCATACTGGCCCTTCTCTTCAGGAAGCTCAACCTCGCAAACACGAAGATTTGTCCCGCCCATGTCGAGAGCGAGGTAGGTGCCCGTCTCATCGCCGGTAGGATATCCAATGACCCAAGTCGGGTTCATGGGCTACGAACAGACGGTAATGTATTAGTATCTCATTGGATGGCCAAAACGTAAAGCGATGAATCAGAACGCAGTTGCAGATCCGGATAAAACATACAATAGAACCGCCTGCCACGGATAACCCTACACCGTCAAACAATTTTTTTTTAGCAAACTAGCTAACAACACCTCCCCTGTTGTCAACATGTGAAAGGTGCCTACCCTTGACGAGTTCCTCCTGGAATTTGGACACAATCTCCAGGAGTTTTGGGGTGTGGATGGTAAACATCTCCTCGAGTTCATGGATATGCTTCATGAGATCGTTTGGCACATCGTGCATGGAGCCTAGCCAGAAACTCTTCCCGTTAATAACTCACCTAAGCGAAAAGAGAGAATGAGAAAAAACCAAAAAACTCTTCAACCAGGGCAAGGCAAGCAAGCTAGAGGCTCAATTCGCAAACTGAAAATAGATGAGTAGACGAACCTTTGCGGCTAGGCGGCTTTCGAGATGCAGTGAGATACATCTTTTATTACGCAGGGTGACAGAATCTTGCGAATGAGGGAAGCTCTGGTGAATCACACGGAGGAAGCCTGTAGATGGAGGGAACTCGTGAGTAACGAGTGGTCTTTATTTTAGTTTCGCTGGGGGGTAGAGCAGCGGATGGGAGAGGGCGAAAACAATGGAAACGTACGAATGGAGAAGCTGAGAGAGATAAGGAGTTATTGTCGGTTGAGAGGAGGTAGAGTGGTCGACAGGCTGGACTGACAAGAATGTCGAGGGGGGGGGTTGGTCCTGGTCCTGGTCCTTGGAGGGGTAACCTTTTTGTTTGGAGGGGTCGGGCGATACGGTAATCACTTCATTGCGATCTGGGTGATATGCGACTTGGCCATTACCAACAGGAAATGGAAAGAAGAAAGAGGTGAGGATGAGGGTGAGGAAAAGAAAAAATCAAACCGAGCTCCAAGACTGCATGGGACAAATTATTTTGATACCGGTTTGCTAATCTAATCAGCTTAGGAGGAATAATTATTTGTCTCTCAAGAGCGCCAGGCAGGGCTACAAAGCCATGTGTTTCGCCCTTTCCAAAACATATGGCACCTTACTACCGGTGTAGTGGCCAGAAGAGTACTTTTTTGCTCGCCCTATTCACATTTCCGCCAGGTCGTCGGCATGCAATATCCCTTGATAGCGCTAAATTGCAAACCAGCGGTATCAAATGGTTATAGTGGAGGCGGAGCGGGAGTGCTGTCTGCCCCCCCGTCGGTAGTGTGGGATTGCCAGTTTGTGGGCTCCGGGCATTCGTGGGGTTGGAGAGGAGGCACATAAGGTGGGGTGGAAATTGATAATGACGGGCTATTTCCATTACTTGGGGGGTGAGACATGGAAAGTTCAGAATGGCAATAGGGAGGGGAAACATTAGAAAAAGAAACCTGTTAAGGAACGGATGGGAGAGGAGGGAGATAGGGAAAAAAAGAAAAAAAAAGGGGAGACAGGAGGATAACACGACACGAAGCCAACGGAGTGTCGGTAGGTGTTATGTGGGTCTCTCCTTCCTCTTTACAACTTGGGGCGATGGAAAGAAGGAAAGGCGATGATGCGATTGAAGGCATATTGTGAGTAGTTAGCAGAGAGTTGACTTGATAGGAATCTCCCGCCTCAAGTTTTTCATCGCGAGCTAACCTTCCATCTCACCGCGGCAGTCGTAACATTTTTTCTTGGCCGGAATTCACAGGAAAATGCCCCAGCGTACCGTACACTGCCACTGGCACAGCACCGGTGCCAGTATATCGTACACATCTATATCCGATCCCTTCCACCTCCAAGGCTATCTTTTATTCACTCCTTTTGGTGGTGGAATTTCCCTCCCCTAGGTTTCCCGGGTTCTTCCCTCACTGCCTCTCAAATCTCAACCCCCAACCCCCAAGCCCAATGCCGTTGGCAATCATAGGAAGTCGGAAACCTACATACCGCGCACTAGAACAACTGCACTATACCGATACTTTGCCCGTCAGGTCCCTGGTCACTGGTATGTATGCCGGTTGAGGAAATCCGACTTGACTTGCGTGGTACGCAGGGCGCAAGGCACAAGTGCGTCCCATCTGGTGGTGCGACCCGGACAGCGCACATCAAGGCCACAGCTGCAATACAGGACTGTACAGCCCGGAGGTTTTTCTTTTTTTTCCTCCTTGCTTTGCAGGCAACAGCAGCGGGTAGCATCAGCACCAGCACCAGCGGCAGTAGCCATCGGTGGATATGGATGCGGGTCGAATTGAAGTCTGGTGAATGAGAAACCCAATCGCGGGATATGGCTGAGCCACTTGGGCGAAGTGCCTAGTGATGGATGGGCGGACAAATCATAGCTGGGTTATTGACATTGAATTTTTTAATCTGATTTTTTTCTTTCCCTTTTGCTAGTCAAAGGTAACCCCCCAAGGCCCAGATGCCGGGGATGTCCAACCCGATGGCTAGCCAAAAGATACCCTCGTACATTTGCAAGTACCCAAGAGAACAAGTGTATGTGCCGGTACCACAAAGCGCCGATGCTGAATTCCGCTTATGTATGTAGGGCCTCGGGATGACGGGGGTTGCACCGATGAAACTGACACCCCAATCCCAATCCGATCGTTGGCTATAAGCCAGGGTCTGATCGTCTGTCATCCGTTTCTGAAGCACGTCGAAACACTCTCCGACAGGAAAGGGCGAGGGGGAACGGGGAAGCAGGAAGGAAGAGCGGAGAGACAGTGAGGCGGGTTGAACGACAGCAACCTTGGACGAAACCCGCAATTGCAGCGCCATCCTAACCACCGCCACTCATCGCCGGCCCATTCATCCGTCAGAGATATTCATGATTAGCATGGAGCATAAAGCAAAGGCCAGAAGGAGGTAAGAAAAAGGGAGGGGAGAAAAAAAAAGAACCTTGGTGTAACTCGTCTGCCAACTGTACAAAGGTGCCATATTCGGTGTTCTAGCTCCTATTATGATACCATTCAAGGTACTTCCGCTAACTAGACTACGGTATCATGCTCGAGTACACATTACCGCCAACCTAAATATACAATAAGCCCTCCCCGTCCGGTTTCCAACTCACACGATATTACCTACACTATCGCAATGTCCTCTCAAACCCTACCCATTAGAAGAAATTCTAGAAAACCTTTCTCTCCCCCCCTTCCATAATATGTACCTGAATATCTCATTTTTCCCCAGATTTCCACGCGGCTCCACTTATCATCATCCCCAACAACCCACCCCGTCGCCTCCTTCGCCTCACATATACAAATGAGTTCTGCCGTAACGTTGCTTTTCAGCTGTTACACCTTTCATCTCTTCCCTTCAGTTCCGGGCACCGAACTGTGGGTCAGAAGCATGGAAGGAAAAAAAGATGGAAAAAATGAGGGAAAAAGGAAAAAATTCACTAAGGAAAATTATCGTTCGTTACCGGTTCTTCGGGTCTCTCGATTACTTTCTTGCTTTTTCATGCCTTGCTTTTTCTTATTTTTTTTATTTTTTTTGCTTTTGCTTTGCCTCTGATCAACGTCAAGCAGCCCATCTCGAACTGACCAGCGAGTTCTATCACCGCACCACAGTCATAGTCCTGCCTGGCTGTCCGCCAGCCACTTGTGCTGTATGGTCTGTCATAGCTTACCGGCAGGCAACCCAGCCAACTAGCCAGCTGCTTAGTTGGATAGCTAGCTTAGTTCTGATACCTCTACATATCATAGCTTCTATGCGCAAGAAGAGCGAGCACGATAGGATACGGCATTCGCAAACTACGATATACCATCCACTCATACATACATACGTACATACATACATGCATACATACAAATACATATATTCTATTTACATACACACACAATTGTCCCATCCCACAAGCTCCCCATCTCGATGAACACACATGCCGTACCCTGCCACATCTCCGCCTCCCCGGTCCGCCCATCAGTCTATCCATCAATCCGCAGTCTTGCACTCACATACACAGGACTGATTGATGAACTGTTGGCCTAGCCATTCACTCAGCCATTCACTCATTAACTCACTCATTGCCTTGCCATTCCTTGCCATTCATTGCCATTCCTTGCCCAGCAAGACAACCCTCCCCACCGGGCGAGCCATGATACCAACAACCACACACAACCACTCACTTTCATCCGATATTCCCTCCCTCTCATCCCTCCCTCCCTCCCTCCCTCCCCCGCCTCCCATCCATCCATCCATCCATCGTCCATCATCCATCCATCTCCCCCCGATCCAAAACAGAACACCCGAAGATCCTCACTCACCAACTTCACCAACTCTTGCCAACGCGTCCACCTCCCGTTCGTCCATATCGTAACTAGATACGCGAACTGACCAGCCAGCCCGCCAGCCAGCCAGGAGTTCCGCAAATCGAAATGAATGAATGAATGAATGAACGAGTGAACGAGTCCGCGAATAACGGGCCGAGCCGGATATATATCTCCCATAAGTTGTCGTATATAACCCCCCTACCCCCCCATCCCCACTCCCCCCCCTCCCACTCTCCCCACCCATCACCATCATCATCACCATCACCATCACCGCCACCACCACCACCCGGCACGACCAGAATGACCACAAAACCAAACCTCTCCCTCTCCCTCGCGAGTATTCACCGGTACATAAAGGAATCTCCATTCCCGCCGCCGCCGCCGCCATCCTCACCGGCGTCAGAGCAACAGCAGTTTTCCCTCCCTTGGAGTGAGTGACGCTTCGTGAAACGGGTGCTGGTATGGCGTATGTGTATGATTACCGTAGGTGCTTTGGTTTATTCATGCAGGTACGTCTTTTGTTTTTTTATTCCCTCCTTTGTCTCTTGATTAAGGGTTTGTTGCTTTTTTGTGTGTAGGCTGACTTTTGTCGTGGAGAGGTACCCTGCTTCATTGGAAGGAGTTTGTTTGTTTTTTCTTAAATAATCCAATAGGGATATATCGGTATTGGTATTGGCGTTATTGGGGGAATATGATATGGGGTGTTCCGGTCGGCCTTGCGGCAATTTTGTCTCTTTTGTTTTTCGGGGGATGTGGTGATGAGGATGACGTTAAACGGAGGGAAAAGAAAAAAAGAATATAATATTATAAAAAAAAAGAAAAATGTTAATTGGTGGTAATGGTTGGCTGGGGGAAATGCGTGTGGAGGACTTTGTCTATCCGACAGTTTTTTTCTTCTCGTTTCCTGTTGTTTCATTTGTTGAAGGGATTCATGATATAAGATATTTTCTTTTCTGAGCGAAAAAAAATAAAAATAAAAATACAAGTTTGGTGGTACTGGTATTTTTGTTCAGATTGTGGCGCGATAAGCTAAATAAATATCCGATGAGCAAGGAAGGAAAGAAGGAAGGGTGAGAAAAAAAGGGTAGCCAATAGAATCGATGCAATTGCCGAGTTCCTTCAATCAGCTTTAGTGCCCAGGCCTAGAAAAGATCGGGGGAGCACACAGGTATCCTGCGTAGCCACCTGCATACCGTGATCCCAAACTTTTAACAAGGGCTGGTCTGGTCCATCACCCCACGGGGAAGAAAAGGAATACAGCAAACGCAACGTAATGATGGTGAGAAGAAAAGAGGATCGTAAAATCAAAAGAATAAGAATAAGAATAGCGGCACAAAACAGAAATCCGGTTAAACAATAACTTAGAACGCCTCCAACCCTTCCCAGAGAGCCAAGCACGAATCAACCACTTTCGATATCATATCACTAGTGCCCCAAGACCTGAACCCCCGGTGGGACCAAGCGAGAGAATTCCGGAAAAATCCTACAAACCTGGCGAATGGGCTCTCCCTTTCTTCCGGTTTTTGGGGGTCCTCGGATGGTTAATCGATACCGTGCTGTTTCTTGAGCTTTTCTAAGCTCTCCTGGCGCTTGGCAAGGTCGCTTTCTGAACGAGCCATTTTCTCCGGTTGATGGTATAGCACTACCCAATTCCATCCCTATCAGCACGGCAAAGGTAACGGGGAGCGACGACATAGCATGGTCCGGGAGAAGGGGGCAACAAACCAACGAGGTAGCGATTCTGAAAGTTGAAACCATTCAGCTTATCGCAAGCTGTCTTTGCATCCATCACGTCTTCATATACGACGAATGCGGTGCCTTTGGTGTTATTCGCGATACCTTGGCGAATTTGACTAATACACGGTTTTGCACAGTCAGACAACTCAGCGATCGCTTGGGATAGGGGAGGGCGGATATCTACCGAATTGGCCCAAACTTGCCAAAGAGATCGAAGAGTTCCTCGGACGATACGTTGTAGCTAAAAAAAAATGCAGTGAGTGGATGGCTGAGATGATAGCGAGGCGTATATTTGTTCGTACCTCAGATTCTTGACGAACAGAGCTCTTTGGACTTCCGGTGCAAGTTTACCACCCCGATTCATGTCTCAGCCGCAGTAATCGTTATTCGCTGGGTATTTATCGATGGAAGGACTGATGGGAAACGAGATGGGTGGCGTTAGAAAAACGTGGTTTGTGAGGGAGGACGAGAAGAGATGGAGAAGGGTTTATCGATACTGAGAGGCTTCGGGGGGGGATGGGATAGAGGAACGGAGCAAAAGGGAGGGCGGACACGGTGACGGGCTCCAATGTGGCTCGATCGGTCGAACGCACACCAAACGATGGGGGTCACGGGACTCACCGCCAGACTCTGTTCCGGTTTTAGTTTGGCTTCAACCTGTCGCAGATGTGTGGCGGCGGACAGCCTGGTTGGCAAGACGATGAGGGATAGGGTGTGGCGCTTGGCTAGGAAGCTTTGCGAGTATCGTGCATTAAGTAATTGGGGCATGTCGAGACATGAAATTTCCCTGGATGGGATAAGATCTTCCTGGAATGGGGGTGAGGTAGTCTATTGAGATGTTTCTCCGGAATTAGAAATGACTAAGTACCGGTACGAGTAGGGGATAGTACGGTATCATACTCGTAAGAGCTGGTGCCGATACCCGTCTCCCTTTGGTGGTCTGAGCACTTATCATAAATTCCCAAGCAGCAGAAGCACTAATCCTATTTTGGATACACTCAGGGATTCTGGTTCGCTGGAAATTAATATTTCTGAGGTGCTGAGTCATTTAGGTATTGAAATGGCCAAATAGATAACCAGAAATAGCTAGCTGCTGACTGATCTGGGCCTAGCGTGCCCTTCCCTTGAATTCCTCTGTTCCAGAGCCCCCAAAGGATAACGCCGTTCATGACGCAAGGGAACCATGGAGTCTGCGTGGCCGGTATTTGGAACTGCCGTGAGTGTCCAATAAGAAGCTTCTCCCTTCCATCTGGGGTCTGGAGGAATCGGCTGAGCAGGACACCAGTACTCCGCAGGCCCAAATTCGCAATTGATTCCGGGCCCCCTAATTACGAGTACTCGAGTAGTGAGCGAGGGAAAAAAAGGAAGGGAGGTACTCGAGCACGGTACCGGTAATTCCTCCAATTTCCAGTCGACTTCAGCTCCTACACTCTATTTTTGCCGTTTACCGCGACCGAGCCCTTCCCTTCCTGAAGATTTCCAAGACCTCAAGACTACAACCAGCACCCTGCTCTCTAAAGCGATAACTAGAATTTACCACGTTTCTAGCTGTACTGCTACGCTGCGAGCTTCTTATACCTTGCTATCGGACGCGCGGACAGTAAAATAAGATGGCATCAGAACCAGAGCAAACTTCCCCACCTTCAGCTCCAACCTCCCTCGACAGAGACCCTGTGGAAATGGCGAAGGCAGCCGTCGAGATTCAAGTACGCTCCTTCTCTTTCTCTCCATAATTTCTCAACCCAATTCATGCGGTTCAAGTATAAAGAGAAAGAGAAAGGAAAGAAGAAAAAAGGAAAACTATACATGGAATGGCATTGCATACCGTGCCAAGCACTAACCTTACATTACCTTCTAGCGGCGCTACAGAGGACATCGTGAGAGACGGCAGCTAAAGGGCCACGCATTGACACCAATGCAACGTTGGAACGATGTAATATGCTTCACCGACTATACTTTCACCGAATGGCTAATAACTACTTGATTAGGCTTTGGAAGAAGCTGAGTACCGACATGTTGCTCAACCGGTTTCCCTGGAGAGGAGGGTTGAATTGAACAAGCAGCGAGAGGAGGAGGGGAAGGACAGCGCGGCGCCGGAGCACGGTAGAAAGGCTTCGGGATCAAAGGAGATGTGGGATAAAGCCGTTTTGTTTGCTAGGCGGGTGCGAGACGATCAATTATCCAGTTAATGGGGATGAGACTAATTGATCTAGGCACAACATGACGACCCCGATGATACCGTTTCCGAGAGCAGTAACGACCTTGATAGTATTAGAACCAGAGACTCAGAGGGTACGAAGAAAAAAAAGATGGAGAAAAAGAAAGAGAAAAAGAGGCAGAAGCGTTTGGAGAGGATCGAATATTCGAAAGCGATGGACATGCAGTATGCTCACAACGGGAAACCTATATTCATGAGATATCACTGACGTTCCAAAGATATTTTTTGGAAATGGTTGATCGTAAGAACCAGCTGTCTCCAATCCACCCATTAATCCTTGCTAACAGCCAATAGTTAAGGTAACACTAGCAAATAAGCATACGCAAATCACATACTGAACTGCTCTAGCACCGCTATGGCTCAAACTTGAGAGCATACCACTCTTACTGGCAACAGCAAGATACAAAGGAGAATTTCTTCTACTGGTATAGTAGACGCCCCTGGTTTAACCACTAATAGTGGCACTAACTAGATAGGCTCGACCATGGCGAAGGCATGGAAGTCGATCTCAGTGTTTGCCCCCGTGAACAGCTGGAGAAGGAATGTGTAAGATATCTATCGAGGGAAGAACGCCAAGCATATCTAGTCAAAATCGACAATGAAGGAAAATTGTGTTGGGCCAAGACCGGGAAACGCATCGATACTAGTACCAAATACAGAGACACGCCCCATGGTGCTATGCCCCCGTTTATTGATCCAACCTCTGCTAATGTTTTCTGAAGGGGTTGTGCCCGTAGATAGTCGAGAAGCTGCTGATGCACCCAGAGATGGCAGAGGATCTCGCCCGGGTTCAAGCCAGAGCACTTCTAGTTCGTCTTCATCTTCGTCATCCTCCTCCTCCTCCTCTGGCTCCGACCAGAGTGCGGCTGCAGCCAGATACACGGATCCCGGCATGGCCGCGCACCATGGGCCTAAGAAGATTTTCCACATTTCTGCATCAACAGTGCTCAATCGTTTGCTCCGCAAGACGACTAAGAAAAATACATGGATTTTTGTGGCAGATACCTCGTTCAGGCTGTACGTAGGAATCAAGCAAACAGGAACATTCCAACACAGCAGCTTTTTGCACGGTGGGAGAATCAGTGCCGCAGGCCTGATCAAGATCAGGGATGGCCAATTGAGAAGGTATATCCCTCCTACACCACCCACTTGCTTGCAAACCTGACCTAACCAACATGATACCATCACAGCCTTTCACCGCTATCCGGTCACTACCGTCCTCCGGCTACCGTACTCCTGCCCCTCCCTCTCCCTCCCTACACTTGCCGATTATTGACTAACCTTCCACCCAGAACTTCCGGAAATTTATCCATACTCTAAAAGAGGAAGGCGCCGACACTTCCCACGTGAGCATATCTAAATCATACGCGGTTCTACTTGGCCTGGAAACCTACGCAAACCTAACCAAGGGTAAGAAGAAGGGCAAGTCCGCGGCGCGGAAGACCGTCGGGAAAGGTGAGAAGGCCAGGACCCATGCCATCGCAACCGGTGTGGATATAAGCAAGAGCGCGGTGAAGGGTGAGGAGACCAAGCTCAAAGACATGGAGGAGAAGAAGAATAAGGAGAAGGAGAAGGAGAAGGAAGGGAAGGGCGTGAAAGTCGAGAAAGTGGGCGGGTGGTGGAAGTTTATGAGGAGATGTAAGACACCTGTTTAATCGGCTATTTGTTCCATTTTTTGCCTCCTTTTTTCGATAAGAGGCAAGAATTTAGGAGTTGGTTGTTGAGGAGAGAGAGGGAATGGGCTAATATGTAATTGGTGGCATGCGCGGGGAGGAAATAGTCCGACTACCTGGCAAACATTCCCGTCCAAAATCTCTGACACGGAGCGCCGCCTGATACGAGGACTTACAAGCGCGTCTCCGCCCTGTTTCGGCTGGTTTCATTTTCATTTCTGTTCGCTCCTCAGACAATGGGAATCTGGTTGATAACCTTACCACTGCTACCAATCTACTGCTACTACACTAACAATAATATCATGACCAATTCAAATGTCAAAATCGATCAAAAATATGTATACCTAATCCAATTCAGTTCAGACCAATTTCTTGCGTCGCAGTGGAGGAAAATGGAGGGAGAGTGGCAAAGGCAAAAAGAGAGGGAACGCCGGAAAAATATGATACAATACTCGACTCTCTCTCTCTCTCTCTCTAGCCCCCTCTTGGTTCGAGTAAGGAAAAGAGAAAAAAAGGAAAAAACACCTTGTCGATACGGTGTATGCCGGTGCGGGGTCGTTGCGCCTCGGCTGCGGCAGTATCGTATGATAATTTGATCGCTGGTTGACCTCACTTGCTTGCTTGCCCAAGAGACGATACCGTACGTACTCGAGTACACTGCCGACACTACAGCAAATCCATACACAAATCCTCAAACTCGAGAATTCTAGCACTAGTATGATAAATAACAAAGGAAATTGTTGTAGACATGATGACATGGTAAATTCGCACCCTGCACTCCCACCCCCACTTCCATTTCCACTTCACAATCTACGGAGCAACCCACGTCCGATCTAATATTACATTCGTGAATGAGCCCGAAAAATGTCCCAAAAAAGGAAGAAAAGAAATTAAGAAACTCGCAAAAAAAAAAAATAGTAATAATATCATAGTAAAGAAAAAAAAAAAACAACCGCTGACAAATTCATGATACATACTCCATCCTTCCTTCGCGGCAAACCTAAGGTGTGGGCGTCGGCGCAATCGAAAGGCTCAAGACACTCTTCAACTCCCCAAGGGAGTAAGTATTAAAGTCCACACTGACCTGCGAGTAGCTGGTGCTCCTGGTATTGAGTCCCAGGACCAGCGAACTAGCGTACCCGCCACCGCTAGGGGGAGTGGTAGTCGCTGGTGTTTCGGCGGCGAGAGCTGTGGGTTTGCTCGTTGTCGCTGGTGGTGGCGGGGCAGATCCCGACGCTGATGAGGGGGCGGAGCTGGTGTCTAGGGTGAGTGCGGTGGGCTTTGACGACAGAGGTGAGGAAGGGGGGAGTATCGCCGAGGGGAGGGCAGTACCATTCGCGGCTGCGAGCGGGGTGGTTACGATTTGCATCGTTGTGGGCTGACGTGACTGAGAGCTCGGTTGCGTGGTTGTTCCGTGGTAAGCCGCGGTGGGGCAGAAGCATTGGCATTTACAATCCTCACTCCCGGCGCCCGCTACTGGGGATGGGGGGGCGGTAGCCGCGGCAGTCGCAGTTCCCGTCCTCGCCGCGGCGGGAGAAGAAGAGGAGACGGTGCCGTTGGTCCGAATGGCCGTGTCCAAGAACATTTCGAAACTCTTGTCGGCGGTGGGATTGATGGCGAAGACCATTCCATTACCGCAGTGGTTCCCCATGCGCTGTTTGCAGTACCACCACGTCGGCTCGGAGGTTGTTACTGTGTACTCCCAGAACGGCGGTGGGACGACGGTGTTGTTCGGGTTCGGCGTCAGGTCACTGTCCATTCCCGTCGCCAGGCGGTTGCAGGGTGCGGCGAAGGTGGATTGGGTTACCGAGTGGTTATTCGACATGAAGACGAAGTGTACCAGGTCGCCGACCGCCGCGGAGATTTGAGATGGGGTGTAGACGAGGCCGGCGGTGCCACCGACTGTTACTATGTGCGTTGCTACGGCAGTTATGTTCTTGTAGGGGGCCGTGGCTGTCGCCGTGACGATCCCTGTCAGCGGTGAGGTGTGGACCGCTGCCGGCGAGGAGGATGGGAGCATGGGCACACCGGCCAATTTCTGCGTGCTGGTTTCGGTTTGGATGATATGGGAGAGGAGGGTTTCCTGAGATTTTGTTAACGAGTGATTATTTATGACGGATCTAGGAGGGATTACGGTAGCTACGCTGGCCACGGTTTGGGTCTGGATAGCGTGAAGTGTTTGAGTTTGGATATCCTTTACTGATTCGGTGATCACCCTATCGATTGTCTGGTGGATAAGTTGAGTTTCGACGCTTTTCACTACCTCTGTCTGAATGTTGTTGACGGTTTGAGTCTGAATGCTATTGACGACCTGAGTGTGAACATTATTGACGGTCTCTGTCTGGACGTTATCGACGGTTTGAGTCTGAACGCTATTGACGACCTGAGTGTGAACATTGTTGATGGTCTCTGTCTGAACGTTATTGATGGTTTGAGTCTGAACGCTATTGACGATCTGGGTGTGAACATTGTTGACAGTCTCTGTTTGGAAGTTATTAACAGTTTGCGTCTGGACAATGTGGCTCAGGAGTGTTTCCACCGCTTTTACGGTTTCCGTTGCCAAACTCGAGACAACTTGGGTTGCTGTTGCGATGCTGTGGACAACCTCCGTCTGTGTCTGAACCTCCTTGACAGTCGCCACGCTCTCTTTGACCTCGGTAACAAAATTGTGGACAACCGAAGTTGCGATGCTTTCAACCGTCTGGGTCGACACATCCTTGACTGTCTGAATGTTATTGACGGTCGCGGTGGCTATGCTCGAAACAACCTCCGTCAAGATACTGTGCAATACCTCCGTCTGGGTCTGAAGTTCCTTCATGGTCTGGGTTTCGACATTTTTGACTGTCTCCGTCTGGAAAATGTGGCTCAAGTAGTGTTTCCACCGCTTTTACGGTTTCCGTTGCCAAACTCGAGATAACCTGGGTTGCTGTAGCGATACTGTGAATAACGTCCGTCTGTGTCTGCACTTCCTTGACGGTTGCAATGCTCTCCTTGACTTCAGTGACAACATTATTGATCACCGAAGTTGCGATACTGTGAATCACCTGCGTCGCAGTAGCAACGCTCTCAACAACCTCTGTCTGAGTCTGAACCTCCTTGAGCGTCTGAACCTCCTTGAGCGTCGCTGTTGCTATACTCTCTTCAGTCTGTGTGACGACATTGTGTACAGTCGCTGTAGCCACACTCTCTTTAACCTCGGTGACAACGTTGTGAATCGTCGCTGTAGCCACACTCTCCTTAACCTCGGTGACAACGTTGTGAATAGTCGCGGTTGCCGTCTTCTCAGATACCTGTACTTGCGTCTCAACCATCGTCTGGATAACATGGCTTACTAGGACTTCTGTTGACACCACCTGGGATACTTGGACCTCGGTCTTCGTTTGGATGTCTTTCGATATGGAGACGTCAGTCTTGGTTAGTTCGACAATGGAGGTCTCCAGATCCGTTTGGATTGAAGTGATGAGCTTTTCCACAGTGTGGATCACCGGTGGCAGCGTATGGACTATTGTCGTTGGCTCGATACTGGTTACCACGGCGGTGTGCTGCGGAAATTTTAGTCCTGTATGAGCTGCGAGTGATGTACTGTACGGTGGACTTACTACTAGGACCTCGGTTGAAAGATGTACCACTGTCGTAGGGATGGTTTCAAAAAGCGTTTGTAAGTTCGTCACTGTTACATGGATCGGCGGTAGCGATTCTGTAAGCTATAGCTAGTTAGTACAGACATCGGGTTGGCGATTTTTGGCTTTGCCTACAGTATGAACTACAGTGACATGCTGAACCTGTGTCTCTGTTACTGGCTGTGTGTGCGTTATCGCTAGTGTTCTATTTAAATCAGCGTCTGTCCGGATCTGCAGCGCCGAAGATACGTACTCAGTGAGATGCACCACCTCTGTTTTCAAGTCCGTAACATGAACCGTTTCTGTTGCTAACGAAATCGAAGTAAATGGTAATGTCCTGACAAATATAAGCCCCGTGTCCTCGTCACCCCAAATCCATAGAAAACCTACTCAGTGACATGTAAGGTCTCCGCTATCTTCTCTGTCATGGTCTCAACCGCATGCTCCGTCTTTGTTTCCACCATATGATCCATTGATGTAGATATTACGGTAACTGGCTCCGGAGGAGGATATTCACTCGGCGCTGTAGCCCTTACCACCCCGAAACCGAATGTTTGGAGAGCGGCCAATATTAACAAGCCCGTACCCGAGCGGGAATGTGTTGTTGTCCTCATAGTGAAATGAATAGGCCTCTCCAGGAGGGTCTGAACCTATCAACGAGGGACGTCTTAGGAGCTGCAAACGGCTAGAATATGGAGAAGACATTTCGCTTCTTCTAGGAGTCACTCACTATTATATTAAGTGGGAAAAGTGTTTGGCTGAAGATCCGGTCCCCGAAAAGAAAGAATGCGCTCGCGCAGCCAAGAAAATTAGAAATGAATGGAAGGCGGAAGACGAATGTCAAGAATTAATTAGAACGACAGGAATCCTGACGAACGTAAACACGATTGGCCGCCAGTGCTAAGTGAAAGGAATGGAAGGAAGAAAGAAGGAAAGAAGAGAAGAAGAAGACGGGGGAGGACGGACGAAAGAAGGAGGGGTGGAGGTGGTAGGCATATGCAAGAAGTAGATAAATTCTTGATATCACTCCGACCCCTCTGGGACGTAAGCTGCTCCGATGCCTTCACATGATCACGGTGTATCCCCCCAGTACGGTAGGAAAGAAGTGCATGGAATCCAAATTCCCCTTGACAGGCATAGCAAGGACTCACGATACACAGAATGGGGAAGGCAAGAGAACCAAGATACGGGAGAAGTCTCATCGAAGTCTGACCCACACGCCAGGATCAGCCCCTTCAACCCCTAAGGCGTGCTGAGAACGGTACAAGAGGGGTCATGCCGAGGGCGCACCGTAGTACAGATCCCGATACCGCAAGTTGTAAAGCTTTCCTCTGAGGAGAGTCGAAAAGTCTTGCACAAGTAAGCAGTTGAGGGCCAAACGTTGCCCGTTTCAAGCTGGAGAAACGGTCGTTGCACCATCCCGGCTCAAGAGGGTAGTTCAAAAAAGGTTGGACCTATCCATGCCTAATTGCTTGTTGATTACTAGCTTGCTTGTACCACGCCACCGCAAGCGAAGCGACCCAGGAGACAGGGTCACGAACAAGCCTCTGTTAGAGATCTCGGGACTAACCCCCCACCCCCTCCTTTGTGATGTTGACAATGGCCAGCTTCCAGTACGGTATTCGAGTACCGTAAGGCAGGGTCGCTGATCGAGCGGCCCGATTTTTCAACGATCACACACCCTATGCCATGCCCAAATAACCAACGGTATTAAGCTTCGCTTGGGCCCTGGACGGCGCCTCCTAGCGATAACTGTTCCGTGATGTGCGGCACGGCACCCATATTTGTACTAGTACAAGTAAAGTTTGGCGTTCTGGGTGTTCTGGGGGCCCCCCACGAAAGGGGAAGGAACAAGCCCCCCCGCCCCGACCGCTCCAAGAAGCCTCCGAGGTAGAGATGCTACGAGTACCGTAGGTTATACGAGTGCCGGTATCATAGATAAAGTCAGCAGGTAATGGGGGAAGGTTTTCCTGGTGAATCATTTTTCGAATAAGCGCCGTCCGGACAGTGCATCGCGGAACGCTGGACTGCCTCCACGCCCTCTTGCCCCTTCTGTGCTGTCATATCGTACGAGGGCGAGTGTGATATGGGACCCCTAAGTAATTCAGCACCGCGCCCCCTAACCCACGCAGCAAGTTCCCCACAGGCACAGCGGCTCTCCGACAAACATCCCAAGCGCCGCACCGGCAGCCCACTAACCGACCGGTATGGTAAGCGTAAAGCCAACATCCTGATGCGGGCAGTCTCTGCAACAGATTCCAATAATAAATTACCAAGGCTTTCCAATTTTCGCCTCCGAGTAGAGCATTCCTAAGCGGAGGAGTAAAGTACCCCAGCCGACCAAATACCGGTAAGGGGGAGGGGCACCCCTGAACGGAGGCTCTTGGTAGTGACCATCATATCTCGACCGAACTATTGCAGCTAGGGTACTCGTACTATCGCTATGAGTGCCTTACCGGTACGATACGTTACCGAGTGAGCCTCGCTACGAGTACCCTAAGAATGGAATATCACTCCGCGAACTGGCCTTGAAACCAGAAGAAACCGAACCTAGGAAGGTCCGGAGATGCGTGCGCAACCGTGCCTGCAAACATTGTGCTCGAGTGAGTACTCGAGCACAGTAAAATACCCGCACATAGCCTGGAACCACTACAAGTGTAGTAGACGGCGCGCTGTTACCGAGCCTCGATAGGGATGTAAGGCCCCCATCATCTACTGGTATGATACAGTACTTGAAAAACAGGAGAGATCAATTCGGCCTCAATAGGCCATCGCGCCCTTACTTAGTCCTGGCCTCCACACTGTAAACCGTGAAACCTGTCATCCAGTTGGTATCCCGGCTCACATGCAGGTACCAAGTAGGGATCCGTTCGCTGTTCGGAGTTGTCATCTCGAACGGAGTTGAGAGGTGGAGGGATGCCTTGGCGGGCGGGAATACGGTACGCTATTCTATGAGTGCTCGCACCAGTAAGATACCGGTACAGGCGCGAAGCTGTGCTGGTGCCGGTACAGTACGAGTACTCGTACTGTGTCGTTTGTACCAGTGCGGGAGCGGGAACTTCTGGTTGAAACAGGAGAGAAGGCATGAGATGCGGTGCGACTTACCCGAGGCAGCCCAGGGGCATGTGTCCTCCGTGAAACTCCGAATCGGTGGTGAAGGGTGGCGTGGCAACCAATCCAACCTCGAAGCCTCAAGTTACACACGCCTCTACCTAAATTTATTTATGGAAAATTTGTCAGTATCCAACGTTGCGAATATCTGAGCACTTCTGTGTACCACCACGAGTACTGCCCCAGCACAAGTACGGTATGCATGTTTCACTCTCTCCAAAATTTTGCATTGAAGCCATTTGCGCTATGTACGAGTACTAGTACAAGTATAACCGGTGGTAAGTTTCAGTGCTCTTGGCTACAGTTCAAAGTGTTGACCCTCCATATTTGCTGGAAAAAAGAAGGACCCCCCTGTCGGGCTGACGATAACGGTCGGTGGGCTGTTGGTTGAGATTTCGGTATAAGGGGGGGTTCCGTTGTTGACCTGGCCTGAGGGGGTGGGTCGGTGGAAGTAAGAGGGACCTGGTACGGGTAGAAGTTCAGATACCAGGCCCGTGTGAACCAATGCTCTACTCGAGTAGAGCGTTGGGGTGATGGGTGGAATGAGAGATGATTGGGTTTGTGGTGGTGGGGGATAGGTACCGGTGTCGTAACTCTTTTGGTAGATTTACCGTACTCGAGTAGCTATAAGGAAAGAGAGATGGTATGGCATGAGTGTGATGTGATAGCTATGTCCGTGGCCAGAACGGATGAGGAAATGGGACGCCAGAACTCCACCAGACACTCTCTAGGAAGCAGCCGGATTCCGCCCCGATGGCACAAGTAGATACCCCACAGATCCCGCCGGTCTGAACTCGCGACCCTTTGCCAACTTCGCTGGTGAGGGCGGTAGGGGGGGGCGAAAGGCTTTGTATTCCAATGATTTGGAGAGCTGGGCAGACGGCCGTACCATAACGCGCAGTGCGCTCCGCTGTAGACGCGCGAACATTGCTCAACCGGTGGTCCCTTGCGCACAGGGCTACCGCTACCGTACGGGACATCTCCAAAAGGGAACCTCCCTGTTTACAGCACCTGATCCAACCTCGAAGCTCGCAGATCCATTACCGGTACCGTACTCGAGTAGTTCAGAGTGGTCAACAAATAACTTGGGGTGTTTGACACACCAGAGTTTGTAAGGTACCGGTATGCCAAACCGCGGATTGTGGGGTACGCCGAACTGCAGTGTACGAGTATAATGCAGAAGAATTCTCTGTTACGGACCATGTGCAGCTAAACACACCCTACCGTACCTCACAGACCTTGACGTGCCAAACACCCCATAACAACCCACAATTTTCCGCATTTATCCACCAACCCGTCGGAAGAATCTCCGATCTACCGATACCCCACCAAGCCATTAATCCGTCAGTAAGCGATTAGGTTTAGGTCTGCTGGAAGTGAACCGGCTATAGCCAGGGCCCCCCTCATCCGATTCTTCTACGCGAGAATCGGCTGTTAATCATACCGGTATGATACAGTACTCGAGTACCGTATCACACCTCGATTCATCCTTCTACCGTGCTCGTAAATTCTCGGCCACTCGTTGCCGGGGACTAGTACCACGTCAGATTCGCTCTGGGTTGGAGCGCCGGAATGAGAGAAAAAAGGAAGGAGAAATTCCAGGGCCCGGGAGCTTCCGCTAGTCCTCGGCGATGAGCTCATATTCCGCCGAGCCGAGGAGAAGGGCACAAGATACCTCTATGGAAGGGCCCCAGGAAGTCTTGCTCGAGTAGGAGTACCGGTGTATCCCCATCGCACTCGTTTTGGTAGACACTGCGGATGCGGGTACTCTGCGGGCTTGAGAGGAGTGACGGTGAAGGGAAGCTCAGAGCAGGCCACCCCCAAAGTCGTTCCATAAACACGCCAACAAACACGCCATTCCCCCGTGGGATGACTGCGTCATCGATGGGATGGGTGTACTGTAAGATGGGCATCATTGTCAGGCAACACCTCTAATCGGTTGGAAACGAAACATTCTGTCTTTGGGGTATAAGTATCTCCCCATACGCAATGGTCCCATACTCCGTTCGTTGGCAACAATCATTTCCCTATCCAATTTACCAATCATGTCTATTCCCACAGAGCAATATGCGCAAATCTTTAAGAGCAACAATGCTCCGATTGAGTACAAAAAGGTTCCGGTCCCAAAGCCAGGCCCGGATGAGGTTTTGGTCAACATCAAATATACTGGAGGTGAGTTGCGGGATCTGATTTGGTTTGGTGGTTGGTTCCCTTTTGTTGATCTAGACCCTAGTTTGCCATTCCGATCTTCACGTAAAACGCCCCTGCCGGATTGCGGCGGTGAGAAGTTACTAACGAAGGATAGGCATGGAAAGGTGACTGGCCTCTGCGCACTAAACCAAATTTGATTGGAGGTCATGAAGGTATGATCTTCCCGTAGAACTAGGGGGAAAAAAGTACATTCCTGACTGTCCACCAAGGTGCTGGTGTTGTCGTCGCCGTGGGGGAGCTGGTTGAGGATGTCAAAGTAGGAGACCATGCGGGCATCATGTGGCTCAACGGGAGTTGCGGCCATTGCGAATTCTGTAGGTTTATTCCGTCCGACTTCTTTATAACCCTACTAATTCGGAATAGGTATGGCTAGCGACGAGCCCTTGTGCGAAAAGGCTCTGCTCTCGGGGTACACTGTGGATGGTAGCTTCCAGCAATACGCGATTGGCAAGGCCGCACATGTCGCTAGAATTCCCAAAGGAGTTCCATTGGATGCGGTTGCTCCGATCCTATGCGCCGGAGTCACGGTTTGCACCCGATAACCGCCCATCAGCCCTACCATACTAACTCTATTAGGTTTACAAAGCCCTTAAGGAATCCCGAGCCCATGCAGGTCAAACTGTAGCCATCGTCGGTGCCGGCGGTGGTCTCGGCTCTCTTGCTGTAATCACCCTAGATTCTTTTACTCGTACCGTAGCTAATCGAAGATTATTAGGTGCAATACGCCAAAGCGATGGGTTTCCGTGTTATAGCCATCGATGCCGGAAGTGAAAAGCAAGAAATGTGTCTCAACACGCTCGGTGCCGAGGAATTTGTGGACTTTGCGAAAGGCGATGTAGTTGCAAAGGTCAAATCTCTCACCGGGGGTCTGGGTGCCCATGCTGTCATCCTTCTCGCTGTGAGCGAGAAACCCTTCCAACAGGCCGCTGAGGTGAGTCTACCCTAAAGCCACCCCACCCCGCCTGGAAATGGAATCAGGTGATTGACGCTGGGTCGGATAATATAGTACTGCAGGGCGCGTGGAAGCGTAGTCTGTGTAGGTCTCCCCGCCAAAGCCCGCATCTCAGCTGAAGTATTCTCGATCGTCGTCCGAATGATTACCATCAAAGGATCCTACGTTGGCAATCGCCTTGATACCCAAGAGGCAATCGACTTCTTCGCCCGAGGCCTCATCAAAGCCCCCTTCAAAGTCGGGAAACTTTCCGAACTCTCCCAAGTCTTTAAACTCATGGAGGAAAACAAAATTGCAGGACGCTATGTTCTCGATACAAGCGTAAGATGAACCAGTCAATACCATACCCCGTGCAGTTTTTCCGATCTAACATTACTCCGTGCGCGCAGAAATAAAAACCCTTCCTGCAAAGGTATACTGTGCTGTGCCAGCGAAATCTCCTGAGGTTTTGAGCGGCATCTGGTTCGAGAGAGGTGTTGACAGTAGGAGCTGTCCTTGTTTTATCCACCAGATTTGTGGGGTATTGCAAAATGTGCTGTATGGTACTAGTGTGTGCTACAGTTCTGGACGTTGTTCACCATCAATCGATCATTGTACTCGTACAGTACTGTACCGTTCCTGAGCACCATGCTCGTGCCTCGTAGCTAATATTAAGCCTTTCCGTTCCAACCCTATCATGCATTTTACACAAATATAAGTCACCTACAAGTATCCAAGTATCCAAGTGTTCAGAGTCTATCCGATACTGTGCAGAGGAGCTCTGAACCTCCGGACAGAGGGCACCAAAAATTTGGATGGACACCGATAGAACAAGGCGCTCCACTCGATCGCAAAAGCATCGACTCCAGGTGCTCACGCTCACACAGTTCCGGTATCCATGAAAGCGCCCAAGATTTCACTATATTTCCCGCAACAGAAGAACCCTCCTACTCGCAGGACCCCCTAACAATTGAGGGCCAAGTTGCTGTATTCTAAGCTACCAAAAATGGCACCCCGGTGTAAAGTTCTCCAGCGATAATGATCTCTGCCTCTGCTCTGAAACCCTGTCCCTCGAACGACGTCTGGCGCGGTGACTTGGAAACCCCCGACTGCTTCTCCTCCCCCGGGGTGGAGCACGGCGGAAAGAAGACGTGACCGCGTCGAGACGTCCACACCGTGACACCGTAATTTGCCAGAATTCCTGTGGCACCGGTTCTGTACTAGTACATACTCATACATACCCGTACGGTACAGTACTATACGTGAAAATTGATTTTTCTATATAAGCTAAGCGCTGCTCACACAAACAACTTGAAAGAAATCAATCCCTCCACCCATCCCTTCCCAGCTGGGATTTTACGGGTATGATATCCCGCTAAAACTTCAGAGTAGCCTATGTATGATAACTTGGCAGGGCTCTTGTGTGGGCTTCGCGAGCTTGCTGCTGCTTGCTTGAAATCGTATTATGAACGGCGTATATATATGTTGTACGGAGGCCCGCGGCAGGTTTCCTGCCAGGCGGGTGCTGTTGTGTGATACGGCACCTGACGTGCGGATTGGTGGTGGTGGGTGGGGTCCATTATGAGGGGTGGTTGGTTGTGGGGGTTTCGTACCGTACCGTAGTGGTAGTGGTATTACGGTGTTTAGGGGGAGAATGTTATTATACGGTATCACATAAGGAGGTGTTTGTTCGTGGTTTGGTGCGATATGAGGTTCGGTTTCGGTTGGGCGGTGAGTGAGTGGTGAGGGAGCGGTGGGGCTGTTGGTATAATACATAGAACAGTCTGATTAGGGGCGGTGTTTGGAGGATTGTGGATGGTTTGGTTGGAGTTATTGGGGCAGTGCAAAGTCCTATTGATCTTACTATACCATACAATAGTTATTATGATACTACTGTGCATCGGCAAGTTATTTGTGAGAGTTGTGTGTAGGTCTGGTTATGTAGTTATCCATGTATACAGTTGATTAGTTGGGTATATAACTATCCAGCTAAGTCTACGAGTACGAGTACCGTACCCCAGCCATAGAATACCCGTTCCCCTAACCCACAAGTACAGCACTGTCAGATCTTCCCCTGACCCTCGGCGTTCTCTCGCGGGGAAATGGCAGACGATGAGATGAATCTACCAATTGTCCCTGACGCCGGGGATCCTTGGAAAGGACCAAAGATCTGGCAACAAAGCACTTTACCGATAACGATGTTTTCCCGCGAAGGTGATAGGGAAGGAAGGCAAGCCCCGTTTCAAGATGAACCTTCAACTCGATCGTTCAGCTGTGAAGCAGACCGCCATGCGAGAAAGAAAGAAAGACAAGAGAAAAGAAAGAAGAGAAAGTAAAATTTCAGCAATGCTCGTCCTCCTCTGCCTTCCACGTTCGTTCTCTCTTCCTTCTTCATCCATAAATCAGGCCTTTTCCAGCTCCCCCTTTTTTCTTCCTTCCTTCCTTGTCTGTTGAACGGGGGGGGGTATAATAGAAGCATTACGACGACTATCGTCGTCACCTCTCCCGGTCACCTGACTGTATCATACGGTACTCGAGCGGTGGCCGTTGAAGTCCAGCTCGGACTACCCTACCACCGGTAACTATAATGCCAAAAGCTATGATACCGGTACTGTACTCGTATCGTATTCATACCAACCCCCTCCCGGGGCCCCTATCCAGGAACGATCCGATCGATAAGCTAACCCAGGGTGCTTGTATCATATCAACCCCCCGCACTCCCAACCTGACCAACCAGCGCTATAATAATAATAACAACAACCAGAGTATCACACTGTACTCACACCAAAGGGACAACACCCCTAACACCGATTCATGCATCGCCAAGTTAGAAAAAAATAAAATCTATGCAACCAAAAGGGAGTACTCGTACAAGCGCAGGGTGCCTGAAACAAGCGTCCGTGCTTTCAGTCCACCGGTACGTTGGGTTAAGCGGTTAGGTTGGTTAAGGGGTAGTCATCGGCTGTCACTCGAAATTTGTTTTTCTTTTCTTTTCTGTTTTGGTGGGTGTCTTGGCGGGATGGCTTATCAGACATCTATCATAATATTATGGTACCCGTATCTACTTGTAGCTTGGTCGTTTGAGGGGAGGGTACGAGTATCATATGCGGGAGACGCCTCGCCGGGAGGAGGCGCCACGTGCGCCTAGGAACTAGGGAATACGAAGAAGCTTATTACGGGTATCATACCGGGAAGTTGTCGATGCGTTGGCGAAGTTTGCCGGGAGCAGAAGCTGATCTGGTTTCTACGGTACCTGGCCGTTCTCGCCCGTTGTGTTTGATACTTGATGGCGGAATGGGAAGCGCTTGGGGTGGGGTTTGCTTGTTTGGTTGAAGCCGGCGGATTGGAAAAGTGGTATCATACTCTGTATAGCAAGCCTGACTTTTGATAGCTAAGGTAGTGATTGAATACCATGAAAAACTTTACTGATCATACTTTGCTGTAGGGTATCTTAACGGGGTCACTGCATCATAGCCAATTCTGGCGTTCTGTGGGTGGGCCCCGAGCGGGTTGGCAACCTGGGATACCTGCTGTATCGCAGCTAACTACGCGTTCTGTTGGATTACCGGTATGTTGTGCTGTTCTATTTTCCTCCTGGCTATGATACCCCCTCATTCCCCAAGCTGCAGGCAGGGACCTGCTGCGAGTCGTAGCAGAGAGGGGGAACGCAGCGCTTTTGGAGGTTCTCGGGTCCGCGCCTGGCGTACAGGCACGTAGTTCATTCGTATTGGGGACGGTATCTCCGGGTATGTTGATTTCTCGGTGAGCCATTCCCGGTCTCACCGTATTTTTTTATTGTATTTATTGTTTTAGGTATCAGGAACGGGAATGGCTGTCTTGTATTGGATTGTTTTTGGGATTTTTCTGAAATTAGGACATCGTCTTTGCCGTTGGCCACTATTGAGCTACAGTACCGTATGATTACATTGCAGTAATGCTAAGAGAAAGAGCCCTACTTGGAAGATTCCATCACGGTTCCGTCGACTTTACGGACGTCTTCGGGGTTCCTAGTACTGAATAGCGCAGCCGGATTGCACAGACAGACAGAAAAAGGATGTGACTAACTTTTCTCACTAAACTTCAACTAGTGATGAGCGCGAGGCTTTTTCCAGGGCTACTTCCGAGAGCCTATTATACCTTAGTTTCCACAGTATCCTATCATACCTTCGTCGGTCTCTAGGGTAAAGACCTTCTTGTCATAAATCTCCCTTGGACTCTTAACAACCCCAGCGTACGTTTACAGTAATCTGCTCCGGTATCCCCTCTCCGCAGAGGTGCTTCACTGACTCCTAAAGCGGAGACACGTGCTGGAGAGACCCCGGTAATTACAAGTATTGAGTGAGCGCTTTCAGCGCATAATACGCCTCCGTACCTTGCAGAAGAAACCCCTCAGCTGCTCTCACGCATAGCCACAGCACTGCAGGGGCAAACGCAAGTCTGCCCGTGCAATCTAGCTTCACCGGTTGTCTCTACCGCAACGGGAAATCCCCGCTTTTCTTTCCTGTCCTACCCTAAACTCTATTTGTTGTCGGGGCTACTCACTCGCTCTCACTCGATAGGTATCTCATCTGGTGTATTGCTCTCCCCCCCCCCTTCGCTCAACGACCTCATGAGAAACTTTCAATTTTGCAACAAACGCTCCTAGGCCATCTAGAGTACCGTATGGATACATGTCAGACAAGACATATTGCTAAGAACCAGAACCAACCCATTCTTCTTGGGAGTTTGTCGATCAATTATCACATGACTTACGAGAGCGCCCACCACCTAATTATTAGGTGCACGGAAGCCCTTGCTTATGCCACAGATTCGGGATCGGCACTAACACGCTTGGCAATCTAATGGCAGCAATAAGGTTATCTGGATAACAACGCGTGGATTTGTTTGTTCTATAGCACCAGAATTTAGGTAGCAGGTATATCGCCGACGTACCTTTCACGATGCACTCAAGAGGTTAAATCCGTATGGGGCCGTGCCGGTCTTTTTTACGCCTTCTAAACCCTTTCATGACTCCTGAACCCCACCGGAAGGCCCTTGAGTCGGGGAATTGGATCATAATTGTCTGTTATTAGAAAAAGTTCCGTTACGGTGCCTGATGAGTGGGTATTTGGTCAAAACTCTAACGCAGATTCCGCATAGGCTTAGGACACAAGGAGGCATTTACCGAAGAAGGGATAGAGATATGCATACATGTCTTTCACATCATGAAAAAATTTCGGATGCGCTATTGAATGCGGGTGGGGGGGGGGGGGAATACAGATGCGGGAATCTTCGTTCGTCAATCAACCTACGGTATGCTCCATACCTAATTATCTACAAGATCCGATATCCGCATTTGGTGGATAGTTAATCCCCGAATCTCTCTCACTTTCTTTTTTTTTTTTTTTTCTAGAGAGCGGAATTGTATATGAGTCGCCCCTCCATTTCCCCATCAGTCGCTTCCTCTTCACCGTCATCTCATTGAGAATTCATTCCATTTACAACTGCCTTCTTTCATCACATACTGTTACTCTTCACTATAATCTACTCAGTAAATCCTCCGAGAACTCCCTCTTCTTTTGTTCAATAAACTATATGCATGTCTCAACCATCTCCATCCTAGCTCCCACTCTCAGCGTCTCCGCCTCTCCGCTCTTTGCTAGACAAATCGCCTCTATCGAGGAAACCACCCAAGTCTCCGATAGTAACCAAGACGTTGGCAACGCTGATCAGAACGCCGGCAACCCTGCCGCAAACAAGGGCAAGGTTGCCTGCCGGTGACTACAGTATACCGTCGAGCAGGGAGTTGAGACGTGCGGCAACGCGCAACTGAATTGCTGCAACAAGATTGAGATGCAGGGAGATACTACCAATGCAGGCTTGTTGGGATCCGTGTTCGGTAGCAGAGATATTGGCATTCAGTGCTCGCCCATCAATCTTCCCGCAGTCATCGGTGGTAAGTATATCCCTTTTACTTTCTTAGCCGGGCGGTTACCTCTTGCTAATCGCTGGTATAGTCCAAGTTCCCATCAACAAGCAGTGCGACGCAAAGGCTGCGTGCTGCCAAGGAGAGGTTTTCCCAGGTATTGCCTTCCCTTCCCCTCCCCTCACTCTCCTTGCGTCTTCTCCTGTACTATTATTCACTCAGAACGGCCTCATCAACCTTGGCTGTGTTGCTCTCGCCTCCCTCATCTAATGCTTCCCTCCTCCTCGCGACATGCTCAAGAATATAGCTTCCAGTTGGATAATTCTCTTTTCTTTTTCCCCCACGACCGGGCTGGGCTATTATATATATTCCTTCCTATCATACCAACTTTATCCTTCCGTGGTCCACTCACCATCGACGAGACTGGACACAAAAACTCGAAATAATCTCCTTCCTCTTTATCCCTCTCTGGCAGTTTTACTTTTATAGCTGTATGGATTAGTATTCATCTATTTATTCATATCACTTTGAGCTCAACCCGCTCCTATCAGTAATCACTCACATCTCCCGTTCCCCATCGTGACATTGATAACACAAGCCACCAAGAATCACTCGTTCCGAACCAACCCTCCCGCCACAGTAAATCAAGCCCCACCCGATAGAAAATATACAAAAAAGTATACCAGCACTACAAAGACGTTCCCCCCTCCCCCAACGTAGCTTACCAAAAGAGCGATTCGAGCAGAATCACAAACAAACAGACAAGGGAATCCACAATACCATCCACAACCGAACGAGAACAATCATACCTCCACCACCCAGTAGAACAAATGAACAACCATCCAACGTCATTACCAAGCGACTCAAGCCGTCCCAGTACAGCACATCCAGACGACCGGGGAAACGCAACACACCGAGCACCAAACAACCTTCTCTCCCCCCCTCAAGATATCTACAGCACCCAACAGGAACACAATCTAGAAGAAATTTCACAAATATTACAGTCCACCCGACGCAGCGTAACATATCTCAACATCCCATCCATCCATCCATTCGACGGAGTTAATAGTGGCGATTTAGAGGATGCATCTCCCCTTCACTCATCCCGAAGAGAGAAAGAAAAGAAAATAAAAGAATAAAATAAAAATAAACCGGTATCGTGCTATGATATTCTCCGATTAGGTGTCACTTTTTATAGAGGATAACTTACATGACTTCTAAGCTATTCTGATGCCCTCCCGGTCCGTCAGTTATTGTATATATCATATCACGGAGCACGACGTCGATATCTTTTCCAACCCTAAGGGGAATATTCGTAGATAGTTTAATAATGATGATAAATGGGGAAAAACAAGCTATCATTCAGATATTCGGATGGATGATACACACATGATCAGCTTTTTCCCCTACTGGCACTCCAGAGAAGAAAAAACCCCGATTACGGCGGGTCATGTAGACATCGAGTGCAAAAAAACTTAAGCGAGGCGTTGGCAGCAACCCAAGGCCGGGTAACTAACTGAAGTACTCATAGAACCACACAGGCATCGCCCCAGCTCCTGACCGTGACAACATCACCTTCACAAACAACCCAACCAATACTGACAATAGAGAAACTAGTCAAAAGCAAAAACAAAGAGATTGCATTACGTGGTCCTTGTCTAGCTATAGTTTCTCTATCTTTTATTACTCCTACCCAGGGTTCTCTTTAAGCTTTCCTCTAAGTTACTTCTCCAGGCTGTAGTTGACCCTGGAGGGGTAACGCGTTGTATCGTGTCTGAAGACATTAGGGTTAAGCCCTAAGATAACTTCACCAAGAATTTTTACCTACCTAACCAAGAGTACCGGCATTTCACTACCCTACCGAGAGTTATTTTCACTACCTTGCCGAGAATTTTTCGCTCCTTTGCCGAGAGTTTTTCGATATATTGCCGAGAGTTTTTCACTGCTTTGCCGAGAGTTTTTCGCTATTTTGCCAAGAGTTTTACGACATATCACCGAGAGTTTTTCACTGCTTTGCCAAGAGTTTTATGGTACAGCTTTTAGCTATATTGCTAAGAGTTTTTCGCTACTTTACCGAGGGTTTTTTTACTACGGTGACCTGCTGAGAGTTTTTGCTACTTTGCCGAGAGTTTTTCGATACTTTGCCGAGAGTTTTATGGTACAGCTTTTAGCTATATTGCTAAGAGTTTTTCCACTACTTTACCAAGGGTTTTTTCACCACGGTGACCTGCCGAGAGTTTTTCGCTACTTTGCCGAGAGTTTTATGGTACAGCTTTTAGCTATATTGCTAAGAGTTTTTCGCTACTTTACCGAGGGTTTTTTCACTACGGTGACCTGCTGAGAGTTTTCGCTACTCTTCCGAGAGTTTTCGCTACTTTGCCAAGAGTTTTATGGTAAAGCTTTTAGCTATATTGCTAAGAGTTTTTCGCTACTTTACCGAGGGTTTTTTCACTACAGTGACCTGCCGAGAGTTTTCGCTACTCTGCCGAGAGTTTTCGCTACTTTGCCGAGAGTTTTATGCTACAGCTTTTATCTATATTGCTGAGAGTTTTTCACTTCTTTACCGAGGATTTTTTCCCTACTCTACCGAGAGTTTTCACTACTTTGCCGAGAGTTTTTCGCTACTTTGCCGAGAGTTTCCGCTACTTTGCTGAGAGTTTTTTACTAAGAGTTTTCTCTACTTTGCCGGGTAAGAATTATTCTGTTAATTTTTATTTAAAGATAACTATACTGACATAGTGTAGAAAGATGGCTTCTGGAACAACCAACCCTGATCTTTGCGAGAGTATTCCTCAAGAATCTCAAGTACCGATAATGGTAGATAGTGAAGAGTCAGGTATATCTGATAATGAGTTTTCAGAACCTGATGCTTCCGATGATCCCGATTATCAGGAATCATTATCTACCACTCTATTCCATTCATCATCTATCACAGATTCTACAACCACTCGTACTCTACCTCCTCATCAATTCCTTCAGATTCCCTTACCACCTCAACGGCCAGATCATTTCAAATGTGATCCAGCATAGCATTGGGATACAGCAACTTCACCAATCAATAGTGATTGCGAAGAGATTGAACTATTGGATGATAGTGAGGAAGGTGTTATTCAAGAATCTTCTACTTCATCGCAAAAGAAGGGCAAGAAGAGAAAATCAAGGTCACAGAGAAAGAAAAGGAAGGAACAGAATGAAGAATATAAGAGAAAGAAGACGGAAGAAATTTTACAACAAACCTTGCAGATTGAGGTTGAAGAAAGTGCCAACTTTCATGCATTATGCCGTAGATCTCGAGGACGGCAGCCACCAAGTTTTTTTCAATGGCCTCCTATGGAAATCTGGCAAAGATATCAGACATTTTCTCCTCTTTCTATACGGAATGGTCTTATTATTCGTGATTCCAGACAACGAGCCTTAGTCCATCTCTTTCCATTTTCAACACTCTCCTCAAGCCTGATTCAGACATTAGCTTCATCTTTTGAAGAATATGAATCAACTACCTCTTTTCCAAACTACAATTATACTCATCGGCGTGGAGAGTATGAAGTACGGATTCTAGGTTGTTGGTTCAAATCAGGCCGATTTCTGCAACCATATATGACAGCTCATTATCGAGGACCACACTCAGGGGTTCACTATAAGAGACTTGACAACTCCGCTTACATTGCTGCAAAGAAGTTTCAGAAAGTGAATTGGAATTTATTTCAATTGGTTGAAGACCTTATTAAAAACTATTATCCTGATATTTGGGAAATATACAGTCAAATCAAGGTACCAGCTGGTTGCAATAAATTTGCTGGTCTTTTTGCTGCGGTTGTTATTAACAAACTAGTTCAGACTAAGGTGCATAAGGATTTAGGTGACATTAAAGGTGGTATATGTGTTATTATTTGTTGGGGTGAGTTTCAAGGTGGCGAGCTAGTTTTTACTGAGCTTATGACCTGTATTCCTTTTCTTGCTGGTTCAATTATTATGTTTCGGTCAGCTATTATTTCTCACTATAATTTACCAGTTACAGGAGATCGTTATTATATGGTTTTTATGACGGACAAGAATCTTTATAAATGGTCATGTTCCCAGCAGTCTTGATTCTTTCTATTTATCTTCTATCTTCAAGTTACTTCTTATTTCTTTTAAACTGATATTATACAATGGTCTTTCTATATCAATTTATGATATTTTATTGATATATTATCACTAGTAAGTATTGCGCTATATTCTATCTATTTGATTAATTGAAAATATACTTACATTTATTTAATAGTTTTACCTGTATTTCCATCGACAGCATCTACTTTTTTTTTCTTATCTATTTTTGCTCTTTTTTTATTCTTAACAACAATGCCACGAGTTTATAACTGGGATGAACATCGTGAAAAGTTAGCAGATATGTATCTTTTACATAGGATGCATTTGAAGGATATTATGATAGAAATGACAACGAGATATAACTTTACACCAAGGTAAGTAATTATAAAACTTGTTTCAATTTATAATTTTCTGGCGAGAAAAAACTAAAAGTACTATAGTTTGCGTGCATATCGGATAAAGTTTGCAGAATGGGAATTTACAAAAAAACAGGAATCGTTACATCATGATCTTGAATTGGTAAAGAAGGTAAAAGAGCTATGGGCAAGAAACTTAAGTTCTACAAATATTCTTCGATGCTTACAATATGATGGTTGGCACTTATCACCAACTCAACTCAAAAATCTCTGTCTACATCCTGATCTACGATTACTTATGGGAACAGCTCATACTCCAGAGGCAAGACTAGAGGCAGCAATACAGGCAGAAACCTATGTTCGTGAACATTTAATTTCTGGTCAGGCAATTCAGTATGGAAGACAGTATACACTTAATAATATTCGATTAAGTGGTGTTTTTCTCTCACAGTAAGTTTTTCTAATACTTAATATAATATTTATCTAGTGAAATATTTACTTACTATTTTTAACTTTAGACATCAAATACGAGCTGCTATGAAAACTGTTGATCCAGAAGGTGTTGCAGAATGTGGAAGATTTCTAGGCAATACAAGAGAACGGAGAGAATTTTTCAATTAAAGGACCAAATCGAATTCTTTCAATTGATGGTCATGATAAGTTGTCACGATTTGGATTTGAAATTTATGGTGCAATTGATGCATATTCAAGGTATATTGTCTGGTGTTATGTTGGTATTTCAAATCGAATTGCAGTTTCAGTCAACAAGCAGTATCTTCGTCTATTACGTACCACATTACATATGCCAAAAGTAATTCGCTCAGATAAAGGTGAGTTGGCAAGTTTAATTTATTAATTTATCGCTATTTCCTTATACTATTAGATTATAATAGGCTAAAAAAACTATTTATAGGAAGTGAAACTGTTCTTTTAGCAGAGTCTCACCTCAGCTTACGAAGAGCTAATCATCCTGATCTTCCATTTGAGAAAGCATACTCTTATAGAAAATCAACTAAGAATCAACGTATTGAAGCTTGGTGGAATATCTTAACCAAAGGTCAAACGCAAGCATGGAAAGTTTACTTTGCTCAATTGGAATCTGATGGATATTTCAATGGTGGTGATTTGGATAAGTTATGCTTACAATTTCTCTACATGAAAATTATTCGATCGCATATTCATCGCTTCGTTGAAATTCATAACTCTCATCCTATTCGACTTCAGCGCAAGCGGGAGCACTATCTACCAACTGGACAACCCTTTCTCCTATATTACTATCCAGAAAGTGGAAAGGATTATAAGGAAAAAGTAAATGAAAGCCTACTTGCAGCCTTAGAAGCAGAGGTTTCAGAATTTGATCTTGACGAATACTTACCAATATCTACCCTTGCTCTCTATCAAGGATTTCTTGATGAAGGTAGATATCCTGATGAATTTTCTTATAGTGATCCACGTCATAGAGAGGCGTACCTCTATTTACGTGATCGTGTATCAGACTATATTACACTTGGTCATGAGGTACAATTATCATTACAGCCAGTTGGCGCTAGCGAATGGATTGCTGTACACCAAAGTCATGAGATCGAAGTCCATCATGGACAAGTTATTGGTATTGCAGGTGATCAACTGATGCAACTAATCCCAACTGATGATGAGGAGGAAACTACCTCCCCCTCAGTTACTCCACAGACTACGATAGCAAATACGATTTTAAGCACAACACATAGTTCAGACTTAACTGAGTCAACAAGTTCTAATAATAATAATTTTATGCATGATACTAACTCACCAGGTAAGTGGTACTTTGAATAGTATTATAAAATAAGTAACTTGCTAAAAATAGTTAATAGATGCTGAGTTGTATTCATACGATACATATTCTGATATTAGCGATGATAATAATAATCATGATACGCGACTTTTTCTTTCAATTTAATAAGCTTAAGATTTTCTATAAAGCTTTACTTCTTTCTCTCTATTAAATTTTTATCTGCTCTTTAATCTCTCAAAGTTCAACAAATTCGCATACCTACCTTTCTCTTTTATACTTTTTTACCTTTCCTTTACTTCTACCATATTTCTATAAATTATGTCAACTTGTCAAGTTGATTCATGTACTTGTCGTCAAATCCTACCTATGCGTGAGAATACTGCTCTTTGTATTGGATGTAATCATCCAATAAGTGTTCATCTCACTCACGAGAATAATGAGGTTGAAGTTATTCAAAGTTCAAGTCGTAAGTAATATTTCTTTATCCTTAATAATCAAATGGCTTTACTTATACAAATTATATTCAAAAGGATTTCCAGTCTCGAACTATAATCCTACTACCTCCAGTTCAAGTTCAATGTCATTATCAAGCTCATACCATATCCCTCGTTCAATGCAAGTCTCTGCCGAAGTCAAGTTCCAACGTCAACGCATCGGTTCAACCAAAGATCATTCAGAGTCTGCACCTTGTGGAAAATTCAATACTCTCACTACTCTAAGTACCTCAATCAAACCAATTCAACGATCTGTTGGACTTTATTTCTACCGTCGTGGATTGAAGGTTGGATTTCATGGATTACCAACTCTAATGGAATTTATTCGAACTGAGAAAATTCCTGACTGGCAACAATATCTTAAAAATATTGTTCTTCAACATCCTGCCTGGTTAGGATATCCAAATATTAAAAGCTTTGAACTTCATCCACGATTACCGATTTGTGTAGGCTTTTGGGATGGAACAACAACTGGTGTTGCTCCAAATGCAAACTCGCTTCAGGGTGGTGGTATTCTTACTGACCTGCTTCGCTTAACTGATAATCCAAAAAGCCTTACTGGAACACAAACGCAACTGTCAGCTGGAAAGAGTACACGTACTTTAGAACCAATAACTCGAATGGCGATTACAGTTCATATTCGTACCATTGGTGACGATTCAGATGATGATGATGAAACTCACTCGCAAATTTTCATCAAGGAGGAAGCAACCAGTAGTAATAAAATATCAGATCCCTTAGAACAAGATGGTATGTTTATTTACTAGATTTTATGAGAATAATTTCTTATTATTTAACAGATGATGATGCAGATACTACTACTTGAAGTGGATCAACAACTCAAGAAGATACTCCTCCTCCTATACTACCTCAGTCGACCATAAGTGCTTCCTCTACTCAAATTTCTGAAAACCTATCTCATAACGATACCGAACGGCCAACAACTCCTAAACATACTCTTAATGTGAAATCCACATTAGGCCGTAAGAGAAGCTTGACAATACTTTCTCCAGAAGGTATTTCAATTCAATCAACTCGGGATCTAAAAAAAAAACCTAATGGTATAGCTCCTAAAATTATTACTATTACTAGCAATATACTTACTATTATAGGGAATATTAATTCTGAGGTAGATAAAATTGATTAGTATGTGAAACAGTATATTGTAGCAGGAAAGGGTTAGCGTATATTATTCTCTTTTTTTATTTTATTTTTTAAAGTTTGTTTTTACGCTGTTTATTTCCTAACTTTCTATTCTTTTTCCTAACTTTTTTTTTGATTTTTTTTCTCTATTCTTTTAGAGCCTGTTTAGTAATGACCATTCTGTTTTACTCATATCTAGTACAAAATAGCTGTTCACAAATAGTATGAGGCAATTTGTACGGATAAATAGAACAGAATGGTCATTACTAAACTGGTCATTTATTTTTTATTATTTTCAAATCATTTTATCAACCTTCACTAGTCTTACATGATTTATACTATTTTCTATTTTTACTCTTATAACATTATGGAAAACTATTGAAATTGGGGGTTATTATATTTATATTTTCCTTTAGTATACTTGCATCGCTAGTTTGCACTTGGAGCTGAATACCTAAGACGTCAACTTCTATACAAAATATCTGGCTTCGCTTTGGCTATGCATATAAGCTATTCAATATTGAAGTCATATTTTTATAAATTATTATTTTATCAACTACCCTCAATATGTATACCTCTCTCTCTCTCTCTTCAATTAATTTTGCGGGTGTGGGTATCCTAAGTATTGTGGGTGTGGTTACCCGGCCTTGGGTTGCTACCAACACCTCGCTTAAGTTTTTTTGCACTCGATGTCTACATGACCCGCCGTACCCGATGCACATTCACGCTGGACGGTAGATATAATAATCTGCTCCTCCATTTTCTTTGAAAAAGATCTTTCCTGATGACAATGGGTGTAAAAAACGGTACTGCACTTTTTTTTCCCAGCCGGGGTTCAGGAATGGAAAGGTATTCGGGTTATATCATACGGCGGGGAAACGCGGTGTGGTGTTTGTTATTATCCCCGGCTTGTTTGGTGGACGTGGTGTTCATATTGTTATACCCTCCATAACCCGACCTTCTCGTGCTCGAGATTCAATTTTTTGATGCAGACGGGTAGGGGGGGGGGGTCTGTAAACTTGTTGTTGCGAGCTGGCTATCGCAGATTTGCCCCTGTGTGCTAAAAAAGTGGTCGTTGGAAACAAGGGCTGGGTGGTGGGGGGGTGTAAGTACAGTTCTTGTGCACAGCAGAGTGGCCTTCTATGAATGTTAGGACTTCTAGGCAAAACTAGAGTTAGTAGGATAGAGAGGTTGAAGCTCTAAGCTATTTGTCTACAGAATTTCCCGAGAGGGTGAGCTGCATCGGTGGACAGTCCCCCCCCCGCTCCACGACCCATCACTCGCAAACTGATCGTTCGCAAACCGATCATTTCCTCGCCGGTAAAACCTCCCCAACACACTCCCCAAACCCAACCCCAGCCTTTCCACAACCGCCCGTGAGAACAACCACATCGCCATCCTCCAGAAACCCCCTAGACTCACCGCTGTCGCCGAGGGGAACCCTCCTAGTCCCGTTTGCCGTCATCTCCAACAAACTACCCATGCTCTGAGTGTCTATCCCGGATATGGTGCCGCTGCCGACCAAGTCCCCAGTCCGCAGCGGGCATCCAGTAATCGTGTGGTGTGCTATCATCTGAGAGAAGGAAAAGAGGAGGTTTGAAGAGGAGGTCTGGGAGATTTTGTGGGTGCCGGATTGGGCTGTGTATTTTGGTTAGCTAGGAAGAGCTGGAGGGGAGGGGGGGAGGATTGCTTTTTATAGAGACTGTGAGCGGGATATCGTATACGCTCTCGCTATTCGATTCCCGCAGATAGGGGAGCAAAGGTACCTTTGTCCCTCTCTCTAACGGTCGAGTGCGTAGTGGCTCGAGTGCGTCAATGAGGACGACCCATGGAGATATACTGGTTGCAAAGGACTTGCTGGTGAATGGCCCTAGGGGGACGTACTCCCACGCTTGGATATCTCTCGCTAAACCAATCAGCCCATCCCCTTCCCCCAAAACATCCAATCGGGCACAGAAGAAAAGGGTCGGGGACTAACCAGACCAATCATTCATAATCACCACCCCAAACAAATATTCCCCCGCCTCATCCACCCCCACACAACTCCCCAAGTCACTCCCCCTGCCCACAAACGCCGCAAGCTCCAACTCAAAATCCAACTTGCCACACTCCGCAAACACCGGAACCTTCTCCCCCTCCCCGGACCTGATCACCTGTCCCCGGGGCCTGGGCACCTGTGTGCCGCTAACAACCACCGACGAAGCCCGTCCGTGATACCCCACCGGCAAGTGTTCGTAGTTCGGCTGTAGTGCATTCTCCCGACCACGGAACAACACGCCGACGTTGAATGCGTGATTCTTGCCCGCGTAGAAGTCTGTATAGTCGCCTATATCCATTGGCAGGTGCATCCGCACATCATCTTCCGTGCTATTCAGCAAGCACGCTTTCTGCGCTTCCGCGTTGTCCTTGAGGAGCTCTGGATAGGGTGTATCGATCGAGAGTACTTCTTGCAAATACCCCCGCACCAGACGGTGGACTGCGCGGCCGAGTGAAGCGAAGCGGTTAAGGGTTCTCTCGGATACGAGGGCTTCAGATTGCGTAAAGTCCGGGAGCTGCGAGAAGCCGTTGGCGGAGGTGGCGAAGGCCTGTAGGTCCAGGACGTACTCGCCGATCGCGACCGCCGGACGCGGGGTTGTGTTTGAGGGGGTGGAGATTATACCGAAGGGGATGTTGTTAACGGAAAAGTAGTGGTCCGAGGGGACGGGTAGCCAGGACATTTTGTGTATATCCTCCCAGGATTGAGCTTTCCTAACCCGTGGATGTGATAAAGACTGAGATATCGACAGAAGCCGCCGTCGTTGCCCTCATCGTTGCGGGCTGTTACCGAAGGTGCAAAGTCGATCGCACCCAGTCCCCGGCGTATACCGCGGCTCTTCACGGAACTCTGACCGCACTCCAAACCATCGTGCCGTTTCACACTCAGGCACGGAATGCGCTGTCCGAGTGCCGTACCGTACCGTACCACCCAATCCTGATCGATTCGAATGCATGTCACCCCGTAGGGCCAACCAACCACCTTGCACCAATATCATCACATCCGGCACCCCCTTCCCCCAGACACCCCATATCCGCAACACAGCCCTGAAAAGCTTGTCGAAACAAACTTCCGGAAGGGCTGAGCTCACAATATTTGTATCATACTTGCACTGTACCAGGTACTGTACGGTGCAGCACCTTCTCCCCACTCCTCCGTTCTCCAACTGCCACACCAATTTTCAGCTTCCCTTTGCCCGCTCTTCCCCACCTATCATACCCGTGCTGAGCGCCTCTCTTCTCTCCCGCATACTCATTAGCCCAATGGGGTCCCGATTCTTTTTCCCTTTTATTCGATCCCACGCCATGTCTCACTGGCTTGCTCGCCGCTTGCTCAGTTGTGCAACTCGGCGGGCCAATTACGATTTTGTGGCGTTTTTCGATCTTCTCTTGCACCGGCAGACGGAGGTCGTACCCCCCCTTCTGGCAAGAAAAAGGAAGCGGGAGAAAAAGAAAAAGAAAAAAAACTCCGGTAACGTCTGATTCGCCCCCGTTAAGTGGAGATAGAGAGCAGAACAGCGAGATGAAAAATCGAAGGAGAGACAAGCTGGAAACCGGCGGCGGCAAACCTTATTGAAGAATTATTTTTAAAAAGGGTAGTGTTGTGTATGTGTACAATTAGCAATCCCCCGACGGAGAAAATCATCCACACTGAGATAACATATACACTCAAAAATGAGGGTGCCCGTTATATAGAAGAAAAAATATGAAAATATGAAATGAAAAGACAAAAAAATGCTAATAGTTAATATTTACATCCGAATCAAAACCCACCGCCTCTCACACATCCCACCCCGGACCCCTTGACCTCCCACCCATTCGCCATTGTGAAAACTGAAAAGAAAAAGAAAAAAGACATGGCGCATTCAATCATTGCGACGAGCAGGAGTCTCATCCGAACCAGCTGTGTAAATCTCCACGGGCTCGTAGTTCGATGCAGCCAACTCAGAAACCCGATAAGGATTCTCACTCATAGGCGTCCCCCCAGGAGTGGCCTTGTTATCAGAGACCGGCGCGACAGGAGGAACGAAGGAATATCTCCCGTCTTGATAAACCGGTGGGTGCTCCGGCACGGGAGTTTGCGAATTCATTAGCGCGGCTTCTTGAGGGCTAACACTAGCGGTTTGCGCACCGGTCTTTGCCTCGCCAGTGCCCTTCTTGCGGCCCACGAAGAAGAAGAGGAGACCGATCAGCGCGAGGGCGATCACACCACCAATAGCAATGCCAGCGATTGCACCGGGTGAGAGCTTCACGCTGCCGTCATCGTTGTCGCTGGGGGCGGTGGAGCCTCCGCTGCTAGAGTTACCGTCAGGGTTCGGGACATCGCCACCCTCGGCGGGCCAAGGCTCACCGGGCGAGAGGTAAAAGGTGGCCTTCCCAGCCTCACTTTTGACCTTGGCGATTGGGGAGGTGGAGTTATCACTATCCACTATTAGACTCTAGAAAGTGACAACTGGTGTATGAGGTGACATACGGGTTTATGCCTATGACCATCTGGTAATTGATACAACTGCCCGGGGCAGAGCAATAGAACCACAGGGGTTTTGTATCATTGATTTTAATAGTAAAGGTCGGGGGCTAGTCTTTGTTAGTATCCCTCTGCCTTCTCTTTCCCCTCTCCCCACAGACGGAACAAACATACCGGATCTATGAAGGTGTCCATGGCCTGGAAACCAGACCATAAGGTGGAACCGTCCTTATGAATCTTCTCCCATGGCTTACACGGATACTCAGGATCCATCCTAACCACCGAGTGATTCAAAGGGTAAAACTGGAAGGCTAAAATCACGAACCAAATTCATTAGCTCCTGCCATTCCTTTTCCTCTTCTGCCTTCCGATAGAAAATATGAAAAAACGGCAGATACTCACAAACCGTATCTCCCGGTCTTGCGATGATGACTTCTGGGCTGAATTTATGATCTGCCTTTCCCACGGCGACAATATAATTTGTCGAATTTCCTCCGCTGCTCGAACCCGTATCCTGAGGACTAGGCAAGGCCGCCACCTCCTTCCACGCAAACGCCGCAATAGCAGCTCCAGCAAGTAACCTCCTCAACATGGTTGCCGGTCCGTTATGGATGCGCGGTTGCCGAACCTTAAACGTGCACCACAGATCTCCCTTCCTTTCTCTCTCACTCTCGTCCTTGAACACCGAGGCCCGGGGATAAAAGTTTATTGGATAAAATGGAAGGAGCGCTTTGATTGTCGTTAATATCCAATAACCACCCGTTAATCGAACGAAAGGGGTAGAAGGAGATGAAAATAACGGAAGGTGAAAAGAGGGAAAAAGGTGTGGCAAGTTTGGAGGGGACCGTGGAGTTTTTATCAACTAGCGGGCTGGGCAGTATAATTGGTACCAGTGCCCTGGCTGACAGACGGGGAATTTCGATTGGGGTGGGGGGCAGGAGAGGTGTGTGTGGTGAGCGGAGGGAGAGGGAAGGGTGTGCGAGAGAGTGCTCTCAATTGGACCTACTTCGACTGGGCTTGGCTGCTGCTGCGCTGGTTGTGTACAGTACTGTACTCGAGTACTGTACTCCGCACGGTGTCCTTTGGGGAATGGTGTCGGGTGTGGGTGCGGTGGTGGTGGGTAAGCACTAGACCAGCTCCCACAGGCCTATGAGGTTGTTTTCCCACGGTACGGTACTGTACTCCAGTACTGCACACATCTTGACCCATCTGGGACTCAATTCCCCCTCCTGTCCCGGAGACATGGTAGGCTGTGCCTCTATGAATACCATACCCAGCGGGTATCTCTACCGGAGAAACCACCCCGCGAATTTCTTCTATGCCAATGTAAACAAGTAAACAAAGCCCTGGATATACTCGAGTATCGTGGCTGCCCCGTGGGCGGTTTGGATCTCCACGATGCAGATTCTTGTACTGGGCTTCGATCCCACCCAAAGACCTCAGCTCAGTTGACAACTGTGACACAGTTACGAGTTGAGTGGAGCACCGGTACTCGTACAGTGCACCGTGCCAAATAGGACCATTTACAAGTATCATACCTGAATCAACTTCATTTACCAATACCAACCCTTGCGGTCAAGTCAAGTTCGGGTTAGTTGACTCGTTGTCCCATCCCGTGTCATGTCTCGCATTCTTGCACTCTGCTAGTACCCAGGTACTCACCCGTACGAGCACTTCGCAGTTCGCAAAGTATCCGGACGCCCCTGAGCCAAGACAGGTACAAGTACTAATACAGCCAATGCGTCCGGATACTTTAGAACTTTCCCACTCGCCATCGTCCGCCGACAGTACCGGCACCGTGTCCGAGCATGAAGTCGAAATAGAGCATTTTGGCCCCGCCGTTAAACCACACTCGCTGGAAACCTTTGATCCATCAAAAGGGAAGCGACCCCAAGACCTGTCCCCTGCAAACAATAATCCGCTACCGGTATTTACTCGACCGCAGATGAGAGCCCGGGTCCGAGGGGCTGATAAGTGCTACTGTATTACAAGCCTCTTCATAAACAACCCCTTCGGGCAAGGGCGCATAACTTTACAGTACGAGTACGGTACAGTAGTCTCTGAAGTTTCCGACAAAAAAAAATAGTGGGTCAAAGCGCAGGGGCCAAACACTTCTACCGTAGTGAAACTCCATGCACCGTACTCGTACGTACTCGTACCGAGAGGGAGAAGACATCCGGTGCGGGTATTTAGAGGCCGATCCATCCTCTAGCCTATTCATCCTGTTCTCCACCATCCCCTCATTCCACCAGTTCTACCGTGCCATCGCCATCATCACCATCGTGCAGGTCACGATAGCATACATGAGGCAAACCAAGGCTACAAGTGCATTACTAACAATACTAAAGCCCGCTTGGATACTCGCGAGCTGTGCTGCGGAGAACGGGCAGGGGGCCAAAGGCCCTGTTTTCACTTTCCTCCCCTGACTGCTTGAGCTGATCTCGACTGACCCAGCTGAGGCCCTCCCCGAGCTCTCCTTGCGTGCTTACTTGCCCTTTTATCCTTTGTGGCACCAGCAGGGGGCTTTGCTAGCCGAGCATGCCATGCCGCCTTTGAGAAGCCGGAAAAAAGAGAATTATTCCCTTCTTTTTCCCAGGACTGCTGCTTTGTCCCCTCTCTCGTCCAATTCATCGCTATGATACTTACCGCAGGGTGGGAGCAAAGTACCGCTACGGAAACAAAACAAAAAGAGCTATACAAACGGAGTAAACTCTGCGAGTCGTCCCTGTGCTGCTCCAGTGGTTGTAATAGGTCAGTGAAAATGTCTATATTAAGAAACAGCAAACGTCCAGCGGTTTCTCGGGGTAAGCAGATGAAGAAGCTAAGGTTTCATTAGCCTCCTACAATTCTACTTGGGAGCCAAACATTGTACCATCCAGTGATGAGCTCAGCGGTCGGCGAGTGACACAGGAGTTGGTCCGTGGAAGGAAAAGGGTGGGTGAAAGTTTAACTTTACTCGTGGCCCATCATAGCGGTACACGACAGGAATGCACATCAGCCCGCTGGACTTATTAATAATGGTATTAAACTTGCGGCTATATTGGGATGGCCACTCCGCCCTGGCCCTGGCCTACTGCCAGCCAGCCCCACAGTGGCGCAGCGTGGAACTGGTCTGGGCGCCCTCAAAGTGCTTGTAGAACACCGGGTCGAAGTAGTCTTCACAAAAGAAAGGAGAAAGAGGAAAAGGGAGAAGCGGAGCCTTCCCCCCCCCCCTTGCCGTACTCCAGCATACAGTTACTGTAAGTTAGTTTGTAATCCATCCATCAGGAACAAAAGTGCGGCCCTTCTGTCCCGTTCCCGGGATCGTACACGTGTATGTAGTCTTATGCACCCAATTCCAATCAGGTGGGGTACAATACGGTGCATCAGCGAATGACGGCGGCTGAGCGACCAAGAAACAAAAGCACCTCGATCGCTTCCGACAAATCTAAATTACCCACCCGCACGGTAGCCTAGATGGGACAAGGCAAGGCAAGATAAATTCCCGTAAAAAAAATAAAAGTAAAGATAGAAATAGAGGTAAAAATAAAAAAACAAGGCAAAGCGGAGGGCACCGGTACCGTACCACCGTCCTGTATCATAACTCCGGTTTTTCCTTAGCCACTGGTACTGTACTGTACCCGCGCACGTATCGGCGTGCCATACTCTAGATCACTCGCGTATAGTATAGTACGAGTATAGTATATAAAAAGGGTTAAATACATGGCATAGCACCCCGTACCGTATGGAGAAGAGAAGAGAAAAGTGCTGCAGAGCGATAAATACAATCGCTTCGGGTATAGTACTCGTACATATCCTCCCACCCCACACCACCCCTCCCAGAGAAAACTTTGAAAATCATCGATGGAACAATAGCCTAACTTACCCCTCCCCCCCCCACTACTGTACAATACTCTAAAAGCACAGCACTCTAGCCCGGCCCGGCAAACTTAAATTGTTAAATTGTACGCGGGTGTGATGCTGGGAACTTGACCTAGGCCGGTTCACTGGATTGGTATGGTACGGTATTGTGTTTGAGCTAATCCTTCTACGAGTACCGGTATGGGTGGTGCGGTAGCACGGTATAAAAGCGCAGGGAGGGTGGTGGGAGGAGTGCTCACGCATGTACAAACTGCCAGTATCGTACGGGGGTATCGTACGAGCAAGGCTCCAAAGTTTAGTTTTTTTTTTTTGTGTTTTTTTTACTTGTACTGGTGAGGGGTGATCATCTATCACAGGAGGAGGAGTGCTGTGCGGTATGGTACGGTAAGGAGGTGGGGGGATAGTCTACCCAGACGCGGTACTGTACTGTACTCGAGTAGTCTGGCCACAGCAAAAATGACACTATTTTGCATCCAAACCACAAAAAATAAAAATAAAAATAAAAATGAAAAAAAATAGAGAAAATGGACAAGGAATGTCTGGGAGCACTTACCGGTACTGTAGGAGTTGCATTGTCCGAACTTGGCAAGCTTGGGTAAGGTAGGCACGGATATTTGTGCTGGACCGCTAGGCCTCACTTATGACGCGAATCGAGGGATTTCACCACGGATCAAGCACCTTTTCGCTGAAAATTACCCACGCTAGCCGAGCACCCCTTGCCAGCGAAATATACAAAACTTGGGGAGATGTGCTGGTACTCGTCGTACTGGTACGGCTGCGCTTGTACCCTCCTCCGTGGCCTTGTGCTTGTAATAGCAGAAGCACACGCTGGCGCCAGTAAGACGGTACAATACCCGAGGCATGGGTAAAGTAGTAGGACAAACCAGGGCTGTCATTGTACCGTCAGTGCCATTCAGAAAAATGGGTTATACGCCATGATAGGCTAATATTTCCCGTTCTAACGGTCAAACAAAACCAGACCGCTAGTCTACTGTACTCGAGTACCGTACCGTACCGGTATTCTTGTTGTAGGATAGGAAGGGATTAGTAAGCTTTGAGAATACCGGTAGTTACGGTACTTGGATGGAGCAATCCTCCCACTCTACTGTTAATACATAAGTTACTGTACAGTAGAACTTTTACGCAAAGAATACATACCGGTATCCCTGTGTTCCCCAATATTACAAGTACAGCCCTACCCAGAGTACTTGTACTCGTACCATACCGGTGCTTGCAATCGTACTCGTGCAGTACTCGAGTACAGTGCAGCGATTAGTAACGGTGCCACGTAAAATCTTGCCCGTTCGGGAGTGCCCAGTACTTGTGGCGTTCGCGTTACAGGAACCGGGCCAAAAATTGATAACCGCGTTAGTCATAGTGGGTCACTCGCTTCGGGAATCGCTGACCGGGAGTGGGTTGGTTAAATTGGATAGGAGGTGTTGGTTTGTTTTGTTAGAGATGATGCGAGGGGGGCACAGTACGAGTGGAGGGGGCAGGGGTTGATATACGATACTCGAGTATGGGTGGATAACTGCATCGTGTGGTGCTTTAGATGTGAAGGGTTTGATAGGGGGCTGACGGATTTAGGGGAGAATACCGTAGTGGTATTCAAGACTGCCGGGAATACCGTATTGTATTATAGGAGATCTGTGATGCTGTAAAGGGTATTGGTGCTGTTGCATTGAGGTTTATGCGCTCTACTGTACTCGAGTACTCGAGTACTTGTAGGGGTATGATACCGTTTTCAAAGTAGGGAAAGTTGACAAAGGTTAGCTTACTTTGATGTTTCATGTATGATAAGCTTGGAAAGGAGAGAGAAATACCGGAGTTAACGTACCAGTACTTTGCCTTATCATACTTAACCTTACCCCATAATAATACTATTTTCCCACGGGGTTGAAGAGGTTGGTAATCGTGGTAGGATAGAAGAATAATTAACCACTTTTTCCTGTAAATATCTCTTAACCTTGACTTTTTGTTGGCATAGACAGAGTTTTCACAATCTGGATAAGATCTTGATTAGAATGCATGGACACTGACACTCATTACCGGTCCTCATATTCCAACCTCAGACCCCACCCTCCCCTCTCTTCCCGTCGTCGTACAAAAAAAAAAAAGAATGCATGCCCCGGATCCCGAGACATCTCCCACGCCCCATTGTCGGTGATGCGCATCCATCCTACCCAGCCAATCAAGCAAAGCCATACCGTAGAACACAAATTTAAACTTATCGCCATCCGGTAGGCTATAAAACGGTATCATACATTGTTTGGGTGCGCTTACCCCGATCACCGAACGCCCACTCAACTCCCTCCCTCCCCCTCCCCCTCCCCCAGAGGGGAGAAAAGAACTCGAGACTGACATGACAAAGGCTTCTATCAATAACCCTTCTCTGATACCGGTATGTAAGAAATAAGCTTCCTGCCATACCGGTATCATCATAACCAGCAAGTTGTAGCAATGCCCCCATTCCACCATGCCACACTATCAATCCGGACACCCAGCGCTGGGAATTGAATGCTGTATAAATGCGGATATCCAATAGAGTGTTAGGTTTTCGTGCTATCGTGGGCTTTTGTACTATGCTCGTGCACCATGGTTTTACGACCGGTGAGTTTGGTAGGATGTACAGGTGCAGTATCGTACAGCACTCACGTGGCGTCTAGAAGTTGGATGTCAGGGACGGAAATTGATCCACTGGTCGACAAGGTGATGGAGTTGCAAGTACCGTATGTTTGGCCGAGGGTTAACTTGTAGATCTGAGATTGTCACGGTGTCCGAGTTCAACTCGACCGTACGCGTATTTTATGAGTATCGCACTCTGGAACAAGGAATATTGGTGTTTGGGGTCAGCGAGCCCAGATAACAGGCCAGCACTAACCGAGCTAGTTTTCTCGATTGTCATAGTGTCAATCCTTCCCAAATAATTGCTACGGGAACGGTAGTCTACGGCACCGTGCATTTTTCGGAGCAAACAATGGACCCCCACCCTCCATATTTTATATTTTCTCTTCCCTTCAACCGTCTTCTACCGTACCCGGCCTCACTGGAGACCCCACCACCATACCTCACTCCCATGACGCCAATCCCAAATAAGCCATAACGACCCCTTCTTCCTTCCTGCCTTCCCCCTTTTTCCCATCCCGATCGCCAACTAATGCGATGCATCAAGCACATCGCACATGCAGAAAAACTGCTCCCCCCTCCAACGGCCCGAATTCGCTTGAAGACGCACTACCGGCACACATGCACGACACACACCTCAATTCCTGCCATTCTACTCGAGCGGTCCACGGCGGCCGAAATATTGGCCAGCTGCCGGTAACGGGATTTGCTTCGGCTCGCGGGCTGCATGGCCGATGCATTTGCTAGTGCGGCACGGCACAAAGTTAATGGTGCTATCATAGAAGGCTGGGCTCGGTTAGGCTTGGCGGGCATGAGGGTCACTCGCAATTGAGGGGTATGGAAAATTTTCGGGATAGGGAGCGGGCTTCTTGCTTCTTGTGTGAGTGGTTCAGAGATTGTTTGACGGTGAGTGTTTTTCTTGTACGAGTAGTATGTCCGGGGGGGTGGCCATCTGTTTGCTGGTCTCAGTGCGGTGCAGTGGGCGTACTGGTGGCTCGGGTGGGGACAATGAAAGAATGCACAAAAGAGCAGCTCTTTTCCCCTTTTTACCCTTCTGGATTTTTGACTAATACACCAAAGAGAATGGCGGGAAAAAACATATCGATAACGCTACCTTGTCCTCTCACCCACACCGGTGCCGATACTTCCACCCATCCTTCTGCTCCCGAGCTCATCCAGCCTTGTAACACTCTCCCCAGCTCCCGGCTCATCCTCATACTTTCCAAACCTCCTCTGAACCGCATGCCAAGCCCTCAGCTTCCGCAGCGCCCTCCGTTGGGTACAACAAGCCCAAATGATAAACACCGAATATGTGCACCTTTCCCACTCTCGTTAACAAAAGCGGATAGACAAATGAGAAGATTCAAAAAGACTCACAATGCAAGCCCAGAGAACAGCAACGTCATCTTCGGATTCTGGCACCACAGAAACCTGCTCCGGAATCTGTGCGGACACATTTTATCGATAATTCTCCTCAGTTTTCCTAGGGCAACAGTCTGGTAGAAGCACACTGTCAACCAGAAGAATGCCAGGAGAGTATTTACGAAGATTGTCATTAGCGGGTTTAGTCGTGAGGTCAGGTATAGGTAGACTTGCACGAAGGAGGTGGCTAGGGATGTAGTACTACAGAGGATGTTGATGATTAAACGACTTTACTTAACGTTAGCGGAATCTAGGATAACAAAGAGCGGGGTGGGGGAGAGACTTGGAAGGTCGGTTATGGAAGGTATCCCGAATATAGGAAATATCATATGCGCTGATTCCTAGCACGCAGAGGACGCACAAGACTTGTATGGTCCAGAGCCAGATTGTGGGGAGGGGGCGCCAGCGAGAGTCGGGGGTCATTATCGGCGAGAGGACTGATATTTTGCTCAAGCTACTTGAGGTGGAGGAGTAGAGAGGAAATGGGGATTTGTTTTAGAGCTTCGAGAGAACTGTGAGAACTATTGACATGGCTTGGCGAGAGTGGGAGGATGTTTTTCTTTGTTCTTGTTTGGCGGATTCATTCCGGTGATATCTCAATGGGAGATTCCGGCTGACTAAGGTAATCGAGGACCGTTACTATATATATATACATACCCCTACTCGGTTATTGACAAAGCGGGTTAGCCGGTAGGATAGCAGTTTACTACGAGTATATCACGATGTTAGCTTACGATGTAAGAACAATCACCAACTCTCACTTGTCTGTACTATTGGAACAATCTTTCCACCAACGTGGTTTGTGGAATCTAGATACCAAAACATAACTGTAGGAGAAACCCCTCAAGCAAACACTTTGGACAAAACACCTTAGAGGAACCGTGAAATAACACCTCAGTCTGGTAACGGCACTCTCCGCCAAACTCCATCCCTTTCCATCCTGACTTTTCATACTTGCCGTCACTTGCACTTGACCAGACCGGTTAAGACCCTGGACGCTGCTGCTGCTGCGCTATCTTGTGTTCCAATTGTATCATGTTGCATGAGACTTTGCAAAGTTCTTGGCTCGACTTGTGGTGTCACGGTTGTATCGTAAGGGTAGGAAAAGTGCTTGTGCTGTAGACTAGCGAAATTGTAATAGCTGAGTTACATGGTTTGTCGTTGCTGTGCTTACAGGAGTTTTTTGGTGTGCCCCCAATGAAAGGGATAGAAGTGAAAAAAAGTAAAGATTGAGAGGAACAGGGTATAGATGCGAGGATATGACATGAGTACCCCCCTTGACATGGAGTGGGTGATGCTGTTCGAAGAAATATGAAATGAAAGTTTTGGTAGACCATTTACTTATCCGGAAGATCACGAACCACCCGCCTCCCATAGATCAATGGCCGCTGGCCTCCCCTTGGTGCGCACCCTCTCCTCCCTCCTCATTCTCCTCATTCTCCTCATCCTCCTCGTCACGAAACCCCAACAACCCCCAGATCTTCTCCCTAGCCCTCCCGCGTCTATACCTGGAGGTAAAGACAATCTCAAAGACCTTCATCAACACGATGTGCGTATCCCTCTCTCCCAGAGTACCTCCGCTCTCCTTCTCCCACTCCTCGAACTCCACGGTGGGCAGAAAGGTCTTGTAAAGATGCAGGAAACAGTTCTTCGGGTCACCAAACTTCCTTGGCAGCGATTGGTAATGAGATGCAGCTGCACGTACCAGCGCTTTCAGGTGGGGCCTTGAGACAGACATATTCACTGAGTCGGTGGGTAGCGACGGCCTTGGGGTCTTCCTGGAACGCCAGGTGAACTTGGAGTTGTAGCGAACAAAGATCCTTATCTGGGTTGGAGTGAATCTAGGTATCCCCTTGTTGTTGGGGGGAGGTGAGGGTTCGTTGTCGAGTGTAGTTTGCTTTATAGGAGCGGGAGTATTCTCCCCTAGAGAATCTAGGGGATCAGTGCCCGAGAGTCTTTGTTTCTTTGCTGGCGTGTTGGTCTACAATACATAGTTAGATTCAGTCGAGAAAAATAAAGTCGAATATGGCGACGAACATTGACCTGGCGGCGGCGCCTTTTTTCCGGCCCATAATATACTGGAACCTTTTCCAAGTGTCTCCCGCTCCGGCGAACGGAAGGGGGAGGAGGTCGGGAACAAGAAGTGCTAGCAGATGGTGTAGAGAATCCATTATCGCCGAGACCGCCCAGACTAGGGCTTTCAGAGGAATTTGGCGGCGCCATCTGAGAGCTAGGAGTCTCCTCCATGGACTGGCAGATGTAAGAGGATAAATCCACTTTGTGAGTTTCGCTCAACCAGTCGGACTATTTCCCCTTGGGAGTATGTACGGGCAGTGCAGAAGTGAAGCGGAGAGCGAGACAAACAAGTGGGAGAGGGGGAGGGAAGGGGCGAAGAGACCGCTCTAATAAATAGAACTGGGCGAAGGAAAAGAGGCCGTCCCAATTGTGCGAAAAACTGGGGCCCGCCCTCTGCCCGCATTATTTCTCGCTGGTTCAGATGGTGGACTGTGAAGTTAGTCCCTAGTGGCAAGGCCCGCGCCTTCTGGAAACCTTGGTAGGGTACTTTTTCGCGCTCAGATGAATTCTCTCCCGGGTGTGATAAAAGACTAATAATAATATTGACGTACCGTTGGAATTTCGTGTTATGATTACAATTGAGGATTAATGGGACGATTCGTGTGGTGTTGGTCTGGATATTCACAATGTATCACTCGGTAATTGGTGTTTGTTCATTCATCGGTCTATTTGGACTCGCGAAAACCGGTATTGGCTATTCGAGTTAACGGACCTCCTGGTTGCGCTGCCCTCGCTACCCGCACCTGATACCTCCGCTATCGGCTCGTCTACATTCTTCCCCTCCGGGCCTTCCCCCTCCCCCTACTGTACGAGTGCGGCCGATAAATATATTCGTCACGTGCCTTATCTAAGGACAAATCGCAGCCAAAAGGTGCACCGAAACTTTCTTATCACACTCACATGACGAATATATCTATCGGCCGCACTCGTATTTGGGATTGAAGTTCACGTCTTCACCCCCTCCCACGTCCGAAAAATTTTCTTCTTGGTTGTTACCTTCAGTCTCCTTCTCTTTCTCGTCGTATTTGCGCGCCGCACCTTATCCTCTCTTCTGTCACCTTGGCTGGTTGTGCAGCATGCCCGACTTGTCCTAGCCCCATTCCGAGAAGAGTATTACTCCTGTGTAGCATGGCTCTCACTCTAGGCAATCTCTCCGGCGTGTATGCGGTAAAGGCGCAATGCGCACCTTCAAGTTAGTAGTGAGCTGACCGAGGATGAAGGTTAAACTGGAGCGGATTAGAGGTCAGATAACTTTTAAGGAAGGAAAATTATTTAAACTGTTGAGTGAGTACAGTCTACGGTAGAAAAAAATCGGAAAACGCGTGTTCGAAACATGGTTTCTCAGTTGGCTCGAGCCACTGAATACTCCAATCAGAACCCCGGGATCTATCTGATCTAATTTCCACATTTTCTGATTTTTTCTACCGGAGGCTATACACCGAAATTTATACACTCAAACCCCGCCGTCCCGGTTCTCTATAATACGGATACCTCGCTGTCCCGTATGAAATGTTGTGAATTCCAAAATTTTCCACAGCAAAACTTGATTCGTTGTTCCGGATAACCCACTGTACCGGACAGATTGTTTAGATTTTGGCCGTCCGGGATAACGGGGTGTGAGTGTACTCATGAGACCGAGCTAGAATTATACATCCGTGGTAGCGATTGCGGTCTCGTGTAGGGTGGCCGGCTTCAGGCTTCAGCTCGGAGGGGCTAGTACCGTACTGGTAGGGAGGGGCCGGCTTATCTAACTACCCGACCATGAAATAGCTATTTTATGCCTACGCTTTTGCAGGCAAGTACCGAGTTTCTCAAAAATACGGACAATCAGCTACAGTGTTTGCAATCAAGACACCCCACTAGGACCGATCGATCGAATTCCCGCAGTGGGCGCCAGAAACAAGCGTATCCGCAAGAGACAAATTTAACTTTGGGTCACCGTTTTCCTACCGGAGGATCACTTCATGTTTATAGATAGAGTTACAACAGTGGTGCCAGCACGAAAAGAGCGTTTAGTTCCTAGGCAATTCCGCAGTGAAGCATTTTGAGAGACCGTGCATTCCAGCGGGGCATCTCAGGACCATATTCCGGCTATCAGAGGGGTGATATATCCATCCCTACTTTTCTCTAGTGATAATGTCTAATTTCCGAGTGCCCCTCAGGGGTGGAACAAGACAACTAGCTAGCCAGGAAAAAGGGTCTATAAAATGATCGATTTCCTGTGCACAACAGATATCAAGCCCCAGTGACGAGCTCCAGTTGTTTCCCGCTAGCTAGCACCCCCTATCACACCCCTCTAACAAACTGCGGAATGCTCTGTGAACTTTGGAGAGCGAGTTGGAAAAGGAATTGTTGTAAACCCTATGGCACTATTCCAAATAATATCATAATACTCTCCAAAACAGGTTCTAGCTGAAGCTCGAGCGCTACTAGGCGCCATCCATGTACTAGCGTGGAATGGTGGTCCAACAAGTTTTTACAACTACTCCTAGACCAATAAAGCTATTCTAGTACCCTACGACGTCGGAAGTTGTGGATCACATTCAAAACTTGCGATGGCCATTTTGAATTAAATCAAACAAAAAAAAAGGAAGAAAAAAAAACAACCTGATTCTACTATTCATTCTGTGTGCAGGCAGAGCCAGAGTCTAAACCTGCGACGTCATGGCAGGACTGATTTGCTTTACGGCTTTATCGAAGAAAGGCTAGGTCTCCAGTCTCCCATACTACTGGCACAGGATTGTATGATAGTAACTTGGGTTACGTACAGTACAGTACTCCTGCGCCTCCTCCCACCAATCACAGTAAACACAGCGTCGGTCCACTCCTGAAATCTTAGCCACTACACCAGATATAAAACTCACACAACACCACAACAGGAAGAAAAAAAAATACCAGAGAGTGCATTTACACCTTGTACTGTAGCACCACCAATTTCCCACATGGGTGGATGGAAAAGCCTCAGATCCCCCCCATTACCAAGAAATTCTCCACGAATTCAAACAGTGAACAACATTTTGTCACCCAACCGTAGCGGTCACGATAGAAACAGTAAGGGGAAGGAGCTAGAAGGATACCTACCTACCTACCTCAGCGCTACAATACAGACTTCAAACCGACGCATACCAATATGATACTAGGCACAACCCTTCCACAGAAACGACATCATATAACCGCAAGAGTAATCTCAGCGTGGAAAACCCCGCATTGGAATCATTTACTACCGAGCACCTATGATACTTATCCTTGTCCATTCACAAAAAAACAAAAAAACACTGATAACAGCAAGGAATATCAATCATCCCACCACACTACTTTGCACATATCCGAGTGCGCGGTGGATAATTACAAGTGACAACTCATGATGCTCGCCCACTTCCCCCCCCCCTCCCCAACCCCCAGGAATTACGATACGATACGATGGATGGATGGATTCTCGAGGCAAGCTCACGGATTGCGCGCTAAAGCACCCACCCACCGGTAGGCACTATGCATATATAAAATCTTTAAGAGAGGGAACCAGGAATCAGTTGGTAGGAATTTGAAACCTGACAATTGCGTGGGAGGAGATTGTCCTACCAGGACCGGCAATTCTATGGCTTTTTTTTTTTTTACAAATGAGAGATCGGTATCGCCGGGATGCGGAGGTAGTGCTGCCATCCTAGAAGCTTTTTGTGTTGGGGGTTGTATGTATTGGGGCGGGTGACAAGAGTTGAGATAGGAGAGTGGATTTTTCGGACCGGGAATGTTTTCTCTCCCCCCTCCCCCCCACTCCTCAAGAAAGGTGCACGGGGTGGCTCTGCGAGGTGCTGGTTCCATTGGTTTACCAAGGTCTGGTTCATACATGTATTTCTATCACGGCCATAACGGCAATGTCTCGTCTAGTCTACCGATCCCACTTCTAATCGCCCTACTCTGATCATACCCCTCCCATATTGTAAACCCTGGTGATCTAATCATACCCCATCTCCCTCTCAATACTCACAACCCTTGAAAAGAAGAATGGTTTATCATTTCTATTTGTTGGATCAGTCAGCCAATCACCTCAATCACATGGAGGGGGTAGAAAGAAAGAAACCAACTTTAAGGAAAACTCTGCAAGATCATCAGAGATTATGTTCCGGCTCCAGAAGCCTTCCCAAACCAATTTATTGACACCCCCGACCCTCCCCCCAGCTCGGACGTTCTTCACCTTGAGCGCCATCCTGAACAAGTATTTGTCCATCATGGGCGCTTCGGTTTCCACATCCAATTGCCCGTCTTTATCCATCCGCCAACGGCCCTTGGACACATACTTCCCCCAGCTCACGGCACCGACTGGTAAACCGCCAAGGTGGGCTGGGATGAGTGGGATCTTGTTGAAGCCATGAACCACTTCTGCTGGCTCGCAGGTAGTTAGGAGTGAGAGGACTGTGCCGTTTGGGTAGAACCGCAGGTAACGATAATAGGTCACGATGTGTACGGGGGTGTTCCAGGACTGGGATGCTCCTGTGCGGAGGTAATTGCAAGTGGAGATGTAGATGCCGTTGAATCGAACGCGCGGTCGGATCATAAACATCCTTCGCCAGTTTTGGCCGTATTTAAGCGCTTCCTTTTCGTCAACTGGGACTTCTCGCTTCTCCTGTCCTTCCTCTTCATCTTCATACTCGCCGTCTTGAAGAACTTTGCCGTTTGGACCTTCGAGTAGGAGGGGTTTCTCTATTGTATCTCCGTTCACCGTCACTTCCCAGTCCCAGAGCATTTGGTCGAAGGTCTTTTTGCATACAGCTCTCCAGATGCTTTGCTCAGTGATCACAAGGTAGGCGAATGCTTTGCATACTTGTGCTAACCTTGCGAATGAGGCTATGTCTGCTATAGCTAAGTTTCTAACAACCTGGAGCAAGAGCTCAAGCGGGAGTGCCGCTAGCAGAGAAAACACTGTTTCTCCCTCTTCCGCTTCCTTTCCCTTCCCTTCATCTACTATTGCTTCGTTTTCATTGAGTTTAGCGACAGGAGCTGGCTTGATTTGAACCCCAGCAAAGGATGCGATAAACTCGCTCATCTCCTTAGAACCAGAAGATAGGGAAGCCGGAGCCGGTACCAATGGCTGGGAAGAAATAATGGCAGCAAGAGGTGTCATATTCTTAGCCAATGAAGGGGGTGGCCGTGGAAAGTGCTTCTCCCGATAGTGGGAATCAACCTTATGATCGATCTTTTCCAGGAATTAACTTCAGTTCGCACTATTCACCATTATTCGGGACATACTCTGAACGCCTTCCTGTACAAATTCAAACTTTCCCCCAAACTACCTTCGGATTCCTTCGCCACCGCCCGTTCATAATGCTCGAGTGCGCGCTTGAGGTCCGCACGGGATGGGCTACCTGCAAATGAGGTTCGCTGATGAGCAACTGGAGAGAGAGGTCGCTGAGCTGAGAGCTCTGGTGATTCGTCTTCGACACCCTCATCGGTAGAGGAAGAATGGGATAGCTTCCTTGACGCGAAGGGGTTTTGTCTTGGCTTGTTTACGGCTGCGGAACTGCTTGGCTGCGGTGCGGAGGACCCTGGGGTTTGGTGGTGGCGGGCGGAAACCTCTGCTTGCCACTCTTGGCGGAAACGGGCGAGTTCTTTGTCCATTGGTACTGTACTCGAGTACCGTACTACTGTGTTCGTCGAAGGGAGGAGAAGCTCGTGGAAGGCAACGAGGAAGCGGAGGCGATTAGACCGGACAGGTACGTACGGGCGGCCGCTGACATACGGTAATGTCCCGGGGTTAGGCAAGTTGTCGGAGATAGAGACTCAATCCCAGTATTGTAGGAGTCACAATGTCTCATTCGAGAGAGTGAGACAAGATAGACATTGAGATACTCGCGTTCCACGAACAATCTTGTTCGCTCCTATCAGCACCCTCCGGGACCTCGTAACCCTAACCCTAACCTGGCCCCACAAAAAGCCTTAAACGATGATCTGATTATTCTTATCAGATCCCACCAACGCTTCTTTTCGTCACAGTCTGCGGGTCTGCCCTCTTCCCTCATCAACACCCACCCTCCGAACCCAGGATTTACCCCTCCAACAGGTGCATAATTACCTAAATTACACCTATCAAACACACGCACACACGCCCTACCTGGAAAATACCTACATATGAAACTCATCTATCCACAAACGATCATCCCCGCACTCTTCTGCCTCATCTAATTCAAATTCTTCAGAACCCATTCTCTCAATATACGGCAACAGCTAAGACTTTACAACCAATCAACAAACATATCTAGTATGAGCGGGGCCGAAACCTCTGTTGCAGAATCCATTGAAATGGCTGGTGTGAAGGAGGCGGCTGTGGACAACTCGGACAAAAATCATGGCCTTAGGACTTGGATTGACGAAAGCGGTTCTGGTCGAGGAAAGTTTGAGACTGTGCCCGGCTTGGAGAGCAATTGTGGAAATAATGGCAAAGAGGGAGAACCCGACATCACAGCCGGGCAGAAGATGTTGGCGGCCTGTTCTGGGAGTTTGTTTACCAGCCTTCTAGGTATCTTCTTCTTACCCGTATCCTGCGTAGCAACTTTTTTTTTTTTTTCTATGGCGCTGATTGCTCGCTTGTCTATAGTAACACCTCTGGATGTCGTCCGGGTCCGCCTGCAATCCCAACAGCCACCTTCTTCAAAGAATGCAGCGGTAAATTCCTCGTCTTCGACCTCACCCTTAAGAGCTCATAAACTTCCTCTCACACCGTTACAATTCCAGTCAATGGCCCACTTATCCGCACCGGAATTAGGCGTAACCGCATGTTGCCGGGAAGTTTTCTGGATAAACAATACTTCGGAGGCCTGTATTGCCCCTACGTCTTCCCTAAGCGCAGGCACAATCTTGAACGATAGTTGCGTAGTTGAAGAGGCATCCCGTCGTCGTTTCCATGGAACCTGGGAGGGGTTGGTCAAGATTGCAAGATATGAGGGGGTTTCTTCACTTTGGAGGGGTTTGAGTCCAACACTGCTCATGGCAGTCCCCTCAAACGTTATTTATTTTACCGGATATGACACTCTGCGCACATCTACCTGGTCGCCATTTAACCACTTTGGCTCTTTTTGGGGACCTCTCATTGCCGGGTCCGCAGCGAGAGCTATCTCTGCTACTGCCATTTCGCCAATCGAGATGTTCAAAACCAGACTACAGGCCGTATCAAACACTCATTTAAATTCGTCCAAAGGAATCTTCAGGGGTACCTTCGATACCACCAAGGATATGGTGGCAAAAGATGGCGTTAGATCTCTCTGGCGTGGACTGGAATTGACCCTCTGGCGCGACGTACCTTTCTCGGGAGTTTACTGGCTGGGATATGAAACCATCAAGTCATTCATACGTTCTGAGAGAGAGCGAGAGTGGCATTTGTCCTCCCTTCACTTCCGCCACCCCGCCAAACACCACGTTAAGAAAGACCTCCATTCTGAGAGCACCTTCACAGACTCTTTTGTTGCCGGTGCAGTTTCAGGATCAATTGCAGCCTTCCTCACACAGCCTTTCGACGTCGGAAAGACTCGGCGTCAGATCTCTGCACACGCTGGCATCGAAACAAGGGGGGATATGCCGAGAGTTCTCTATAACATTTTCAAAGCCGAGGGAGCATCCGGCCTCTGGAGAGGCTGCGTACCCAGAATCCTGAAGGTTTCGCCCGCCTGTGCCATTATGGTATGTTTTCCCCATTACTAGCATCCATTCATCCATCCATCCGTCTAAACAATCACTATCCCCTCCCTTTCTCTCTCAGCGCGATGCGGGAAATCTAACATACGACTAGATCTCAAGTTACGAAGTAGGCAAAAAGGCTGCTAGAAAAATGAACCGAAAACGCGAGGTCTAATCCCCTTTTTTTCCTTATCGTGGTGTATGATTACAGGGAGGATTTGTCGTTTCCTCTTCTTCCTTCTTCTATGTGGGGTGCATGGTCAACTCAACTTTCACCTCTTTTCTTCCCTGTTTTGTGGGAGAGTGTATAGCTTTCTTTCTTCCTTTCCCCCCCTTGCCTTTTCCTTCTAAGCATGCCGACCTGGCTTGGGAATTTAGGGGTCTCTCCCTTTGTATAAAACCCAGTGTTCTCTCATTCTCATCCCTATTCTCTTCCCCCCTTTTTCTCTTTCTTTCTCCTCCAAGGCTCACGCTAGTTCGTTTTTTTTTCTTTTTTTCTTTTCACAATTGTTATCCTATAGCGGTGGTGGTGTACGATATTCTGGAGAAAAATAGATCTGCCTTGGGTATCTGTCGGCCCGGATGTCATAGCTCTATACTTTTAAAAATTAGAACGCTCATATCCTAACACAATGTGCACGAGTAGGTGTTCGCCGTATGGTAAGTGTCTGCGGTAGCCGCTACGATATTCGTGGGCCACGGAGCGCACAATCGGCAGGTCGCATATGTGGGTAGGGAAGGACACTCACACTCCCTGCAGCTTGAAACATGTGTGAATAGGAAAAGTGCGAGTGAGGAGTTATGAAGAGTAGTTCATAAAGGATTCACTGACCCTCTATCCGCACAACCAATGCCGCATGCCATGCGAAAGCCACTTTGGTAACTGAACCGAACTGACCAGAAAATGCGCAAGGGACGATAGGAAAGAAAAAATAAGGTGGATGGACAGAAACATCATAACTGTATCATACTCCACCAAGGTATATTCTCGCAACCTATATAACATCCCATCCCAATTATCTGTTTTCCTCTGCACTGTGCTCGCAAGGGCGCCAGCAAAAAATAAAGCAAAAATAAAAAGAAATTTTATATCAAAAAAGTGAAAAGTACAAAGCATAAGCGCCGTTTTAGCAACCACCCACACACCGATTCAACCAGAAAAATACCTACAGACAGAACAAGAACTAAACCGTAAATATTATCAAAACAATAGTAACTGACAAGGTAAGAAAGGGGAAGAAAGAAAAAGAAAAACAATCATGGCACAAGAAAATTACCACTTATGATGATACCCCATAGATCGATCCCGTCACTTTTTCCTTCTCATGAATGGGTCCGCGGGGCCTCTTCTGTTCAGGTGCATATTTGCGGTGGAAATAGGAGCAGAAGGCAGAGAAGAGGCGGCCCTGCCACCATTCACAAACTTGCTTCTTCCGATCTTTGGAACAACAATCTTCTTTCCGTCGGCACCGGAAATCCACTTTGAGCCTCTATCATCATCATCACCGACAGCATCGTCCCTTCCCCTCTTATTACCAATATTATCATTCCCCCTCCCAGCAGCCTCTCCCTCCCCTCCTTCCCCTCCTTCCCCCTTTTCTTTATCCTTCGCATCACCCATCTTCTTCATTATCTTCTCCTTCATCTTCCTATCGACTTCCTGGCGCTTGAGTGTATGTGTCGGCGCCGCAAGAACGCTGTTCCTACCTCGGAAGACACTAAGTTCCTTCGCTTCGCGACGAGCCTTATCGATGATATTCTTGGTTTTACTGCCAGCTCTAACAGTCCAGCTATTTCCCGTCCCACCCCAGCCTCCACCCCCACCGAATGATCTAGGGCGGCCGGTGGATGGGAGACCGACGGTGCTGGTTAGAATCTTTGCACGGGATTGCTGCTTCGCAGAGGACATCTTAGTCATTTGTGCGCGGAGGGTCTCGGTTGCAGCAGCTGCTGCTGCATCAGCTGCTTTTTGGAGTTTCTGTGAAAAAAATGACAGATTAGATAGAGGGTTCGGAAAAAAGGGAGAGGGAAGTGATGTACGTCATAGGCTTTACTCCAATTCTTTGGCTCCTCAAGTTCCATCTTGTGAAGAGCATCCTGGCCAAAGTGTTTCCCTATAAGAGCTTTCCAGATTTCACTATCTTCACCACGGATTTGTGGGCAATTTTCTTCGAGTTTTTTCTATACAGTTAGATCGTTAGTATTGGAGAGAATGGACAAGGCAGGACAGGGTAAACGGCAGGGCGAATGGGGACGTATATAAGGTGGGGCAGCGCGAGAATTAGGTAACATACGAGCTGTACAGGAGAGGTGATCTTGAGAAGAACCGGACGTACAAGTGCGTAGTGGAGGTCTCCGATGTCGTCGATCACTAGTATCAAATCAAAAATTAGCTTTGCCCAAAAGAAAAGCAGAGAGGGGGGAAAAGAGGAGGAATACAGTCGACATGCTTTATCAGCACATTTTTAGTGAGAAGGTAGAGAGACTTGACATTTCCATGCATATGAGGCGCCATGACTTGACTCGGTTGCTAGGTTTTGTGTAGCCAGCCGGTGGAGAATTCTCTCTTGTGTATATGTAGATGGGAAGAGCAGAGGTCAGCGGAGGAGAAGGCTTTGGTGGTGATCAAGAGAAGCGGTGGTGGTGGGGAAGTATTTAGATTGAGATGAAAGGAGGGGAGAAATTGGGATACGTTTACAGATGGAGCCGTGGATAAGCCACCGCAAGGCGCTTGACGTCAAGGTTGAGGCATCAATATATATTATGTAAGCCGCCGTTCTTAAACCCATACCCTGTCTACCCGAGTGCCAGCCTCGCCAAATCCAGCATGCTATGATACTAGCCACAACACCCAAGTAAATTCCCTTGCTCCCTCAAAGCTCAGCAACAATGTCTGGAATCCTCGACGAAGGTACAATATCCCTCCCATCCGTAGAAATAACCACTTGGATGAACTGCTGATCAGAATCACAGAAGAGTTGATCAAAACCCGACCCCTCCTTTTCGAACAACGTCCTTACAATCGTATTGTAAAGCGCTGCACCCCATTATTGAGACCGGAGCAATTACCAGCAACCTCCGAAGGACTTAACACCTATGGTGAAGAGCTAGAACTCGACTTCAAAGCCTTCGAAGGTGTAATCGCCCGGATCCAGCTCCTCCGCGAGACAAACAAGAGAGAAGTGGAACGTTACGAGAAGGAAAAGGGCGACATTCGTATTTCCCCCTCCGCCTCTCTGCTCAAAGAAGGAAAAAGTTAATTTTTGCGCTTATAGTCGAGACCGCCACGGTTGCTCGTGAAACCCTCGTCACACTCAGAGAAACGCTCCAACTCTCGCAGCGCGAAAAGGAGAATAAACTCATCTACGACGCAATCGCCAGCGACATCCTGTCAAAGAACACACTAAAGTCTCGCGACGAGCAGAGCGTCAACATCGAGCGGCTAAACAAAGAGATTGCAGAATTGGAGGCTGAGCGCGACGAGTACAGACAGGTATGGAACGCCCGTCGCGATCAGTTCGGGCAGATCGTGGATCAGTTGCAGAAGATGTGGGCGCAGATCAAAGAGGATAAGGACGAGCAAGGTAATCCACTTTTGCTCCTTCACTTGAGGGAAGAAAACTGACTGGTGATCGTGATTATCCTAGATCGTAGAGAAGGCATGTCGGAAGAGGAAGAAGGCGAGGAAGTCGAAGCCCCGGTTATCTCTAGACAATTCTCCGAATCGAATACTCCTTTCAACATTTCTACGCCCAAACTTAGCGCCAGCCATGTCGCAACTCCGGTCCCCGTCATCACACATACCTCCCCGGATGACGAGAAGGAGGAAGGCGAAGCCGACGAAGACGAGGACATCGAGTTTACCGACCCCCCGGTGGAGAATTGCGAGAAGGGGGCAGTGGCATTGCCAGATGCTCCGAACATTCCAGACTCGGAGAAGATGGACTTGACCTAATCATTATTATTATAATATCATACTTCCGCATACCGTATTCCTTCTATACAAGGCCTTCTCCTTCCCTTGTTATTATACTGGGCTTTTCAGTGCTGTATTTGTAGCACCATGCTTCCCTAAAGGGGAAAAAAATAGAGAGTGGGGCGTCCGAACGAATAACATGTAATGTAGTCACGATAAATCACTCGGGATGGGATAAACCCAATATTCGCCAACACCAAAGGGTCTTGACATCAAGCCGCAGGTTGATATTCGTATGTAGACTATCTATCTACCGGTGACTCACCATTACCTACATGCAAATTTAAAAATACATTCATGGCACCCCCCGACTCTATTTCCTCGACCCACTTCCATACCGCTCCTCCACAATCTTCCCGACAACCCCTGCATCATTCTTATCTCCCTTCTTCGGCTTCCCTCCTCGCTTCCGCTTCTTGCCACCACTACTTTTAGCAACAGTCCCGTCGTCGTCATCCTCATCCCCGAAATCCCTACTCCCGCCGAACCCAAAGTCGACGTCGAAAGCGTCTCTGTCCGCAGCCTCCAGGAGAGCCTTCCGGCGCCTCCCGGCTTCGTCTTCGGAGGGCGTGGAGAAGGCTTTTAGAGTCGAGGCTTTGGCTAGTGCTGCCGCGAGTTCGGGGTTGGAAGATAGGAGGGCTGAGGCTGAGGATGGGGGTTTGTACATATCTGAAGAGGGGGAGGAGGAAGCGGTTGACTCGTTGAAGTAGTTCACCTTCGGCTTAGGCGCGGATGGTGGTGGTGGTGGTGGTGGTGGCATTGAAGAAGGTGGTGAAGGGGATATAGGTAGAGGGGAGGATTTTGAAGAAGATTCTAGCGGCTTTTCAGATTTTTTTTTCTTGGTCGGATGGATTTCTCCTTCTTCGCCTTCTTCTTCTAAAGATGAAGATGAGGAGTCATCGTCATCCAGGCCTGCTAGAGGATTATATTCCGTTCCTGCTCCTTCGAATATATCGATTTCTTCATCTTCCTCTTCTGCCTGCTTCTCTGTCTTTCCGAGCATTGGCGGTGGGGGCACCATCCCCATAACCCTCGTAGAAACTTGTCCCGGTTCATCACGCTTCTTCTTATCCTTCTTGACCATCTTCTTGACCACCCCGTCCGCACCTGTGACATATTTAACCCTCACCCCATCTTCCTCCTTCTTCTCCTCCTTCACACCGATCTTCTTGAACTTCGAACCAAGCACAGAAACCGGCTTCGCAGCCTCCCTGCTCCTCTTCAATTCCGCCAGTATCTCCGCGCGGGTCTTCGGCGCCAAATTACCCTTCTTTTTCTTCTCTTCTTTCTTCTCGAGAACAATATCATTCCCGAGTACTCTATCCAGAACGTCCTCCTCATCCTCACTATCCAGCCCCCCTTCCCCCTCATCGCCTCCATTATCCCTGATCACACGCATGACGTCCTCACCCCTGCGCACTTTCTCCAAAAGCTTGAAATCCAACCCCTTAACAAGATGCGTACTCGACACATCCCCGCCCAGTAACTTTGTCTGCCGAACGTACTCTTCATGCTCTATCCCACCCTCTTTGTAGAGTTCCTCCAGCGCCACTAATCGCCGGCCCCTCTCGTCGCCGCCGTTGTCTTCTCTTTCCTTCGTCCGGTCAACATAGCCTTCGGGTAACCGTGCGCCGAGGGGCGCAGCTGAGGAGCGGAACTTTTTTGCCTTTTGCTCGGAGGCATTATTTGCTGCTAGCTGTCGGGCGAATTCGGATTGTGTTGATGAGCCGCCGAGGACGCTTCGTCTATTGATTTGCGCATTAATTCAATTAGCTTATCCTGTGAATAGGAGAAGAAAGGGGGAGGGTGCATACGGAGTCATCGGGATTGAAGACCGCAGCTTAGAACCCAACGCCGGAGTCGCGGAGGGCCCATTTTGGCCGGATGCGTTTGCAGGGCGGGGCGTTTCGAGGAGTTTACGGAATTGTGCGTTATTCATCTCCCGGAAACCGCCAATTTGGCTTTACGAACGGGAAGTGTAGAAATCGGGTATTGGAGCTGTCGTCCACAGGGGTGTCCGGCCAGAAGATCTTGGAGGATTCCGAGCTTCACGAGGTTTTGTGTTGCGTGGCTGGGTGTGAGTGGCTGAGTTTATGATTAGTCAGCGGGGTTAGCGGGAGGAGTGCACGATAAATTTAAACTGCACACGAAGAGATGAGGCGAACAAGATAAGGGAAATTTTCGCACACCATAATACCGGTAGACTACATTTTTGCCAAGTACGGTAATCGCTCACAAAATCCCTGCCATCATGGTTCTTTTTAAATATACATCCCTCTGGTAGAGTCGAGGCGTCTGGGTATCCCCGGAAACGCTTTTCTTGGCTTAGACTACCGGGTTGCTGCCCTCGTATCTGCGCAGCACGGTTAACAGCATAAGGAACAACTTTTTAGCACTGTATGGTAAGCACCGCAGTCAACTGAATGCTATTAGGATACAGTACTGTGGGATCCCATTTGATGATTTTTGACACAAGTAAGCCTGAGACAAAGAGGATTTTCAAGTCGGAGGCTACTAAAAATACCCTGATCCCGGAGCGATTGGTGTATTCGGTGCGAAGGAAAGAATGGAGGTGTTGAATGGCATTTTTAGGGTGAAGACTCGCTGCTCGCAGTACGGCAGCAGTAGGAGGACGGGGTTATGGGTGTTTTATATTGGCGTATCGCGAGACCCTTGATACCATCGAGTAGCTATGGAAGTGTGTTCGATAGAAGAGTACTCGTAGAGTACTGTGCTGTACCGGCGCCCGCAACTCAGTGCTCAGACCCTCTCGAGCTACAGTATTCACCATACCAGGTGTAAACTTCTGCAGAACTGAGCCGCCACAAGCATGATAGGACGTGCAGATTTCCACCACAAATACAGTTTGATATCTTTCTACCTGCAGCCAGAATAAGAGTATAACATCATCGCCTCTAAGACAGAATGCTGCTCGCCTCGGCGCATCTCATACATAAGCAATGCTAAGCCGATGGCACCATCTATTATCACTCGGATTTCATCAAATTGACTCACCCGGGGAGGCGGGGAATTCGGAGCCTGATGCATGACTAAGCGAGCAGCCTCGATCCAATGGCGTGTTGGCTCGGCACTAGGGCACACTGTCCACGTTCTCAATCCCCGGCTGACAACCTCTCTTCCCTCTTCCCTCCCTTCTTTTCTCCTCTGTCTCGACTCAACTTCAATTTTCTGCCACACAAAACTCAAACGACTCGACTCGTTTTGTTTGCTTTCGTTCATTTCCCTCCCCTTCCCTCCTATTATCTCCCCCCCTCATTTTCCCATTCCCCCTTTCTCTAATATCACTTGTTTCTTTCCCGAAGTCCTTCACCACTTGCCCAGAACTCAATCATCAAATCACCATCACATCGTCAAAGCAGCGGCAGCAGCAGCTAGGTTTTTGATCTCCTACTGTCGTCTCTCTCTGCCTTTGCTACCCCCACATTTGGTTCTCATACGCACCGGCCTTCTCCCTCCTAGCCTAATTCATCCGTCCGCCTCCAATCCATCATATCACCACCGTCACGACCCCCTCCCGACCCTAGAGTTAATATCTTCATTCACCTTTTCATCACCTCCACCTCCCCATCCGCTCCCTTCAGCCCCGAAACGCACCCGTCATTTCTTTCCCTGGTGTACACAGCAAGAAAGAATACAAATTTTTAGTCAAACCAAAAGATTTTTCAGACGCGTCCTACATAACCTGAATTGAAAAGAAAACAGACCTGAAAACCGAGACAATAATTCAAGGATGAGTTCTCCAAGCGCTTCCGGAGCTACGAAACGCCCTCTCGAGGATTCTTCCTCTCCAAATATCAGGGATGAACATGATTCCAAGCGCCCTTACCTTGACAAGGACGCTAAGGTGGAAGGTGAATCCAGCAGAACCTCATCCCCTACCCCTACCAAGACCGAGACTGCTGCTGCTGCTGCTGTTAGCAAGTTGGATTCTGAGGAGGCAGCTCCAGAGACCAAGGATGCCGACACTGATGTTCCGGATGCCCCCCAAGGAGCTGGGCAGCAAGGCCAGCAGGCGCAGCAATCTGTCCCACAGGTTGACGAGAGTAATTGGATTCACATGCGCGCAGTAATCACTTCTGCGGAAGCGGCAACCGTAATTGGGAAAGGGGGTGAAAATGTAACTCAGATCAGAAGGATGGCTGAAGCAAAGTGCACCGTCTCTGACTACCAGAGGGGAGCCGGTGAGAGAATTTTAACGGTTAGCGGAGCTGTGGACGCTGTCGCCAAGGTTTGTTTCCATCCCGGGATTTCGCTGTGGATGGTTTGATCAAGAGGTTTGTGTTGACAATCATAGGCATTTGGACTTATCATTCGCACGTTGAATAACGAACCACTTGAAGAAGCCTCATCCCCTCAATCCAAGACTTATCCGCTTAGGCTCCTGGTTCCCCACATTTTGATTGGTTCGATCATTGGGAAGTCGGGTGGGAGGATTAGAGAAATCCAAGAGGCCTCGGGCGCTCGCCTTAACGCGTCTGGCTCATGCCTTCCTCTTTCTACCGAGCGTTCTTTGGTCGTTCTTGGTGTTGCTGACGCGGTTCATATCGCGACGTACTATATTGCCAATACTCTTGTGGAACAATTGACGGAGCGTTTTGGTGGCCCTGCCGCGTCTGCGTATGCAACTCGTTCCGGCGGTCCTGCGGGCCCGATGCCTGGTGGAATGCAAGTTGTTCCATACCAGCCACAACCTCTTCATGGATCTTATGGAAATCCTGACACATACAAACGCCACACCAACAATGCTCAGCGGAACCCCAGCAATCCTTACGGGATTCCTTACCTTCATGGGCCGGCCCCAGCCCCGGTTCCTCAGGCTCCCATTCACTATGCAGATCCCCAGGCCGCCAGTGCCTACTCTGGCGCTGGCCCTCATCAACCCGGCCAGGCTGGAGCTGGGCCCACTCCTCAGCAGGGGCCTGCGCCTAATCCTATGGCTAACATGTTGCCCGGGCAACCGCTTACCCAACAGATCTTCATTCCTAACGATATGGTGGGAGCCATCATTGGGAAAGGTGGAGCAAAGATCAATGAGATTCGACAATTGTCAGGTAGTGTTATCAAGATCAATGAGCCTCAGGACAACAGCAATGAAAGATTGGTCACTATTACTGGCACCCAGGAGTGTAATCAGATGGCCTTGTATATGCTGTATTCCAGACTCGGTACGTGATTAACTTTATGCTATATGAGTGAGATATTGGGAGGGGGGTGCAAGATTGCTAACCGTTCGTGTAATTTTTTGCGCCGTACAGAGAGCGAAAAACACCGAATTTAAAGAGTGGAAGTAGTAGGGGAACAGGCAAAAGCGAACTGGCACTGCTGGGAGGGAACAAAAAATGGGAGAAGGGATTATTTCCGGGAAACGGCGCTTGGTTTTCTTTTGTATCCAAACCATCTCTTTTTTACGCTGAAATCTTATTGATTGTCTTGCTCGCCTTTTTCCCATCTACTGTAATCTTTGTGTGTTGTGTTTGCTCTGGTTTGATTGATTAACTGATTGATGCTTTGCCTGCTTCGTCTGAGAATCTTATCGAAGCCAAAGAGAAGAAGGAGAGGAAAAAATGGAGAAAGGGGATCCAAAACAACCAATCTGTCCTCGAAAGCATAGAAAGATGTGGATGTGAACCTGATTTATCCTATTTTTTCGGTTGTGTTTTTTTCTTTTCGCGTGTGTGTTTGTGCGTGTGTCCAGGTGGGTGTGTTTTGCATCGCGTCGACTTTCGACTTGGTTGGACGAGATTCGGGTTTGAGAGGCAGACTACTGTGCTGCACCGGTAAGCGCACTGTATAGCACAGGATAATACCTTGTACAGTACGCGTTGCGTGGACGGATGAACGATGAACGGGTTGATCAGTGTAGCTTATCTTGGACGAATGGACGAGCGGCCAGAGGGGGGGGAAAGGCAGATTTGGGTAGTGTCGTATAGTATAGCATAGTCACCGCCGGCAGTCTTGCGATCCGTCCATCCGTCCTATTCACATCATAAATTTAATGCCCATTCTGTCCCATTGTACAGTACCGTATATAATTTAGACCTCCCCAACGGTTCAACCCAAGCACCGGCCACAGTATATTGTACAATATCACGACCTCGCACCATTAAAAAGCCGTTCCCGAAAATGCATGGGTATGATATCGAATGTCCCAACCTCTTTCCCCTGCCTTACGGCTTAAGTTAAGTTACTCATCCCAGCCCATAAGTATCATACTATGATGTGGTGCATATACTTGAATCAAAATTTTTTTAAAAAAATTCTCTTGCTAGTTTCCGAGAATTAGGTTCAAGTGCGCACTGCAGCGTCCCGGTAGAGCCGCTACACTAGTAAATTTATTTTATTTACTGTACAGTGCTAGTATGATGTGATGTTTATTACCGGTATAAGTTACGAACCGTGCCATACCATGCTATACGGGTGTCATATAACTTTCCAATCGCGCAGATTTGCTCTTCTTGGAGGGAGCGGGGTGATCAATAATTGACGATTGGGATCGTCGTTGGGGTGGATGAACTGGTGTTTGACTACTTGGTTGGCTGGCTGGTAGGTAGACGGGGAGATGGGTAGAAGTGTACTGCAAGGGAAACACTGCTGCGTACTGTACTGTACAAGTTAAGTATTATAGAGTTCGTCCGGGGGGAGGGGGGGGGGGCCGTAATTCCGATTTGTATGCCTTCCCGCCGAGTGTCCGGTGGTGTACGGTACTGTACTCGGCATTTCTTTCTTCTACTTTTGAAGTGTCTGGAAAGTTAGTTACGGGTCCATTGGCCAGATTGATTGCAAGCTTCCGCAAGATTTATTTGGTGGTGGTGGTGGTGGTGGGGAAAACATAAATTACTGGTATTGTGTATATATTGGGGGTTAATCGCTTGTTCATCTCACATTCTGGGAACTTTAGAAAAACGTCGAGCACTGTAGTATACTCCAGCGGCAGCCCAGCTGAATTTCATCCACGTTGGAGTATTGTCAGGCCGATGGGTGATGATGCTTGTGCCTTGAATGGGATGGGTTGTTATTATTAGTTGGCACACAGGCATGCTCTTGAGCAGTTCAGTGGGTACGGTACGATAATCTTTGGACTTGCCGGCTGCGTGGCCGGAGGACACTGTATTTTCAGGTAAAGTTATGGTACTCATTGCCGGTATGTGCAGTACCTACCGTATAATATCATACCAGTACTAGATCCGTGATGTACGGTATCGTGCTCGTACCGTGCTGCAGTGTACCGTAGATTACCGGTATCATACGTTAGCCCCATCGCCAAATTTTCCGGTTTAGTTATTGTCCGGGAGGGCTGCGGGAGTCTGTTTTGCATCGTACCGGTACCGGTATGATATATGCTTGGGTTATCGGAGTTTGAGGGGTGTTGCTGGTAGTATGATAGGTGGACCTCGCCGACATACCGGCACAGTGCCGTATATTACGGTAAGTGAATTGCAGAGAGTGGGGGTTCCTGCGCAGATTGTGTTTTTGTTCTCGGTGTGTGTATTATGTTCTGGCATACGGGTATCAACCAACCTGTCCGGGTTGTGTTCATGGCGGGGAGGAGGAGAAGGAGGGGGGCCGCTGTGAATGGGGGACATGGTATTTAAGGAAAGGTGCGGCATCTAGGTACTGTACATATCATCCATCGCTGATGGGCGATGCGGAAGCGTTGAGATAACAGACAGTCAGCATGTATCCATCCGCCAGCCATCCAACATCTGGAGGATAACTTGGTATCATACCGGTGGTTATGAACTCGGATGCGATCGCTCCGATTGCGCCACACGTCATTGATACTACGGCGCGGCTACCGGTGTTGTGCTGTAGGGCACTGTACTCGTACAGTACGTATGCGCTAGTACCCGAACTTATTACAGCGATGGGTGATAGCATAATAAACAAGACGAGACGGGGCCTGAAGGAATTACAGGACCGGTAAATTTACCTGTATAGCGCCATAGACGCCGGAAATGAAGACCGTTGCTGGGAAGGTTGCGCTGGTAAGGTGAGTTTGCTGTGGACACCAGTGTTCAGTGCACGGTGCGGTAGCGGGTTGGTAGATTGGAAGATCGAAAGTCTGATAGGTACTTGCGTTCAAGTACCCTATTTTCCTTTGCTTTGCCTTTGGTATTCTGAAGGGAGGGAGAGGGGGGGGAAGTCGGGGGGTCGGGGGGTCGGGGTGTCGGGGGGATCGTGATTTTTTGGTTTTTTTTAATTGTCTTTGTTCTGCATTTGATCGAGTTGGCATCCTATCGTGCCGGTTGGATACATACCAGTACCGGCACTGCGAGTCTACCAGAACCGTCGGAGTGCGCTGGTTCGAGTTCGGATGGGGAAGGGAAGGAAGGGCTGAGTTACGGAGGGTACTGTAGTCTACCGGTACTCGAGCATAGTGCTCTTCAGGCGAACTGCCTTTTGGGTATAATCACAGTGCTAGCGGCTTACTATGCTGGGGCATTCACTTTTTGTTTTTTCCCTCTTTCTCCGCTTGCTCGCATTCCGGTCTGTGGTTGTGAATTTTTGGCTGGGGCTGGGAAAGTGGCTCCAGTATACCGTCATACGATACTTAAAAGACGAACTGCAGCCCAGCGATTCTCGCACTCTGGCAGTCTTGCTCCCTCATCCCAGTAATTGTTTTTCTTGGGGGTTTTTTTATTCTATTTTATTGTCTCTATATAGTTGCCGTTTTTTCCTTCTTTGTTTTGTTGAAGGAGTGAGTGAGTGATACAGTGGTGAGGAAGGACGAAAAAAAGGGTGAGGGACATTTCACTATACAACCATGATTTCAAAGTTTAGCATAGCAATAGCGTTACTGGCGCTCACGACATCCGCCAACGCGCTCTGGCCTATCCCTCAGAGTTACAAGCATGGCGATACCACTGTTTGGTTATCGCCGGACGTGCAATTGGTTTTCGATTCGCCACTCGAGGTTTGCTTCCGCCCCTTCATATCGGTGTCAAGTATTCCACGCGGGACCAGGACTGACGAGTGCTTTCCCCGGTCCTAGACACATATAGCCACGAAAAACAAAGTCCGAGAAGCCTGGAGCCGCACCCGGGGAATAATATTCCAGGAACGCTTTGTCCCCTGGAAATTCTACCCCCGTGGGACTAAGTTCGAGCCGGAAAACGGAATCGGCACGGTGATCAAGAAGGTATTCGTCGAGCAGACATCCGTGGACAAGCCGGAGCCCGTGCGCTATGGGGAATTCGATGAGAGCTACACACTCACCGTCCCCGTCACCGGCGGCAACTTTACCTCTCTGGGGCCCTATGGAGTGGAGGCGACCCTCGGCGAAGGGGGGGAGCCGGGAGCGGTCTACATTACCGCCGGGTCAAGCCTGGGCGTGCTGCATGCCTTCACCACGCTTACTCAGCTGTTCTACTACTCCAACAGCCACCGCGGCGGGGTGTATTCCAAGCTCGCGCCTGTGGAGATAAATGACAAGCCCAAGTTCCAGCATCGCGGACTAAACTTGGACGTGGCACGGCAATGGTACCCGAAGGAGGACATCTTGAAGACCATCGATGCCCTCTCCTGGAACAAAATGAACAGGCTCCACCTGCACGTGACGGACTCGCAATCCTGGCCGCTGGAGATCCCCGCGTTGCCGGACCTTGCGGCAAAGGGCGCGTACGCGGACGGGCTGACCTACTCGCCACAGGACCTTCAAGACATATTAACCTGGGGCAGGTCGCGCGGCGTGGAGGTCATCTTGGAGATCGACATGCCGGGCCACACTACCTCCATCGCGGAGGCCTATCCGGAGCTCATAACGGGGAGGGACAAGCAGCCGGACTGGGTTAGATACGCCGCGCAGCCCCCCTCTGGCTCACTTAAGCTCCGCAACCCCGCCGTTAAAAAATTCCTCACCACGCTCTTCGACGACTTGCTCCCGAGGCTCAGGTCGCACAGCCAGTACTTCCACACGGGCGGCGACGAGGTCAATAAGAATGTATATAACCTTGACGAGAACATCAAGTCCAACGACCCGGCTGTTTTGCAGCCCGCGTTGCAGGACTTTGTCTCGCACGCGCACACCGAGCTGGGCCGGCATGGTGTCACGCCCTTGGTGTGGGAGGAGATGCTACTCGATTGGAACCTAACGCTACCTAAAGACGCCATCGTGCAGACCTGGATGTCGGGAGAGAGCTTGAAGAAGGTGATCGAGAAGGGTCACCGGGTAATCGCGGGGGACTACAGTTTCTGGTACCTGGACTGCGGGCGCGGGCAATGGCTCGACTTCCTCCCCGCTAGCTATAAATACTTTCACCCGTTCAATGATTACTGCTCGCCTAGCAAGAATTGGAGACTCGGTATGCCCCCCCCCGCCCCAGTGCCTCCCGCACAGCCAACTAACTTGTTCGCTTAGTCTACTCCTACGACCCAGCAGCGGGCCTAACCCAGGAACAGGCAAAGCAAGTCCTGGGCGGCGAAGTGCACGCCTGGTCCGAACAGATCGACCCCGTCAACATCGACAGCGTCGTCTGGCCACGTGCTAGTGCCGCCGCGGAGGTGCTCTGGTCCGGCAGGACCGACGCCGCCGGGAATAACAGGACCTTCCCCGATGCTTCCCCCCGCCTCGCAGAGTTCAGGGAGAGGCTCGTGCTTCGCGGCGTCGGTGCGAGTCCGATACAGCAGTTATGGTGCCATCAGCATCCAGGGGGTTGTCAGCTTTAAGTTTGTCTCTTGAAAATTTGACGGTTTGGGGTACCCGTATTAATTTGGGTAAGAGAGACACCTCGCAGGACGTCTAGGTTTCCCCTCTCTGTAAAGTGGTTTTATTATGCCAGTATTTTCCCCCGTCCCCGACAAAATAGGAAAGCCAGACGTCCCGAGACATGTTACACTTATTCAATTTAATACGGTAGTTGGATAGGAGTGGGTTTTGTGGTGTGTTTTTTTCTTCTTATTTTTTTGCGCTTGGGGGTTTAGATTCTTCTTTCTATTCGGGGGGTGCGTTAAGTCTGGCGATATCCAGATACGGTGGCCGATTTAGACTACCGTATGGTTTAGTGAGCAGGGGTATGTGGAGGGGCTAATACAAAACTACCGTACTGGTAGAACAGAGCAGATCCTTAGTCGTGTTGACCGGGATTTTTTGTATGGGGGGAAACAGGCTGGTGACAGCAAACACTTAGCGCACTGGCACTACACTATTTACTAAACTACAAAAAAACGGAGAAAACAAGGCTCAGACATTGGTACTTGTACTTGTACTACCGGGCCTTACTTACCCTTGCACCCTTGTATGATACCCGAGTATGGTACCGGTACTCGTTTACGTGTACCTGGTATAATACGTACGGCACAGGTATAATATGACGTTGTATTAGGTGTTTAGTCATGGTGAGAGGGAGGGATGCGACTGGTCAGTCAAGCATAGTCTAAAGCTGATCCGATTATCATACCGTCGTATATGATAAGTTAGCGACCTCACTGTACAGTACTATAATGGACGAACGAGCGAGCGAGAAAGAAGCCAGAGTACGGTGCTGCATGACACAGCACCGCAGAGGCCACCATAAACAATGGAAATGAGAAAACAAAAACACTCTTTATCGTATTATATCACTGATGACGGTAATAGCACTCCCTACATTACACCACTCGAGTGGGAACAATGAAAGATGTGTCGTATGATACTGGTACTCGAGTATCAGTCTACTACTATATTCCCGGCGACAGAGTCCCGCTCCGTCCATCGAATTGAATACTGTTATCATACGGTACTCCTCCCAATCCGATGCCCGACGTGCCCGCGGTATACGGTACCGGTACGGTGGTGGCCTACGGTGCGCACGGTAGCCCGATCAGTCCGGTCCGGCACTATGCTACTGTGTATACGATACGTCCAAATAGTAAATGTTAATCTACCAGAATGGATAACCTCGTTACCGGTATTGTGGTTGAGGGCTAGTATAGAAAGTTTCTCTCTTTCTTTTCTTCAGCAACACCCGTCATTTGCATGGTTGATGTTGAAGCAAACGGGAGATCATGGATTACGAGTACCTTAGATGGGGTCGAGACCGTTGCAACATTGCCCTTTATCTAGGTTCCATAGTATTTTGAGTCCCGTGGATATGATGAAAGGCCCCCTTTCTTCTTTTTTTCTTTTCTGATATCGTGCCTCCACAAACCGGGTCTCTTGAGCTCTTCTAGTTTTGCCTCGCCTCACCTTTTTTTCTTAGCTGGTCTTCCTAGCTAGTGCAAAGCCGAGCCTTCTGAATTGTCTTGAATTTCGGTGGGTTCCGTTCGGAGAGTTTGCGGTAGTGGAATTTGGCTAATAGGGTGGGCTCTCGCCGGAAGAGCTCCTCCTTGGGCTGTTTCGGCTTTTACAGGTATCGGGAAGATTGAATAAATTGAATAATGCTATTCGGAGATACCATCCGCTCTGTGCCTCTGCTGTTGATAGCATTAGCTGTCGGGGGTGTATTAACGTCCGCCTTTAAGAAGGTTAGGGAGAATTGGAAAATACATAAACTTGGCGGTAGAGCTAAGTCGGTTCCTTGCCGGCAGTTTCTGTTCGGTAATCGATGTCTTCCGTTCCTATAACGGGGCCGTACCATAGGTGTTAATAGTGTTTGTTAGGACTCGATATAGTTGCAAGAGCGTTTGTAGCTTATAAAGCTAATAAGAATATGGAGCTTTGGAAGAGCTGGTTCAAGGTAGCGGGTAGTCACACTATCGAGGCTAACATTATCGGCATGAGAGCTATTCTCACGGAAGATCCGGAGAACATAAAGGCTGTGTTAGCTTCACAGTTTCACGATTACGGTATGTTTGCCCCGTTCTCTAGTCCCACTCCGAATCACAATAGAGCTGATGTGAATAGGCAAAGGAGAGCCCTTTCGCAGGGATTGGAAACCGTTCCTTGGTGATAGTATCTTTACTACCGATGGCCAACTCTGGCATGCCTCCCGTCAGTTGATTCGTCCGCAATTCATCAAGAATAGAGTCTCGGATTTAGACATCTTTGAACGCAATGTATCGCACATGCTCGAGTATATACCTGGAGATGGTGCTACAGTAGACATCTCCGACCTCTTCTACCGCTTCGCTCTTGATACTGCTACCGACTTCTTGCTCGGCCACAGTGTTGATAGTCTTGGAAGCCCACAGGTTGAATTTGCCCGTGCCTTTGACGATATTCAGAAGCACATGAGCATCAAGTCTAGGGTTGGCCCTTTGAGTTGGATATTCCCAGAAAGAAAGTACAAAAGGGACCTAAAAGTTCTCAACTCGTTTGTTGAACCATATGTCGAACAAACGTTGGAGATGAGGCCTGAAGAATTGAAGAGCAGAAACGAAAAGAGTTATAACTTCCTTCACGCCCTCGCCGAATTTACTAGGGATAAGCAAATGCTCAGGGATCAGATTGTTGCTGTTCTCCTCGCTGCTAGGGTGATTAATACCTGCCTTTTTGCTTCTAATGTAAGATAGTGAATGAGAGACTAACTATGGTATTAGGAGACCACTGCTGTCACACTTAGTTGGACACTTTATGAGCTTGCCCGCCATCCAGAACTCGTTCAGAAGCTTCGAGAGGAGATTTTGGAGAGACTTGGGCCAGGTGGAAAGCCTACTTATACGGACTTGAAGGTGATGAAGTATTCACAGCGCGTTATCAACGAGACATTGAGACTTTATCCTGCTGGTAAGATTGATAGCTTAATTGAAACCAACATCCTACTGACATTCAGTGGTAGTGCCGTTCAATGTACGCATGTCATTGAAGGATACAAATCTGCCGCGTGGAGGCGGGCCAGATGGTCTTGATGTATGTGCTCCATACTTGCTGACTATTGTTTGCATTCACTAATTGTCAATAGCCTGTTGGGATGCCGAAACACACCATTTTCGCTTACTCGACATTGACTATGCAACGCAGAGAGGACCTCTTCGGGCCAGATGTTGAAAAGTTTGATCCGGATAGATGGGAGAGATGGTAAGGAAAGATCCGACCAGGACGATTTTTTTACTTCTTTCCCTTGTCTAACAAGCAAACCTGTAGGGCACCAAAGAGTTGGCAGTATATCCCGTTTAACGGTGGTCCTAGGATCTGTGTCGGCCAGGAATTTGCCCTCACAGAGATGTTGTATGTCCTCGTGAGGATCTTCCAACGGTTCGGAGCCGTTGAGTCCAGGCAAACAGAAGAGCAATACCAGAGCTGCAATATTGTCATTTCTCCAGGCACTGGTGTTCCAGTTTCCTTCAAGCCTGCGAGGTTTCCCGAACCAGAAATAACTACACGGTAGTGATTTGCTTGTATTGGTTCATTAGTTCAGATAGTACTTCAAATCTCCCCTCTTACTCTCTTTTGTGTGCAGTGGTGCCTTGTGTTTTTATTTTACTTCGTTTTTTGTACCATATATCATGCACTTGAACTACCAGTATCCCTTCCATGGGTCAGACGATGGGACAAAGAGAGATCCTTTTGTATTCCCTTTTAGTGCGCGCGAAAATCGGTCCTGTAAGCACCGGCAATCAGGGAGCGTTACGGTTCCTGGGGGAATAGAACCGGGGGGTCAAGGGACCTTGTGGTTTCGCACGGGCCAGGCTGCTGAAAGTGGTTTTCCGGAAGGAAAATGTGGGATGCGGACATATGACATGATTGCGATAGGCATTGGATGGATATTCGGTATGGGCGGGTGAAGTGAGTGGGTGAGCATGGGATGTTGAATCAGATCAAAGTGTGGTTTTCCGTTTTAACCTGAGTTGTTCCATGGAATGACAGTGGGCATGGGTGTTTGATGAGCAAATGTGAGACATGCCGCGCGAATTTGGTGCACTTCGCTTTGTAAGTTGAGACAATGGTCTTGAATAATGTGTGATAGCGAGGTAGATAGCGGGAGCCTATGGTTTCATTCCCATTTCTCGAACATAGTATCGACACGGCTATCGTTGAAGCGGGGTTTTACAACGGGGAGATTTTGTCACCACCGGCCGGAAAGCCTTTGTGTGGTGCGGGTAACCTCACTGGTCGGTAGGTGCATGTATTCGAATACTCGAACGCTGGATTACAGTATACTAGCTGCGGCATATCGGATGATTGTGGCTGTTCTTCGGCTGTGGTTGCGGTGCGGTACTGTGCTCGAGCATTATTTGCACGACGGCCACAATTACACACTCGAGTACTCGAGTACAGGTATGGGCAAAAACTTTTCGAGTAGACTCTTGGACGGGTCGACTGTCAGGATGCGGCAACTCTCTTTTGGCTCACCGCTAAGTAAATTGTAGCGAACTGTGCAGTGGTAAACACTGCAAACCAGAAGTGGAAACTTGCCGTGAGTCAAGGGAAAAGGCCAGCGCTATGGTACAAGTACGCGTGCTACATACGAGTATGGAAAAATTGTTTCTCCCAAACTGTCCTTGTCTTATCCGTTTTTTGTTTCAACCCTAACTGGTGATGGCAGCGCGGTACTTGTTGTGGTTTGGTGGTGGCGACATGCCTTGGCAGAAAACCGCTGCTCAGTCATCGCGAAACTTCTTCCTTTTCAACTCTCAACTCACAACCCTCTCCTACTTACACCTGCCCCCTCCCCCTCCCCTCCCTTGCTCAGCCTTCCATTCCTTCATACGTAGAACAAAAACTGTTCAACGCTGCACACAACCGCTCTTCCTTGAACCTTTTGACCCTCTTTTTTTTTTGTACACTCATCGCGTCGCTTAGATTGCTCAAGTGCATCTTCTCCGCCTCTTCCACACCCCCCCCTCCTACCCTCCCTGCTTCACGCACTCTTCTATCGACTTGTACGCCCTCCCTCCCTCACTCTGTGTACAGCCGCGCGTCTTCGCACATACTGTTCCCTCCAGGCTTCCTTCTTAACCTCTACCCTCTTTCATCATGGCCGTCGTTCTCAGCGGTTCTATGTCAGAGGTCCTGGGTCAGCGTATCCAGCCAAAGTTAGTGGAGATAGGATGGAGCATCAGCGGTGAAGATAATTCTCCGCTTAGCGAATACATCTGCCTGATGATACAGAATGGCAAGAGTCGGGAACAGATTGCAGAGGAGCTTTCGGGCGATTTGCTCGGTTTGGCACCGGGAGATTCAACAGCGTTGGAATTTGCCAATTGGCTGTTTGAGCAGGTCGATAACCTGAATGGGAAAGCGCAGGGAAATGGAAGCCAGCAGGAAGCAACCGCCCAGGAACCGGCTACTTCCTCGGAAGAGCCTCAGGGCATGGATGGTGCTATAGATCATGACATGGGCGAGGTTGCAGATGGAGAATCTGGACAGAATGGAGTGTATGTGTACCCTGACTTTAAATGACCAACAAACACCCTGGGGTCTTGCAGATTAGTGTGTTTAACCTGTGCTATGTACTAATTCTAGTCCATTTAGACCTACTGCGCCAAAGGCTATGAGGCATCCGCAGGGACGGCGATTGTTCAATCAGCTAACAAAAGCGATGGACCGAACTACGCCTGTTGATCCTTTACACCGTGTTAGGCCTCAGGCTGGTGGGATAGAGAGACGTGATCCACCCAAAGGCCCTTCAAGAGGTATGATGCGGGGAGGACAGATGGGCCGTCAGAATGGTCCTGGACGTATGAATGGGCGTAATGGAAACGCCCCCCCGACCTCTGGCTTTACGGCCTTGACCCCTCAGCAGCAGATGCAGTTTTACCATCTGTATCAGCAGCAATCCCAGGCCATGGCGCCATTCATGGGCGGTCCACCACCTCCTCATATGGGCCCTATGGGCCATCACCCCAACCATCATCACCAAATGCCCATGAATGGGCCGATGAACGGACATATGAACGGGCCTATGAATGCACCCGTGAATGGGCCTATGGGGATGCCGCCGATGATGGGCCGGGGCCCGATGATGGATAATCCATACGGAAACAACTTTTCGCAGCCGAGGCGTGTGGGCGGGTCGCTGTTTGAGCGTATTCAAGCACCGCCGGACAATAAATTCAACCACGGTAGCAAAAACCATCATCACAAGGACAACAGTACCGGCGAAATGGATACCGGCGAGGACGCAAGTGCCTCGGGTGGCAGGGCACCAACGCCGGCTGCGGGAGATGCACCGTCATCCTCGTCTATGGACCAGTCCCCGGACAAGCCACTAGACGAAGTCCCCTGCAAGTTCGCAGCCAATTGCACCAAGCCAGAATGCCCATTCGCGCACCCGACTCCTGCAGCTATTCCTGGCAAACCCGTCACATACGTGCCTGGTGAAAAGTGTTCGTTTGGCGCCGGTTGCAGAAATCGGAAATGTACCGGTTCTCATCCATCACCCGCTGCTTCCGCTGTTGTCGCTAGGCCAACAAAGATTGACGCGGAGTGCAAGTTCTATCCAAACTGCACTAATCCTACTTGTCCTTTCAAACAGTATGTCTCCCCCCCATCCGACCCATACCCCTATGTCCCTTGCATGTGTGTGTTATGCTAACGGTGTGCAAAGTCCCGACATGCCTCTCTGCCGCAACGGCCCGAAATGTACCCGCCCGGGCTGCCATTTCACCCACACCGAGGTAAAATGCAAATTTAACCCATGTCTGAATCCTAACTGTGCGTATAAGCACGATGAGGGTCAGCAAAAGGGTGCATTCGATCATAAAGTCTGGACTAAAGATGGTAAACGGGAGCATGTCAGCGAGAGGAAGTTTGTCAACGATGATATGGAGGAGGAGTTGATCATCCCTGGTCAGGTGCCTGTTGGTGCAGAGAATGTCGGGGACATGGACACTGCACCTGTTGAGGACGTGGAGTAGTGGGGGTGGGGAAACAAGCTGCTGCTGCTGGTGGCGCGGGCCTGTGCATGCTCTTGCCTACTTTATAATTGTGGTTTCCTCTGAAGCAGAGAGGCTGGTGAAATGGTCGCATGGAACGGTGCTTACAGTACGGCTATGCATGGACGGGGAAAACTAGAATTATAGCGGCGGACACCCTCTTTTTTCTTTTCATCATTAGATATTTGCTTTCTCCCTCCTTCACACTTCTTCCCCCCTTTCATCCGTGGGCTATCTAGTTAATTTGTTCCACTTCCCCACCCCCTCTACTTTTCTTTTTCTTTTTCTCACCACTTTTCTCCTATTACCTTATCCGGAGTCGTTAAAATTTGGGCAAATCTGTTTTATTTTTTGTTCTCACACTAGGGATGGCGGTGTTGAATTGTCGTTGTTTGCTTGTATATAGTTATCCGTTTGACGTACGCGCGGTATCCATATCTCGGGGATTCACTGGTATTCTTTTATTGTGATTTTGTTGGGCTAATATAAATTGTGAGATGATCGTGATGATGATGGGGTTGGGTTGGGCTGAGCTTTCTTGAGTGAGTGCAGGTGGGGCGGGCTTTATACTGTGTATTGTGGTGCGTGATAGAGGAAGAGGTGGGTGGGTGCGGAGTTTTTGTGATGCGACGTGATATGGATGCGATTGGTAAAGTGAAGCTGGTGCTTGGAGCTTTTAATGTGTAATTTAGTTTATGTACTGTAGCACCGCACGTTTGCTATGCGTAGTTGAAAGTGAATATGATACCAGACATTTTTGCTCTTTCCTGCAGCCTATCCTATCCAAACGACCATTTGTGGTCTCTTGCTCTTTTTTTCCTTGTATGATATGATAACTATGATGCCACCGCGACCTCTAGCCCTACATTATCTAGTTCGTAGAGGCACATGTTCTCTCCCTCTGCGACACCTCACTCATTCTCGCTTACCTTCGACCTCATCACCTTCATGCTTAGGCTCACCACCACCTTCCTCCCTAACCTTGCACCTCTCCTCCCCCCTAATCTCTAAACCCTCCTCGACACCCAATCCCCATTCCGCGCTTCTGGGCCCCATCAATCGCACCCACAACTTTCCCCATAACCCCTCCAGAACCTGGTCCGCCTCGTTCGCCTTAGCAATCCTATTGGCGTATATCCTCCCCGCCCTTCCCGGTGGTCCGCTGCGAAAGTAACCTCATTAGCGGAGGTACTCGGGATGGCACGATCTCGGTCTCGATAAGCGGGAGGATATACTGTGGGGACGAACGAGCGCACAACCAGTACGGTACTCGAGCACTGGAGACCTTGCTTTCGCACTTGCGCTCAGACTCTGTGCCTGCATGCTTGTTGGGATTCGTGGAGTAACCAACTGTGCTTGCTCAGAGGTGGCATGTCTCTGGTAGTAGTGGGACTGTGCTTGACCAGAGTGCCAGTTTACCGAGGGGATTTTCCTGGGTTTGTTCGTGGGGGATTCGTGTTTCGGGTGTTATGCGGGGTCGGGGGTTTTTGCGGGAGGTTGTGCCATTTGGGAGGAGGGTTTCCACTGATTGTGCTGCTCGGGAAAGGTGTGGTATTGTGGGAGTACTCGTGGTGACTTAATATAGTATGATACGAGCACAGTACGGCGCCAGGTCCTCCCTTAGGTCGCACTTGTATTATACTCGTATCGTAGGTTGTTTTCCGACTGGTTGGGTCACGGATGTGCTCGGCACACCATGGTAAGCCGATCGGACCAGTGTCAACGTTATGAGAGTTACGAGTAAGTGATTCGAGTGAGTTATGTTTGGTATTTTTTCTTGTTTCTTTTCTTTTTACAGGAGTTCTAGCCCTCGAGCCTCTACCTGTCGTGCGATTTTTCGCGCTGGACAGGTTACCGGTAGCTTAGCCTAGCGTAGCCCTGGGAACGTGGTTGCGAACAATTGGTCGAGTTCCGGGGTAAATTATTGGGCAGTTATGATACTCCCAAAGTTCGAATCGGCAATGAGTGGCTGTGAAGGGATTATGAGTTTAGCTTTTTTTTGCGAGAAAAAAAAACCCCGATGACGGAGGGCGAGGAAAAAACTTGGTTTGAGAGGACGGGGGGCGGCAGCTACTCGTATTTTATCATGAGTGGCGGGTGTTGCTGCGGAGCCTCGGATACCGTATTCAGACATTCCACTTTCGATATATAAACCACTGTCCCGGACTCTTGGGTGGGGGAGGACTTGATTTCCCGGGAACATCAAATATCACTCACTATCTTGCAGTATTTTACTACCTGTTTTCTCGTTTTCCTTGATTAGATCTTTACAATAGGCTGCTGGTGGTCTATCCTTTCATAAAAACACACGTAGCTTCAACTGACCGAAATGCCACTCCTATCTATCCCAAACGAGCTCCTCCTGCTGGTCGGGGAAAACCTTGAAGACGTCCGGGACGTCAACTCCCTCGTCAGGGCCAACCACCGCCTACACTCCCTGCTAACTCCGCGCCTCCACACCCTTGCCCTGCAACCGCGCGAGTGCCCGGTCCTGCCCCTCTGCTGGGCCGCCTGGAAAGACCACATGCCACTCGTGCTCCTCCTCCTCTCGAAAGGCGCCCTCCCCGAAACGCCGGATCCCGAGAACGGCGACACAGCACTGCACTACGCCCTGTCACAGCGCCTACACAACAACCCCACATCCCCGATCCTGCATACCCTCCTCAAACACACCCACAACCCGAACATCACGAGCGCGACGGACGGCAGCACACTCCTCCACCGCGCAGCATCGGCGAACGCCCTTGAAGAGCTAACCCTCCTGCTCTCCACCCCGGGAATCGACATAGATGCGCGCATCAGCGCAACGGGGGACACCCCGCTCACCCGCGCCGTATCAATGAACCACCCGGCCGCCGCGAGAGCCCTACTTCGCCAGGGCGCGGACGCGAATGCCCTCACGGCCGCTGGCCAAACGCCCCTCTCCCTGGCCGTGAAGCTAGAAAACGCGGAAATGGTGACGGACCTGCTCCTCCACTCCGCCGACGCCACCACGCTCCTGCCGGCCGACGGCCAGACGGTCCTGCACCAGGCCGCGGACGCTAATAGCAAGGATATGCTGCGCTTGCTGCTACGTCAGGGGGTCTCACCCGACGTCAGGAATCGGCAAGGGAGGACTGCGTTGGACGTTGCAGTGCTGCTGGGGTGCGAGGGCGCTGCGGGGGCTCTGCTGGAGGGGGGCGCCGACGTTGACGGCTGGAGTGGCGATCCGGACGCGGATGAGGATGCCGAGACGGCGCTGTTCAGGGCTGTCAGGTATTGCCCTAGGCGGGTGCCCCTCATCAACTTGCTCCTCCACCACGGGGCGGATTTTAGAAGCGTGGCTAGTCGCGCCGTGGGCATGAGCGTTCTGGAATTCGCCAGGGAGTCCGGCTACCCCTGGGTCGTGGAGATTTGTGAAGGCTCTGAGAGGCGTCGTACCGCGAAGGGGAGGATCGGAAATAAGCTTTAATTTAGTCTCGGGAGGTTTTTTTTTTCTTAGTATCGCTTTTGCGAATGTGCAATTTCGAATCTTTATTGTTGTCATAATTATCATACCGGTACCTATGGTTGGGTTTTTTTGTTTGTTTTGCTTGTCTCTTAGAGTGTTTTTCTTTCTTTCTTCGGTTATTTGACAGGATACCCCTCTCTGAAACCAAATTCAACAGAATGCCACTGTAAAAGAAAATTTGATAGAATGCCATCCACCACATGTGTTTCAATCTAATATTTTCTATACAATATGTTTCACTTCCAGTACTATAGGTCTAATATAGAATGAAATATATTAAACCAAGACAGAAGCAATTATTTAATGGTATACTTCTCTAGAGCTCTGACTTTAATAGAATACTTCAGTAAAAAAAAAAAAAAAAAGTTAGATAAAATACCTTTCTATATATCAACTGGATGAGATAACTATAACTATCCTGAGTCTAAATATTTCTTTTTAATTTCAGATTTTCTTAATGAGTATTTCTTTTCTACTTTT